AGCTTTGGTAAAAAAAAAACCTAGAATTTCGTTTCCAGTATGCAATTTCTAGCTTCTCTCGTTTCCAATTCCCGAAATTTTCGTCGGAGATGGAATCGAGCTCTCTCTTTGCATCATTTCTCTTCGAATGCGAGAGAAGCTTCGGTATCAAATGCGGTGTTCGTCGAATTTCTCAGGGACAATGGGTTCCAGAAACCTCAAGCAATGGCCATCGCAATGCGTTACCCTAATCTCAAATCCCTAGAACAACCTCGATCAGTGATTCAAATGCTTAAAAGTTACAGTTTTTCAGATACCCAGATCCAGAAATTGTTCCGGGTCCATCCTCAAATGATGTTCTATAACGTCGAGAAGAATCTAGAACCCAAACTTCGATTCTTTGAAGAACTTGGATTCTCTGGCTCTGATCTTGGTAAGTTCGTCTCTCAACACTCCTCCTTCATTGGTGTAAGTCTAGTGAGAAAAATTATTCCTACCGTTGAGATTCTGAAATCGATTGTGGCTCCAAAACACGAACACCTTACTGTGATTCTTAGTAGATGTGGTTGGCTTCTCGGTACAGACCCTAACTTGTTTCTCTTACCAAACATCTCTTACCTCAAAACCTGTGGAATCGTTGGGTCTCAGCTTGCTTCTTTACTTAGAAGACAGCCAAGGATCTTCAATGTCCCTGAGGAAAAACTCAGAGGGTATGTCTCTCGTGCTCTGGAACTCGGTTTTAATCTCAACTCGAGGATGCTTGTGCACGCTGTTCTCTCGTTAAGTTCTTTAAGCGAGAAAACGTTTGACCGAAAGTTAAAGTTGTTTGTGGCAAATGGGTTCTCTGAAGATGAGATAACAGATATTATACGAAGATCTCCAGGTTTGATCCGGTGCGCAGAAGACAAGCTTACACTGGGGTTTGAGTTTTACATGAAGAGAATGGGGATAGAGAGAGAAGCTTTGGTGAAACGTCCTTGTGTGTTGATGTATAATCTTGAGAAGAGGGTGATTCCAAGGCTTAAAGTTCTGCAGATTTTAAGGGAAAAAAGGTTGTTGAAAGAGGAGAAGAAGAAGAAGAAGAAGAACATTTTTGACATTGTGGAGATGACTGAGAAAGCTTTTCTAGAGAAATATGTGGTAAGATTTGGAGATGAGATTGCTGAGGAATTATTGGTAGCTTATAAGGGTCATCTCTTGAATAATGATGATGATGCTGATAGTTCTTGCTCCTCCCATGAAGATTGTAGCTTAATTACTGATTGATGTTAGATAGTCTTAAGTTAGGTTGGATACTACTAGTTGATCGAATTAAGATCCAATTTTGGGGTTTGAATTCAAAGTTTCGATCTTGTTGAAATGTTAAAGAAATTTCTGAGAGATTGATGTCCTAAACCCCATTTAATTATAGCACTCGAAGAGAGCTTTTTTTTTGGTTAAACATAAAAAAAAGAGCTTAAAGTACTCAACTTTGGTAAAAGATCTTTAGCTCAATTCTTCTTTTATTTTCCATGATTGATGATCATTTGCTGAAACGTAGGCAAATAAGTAGAAAAAACTCTCTTTTTAAAGCACTTAACTTTAAGCAAAACACAAGATTGTTTACTGCTAAAGCAAGAGTCTCCATTTCGGTCATGAATTTACCCGGTTTGATTTTGGTTCGTTACAATAACCGGTTTAAACCAGACATTGATTCCGGATAAAAAAGCTTAGGTTTTTCCGCGAAGCCGACACCGTAAGGACTAAAACCTTAGAATAGCCGGAGAGAAGAAGACGAAGAGAGCGACAAGGGCGAAGCTGAAGAACTCTTGGGTAATTGTCAGATTCTCTGTTGAATCATGGCGGTTGCGGCTTTTGGGCAGTTAAATCTCGAGGAGCCTCCACCGATTTGGGGATCTCGTAGTGTCGATTGCTTCGAGAAGCTTGAACAGATTGGTGAAGGAACTTACGGGTATTCTTCTCCATTCTTTTATTTTATTTTATTTCTGGGTTTTGTTCCTTGATTCGAATTGATTTGGTTTTGTTGAGTATTCGTGCTAAAGATTGATTTTTTTCTCAAATTTCAGAGATTACGCTAGGGCCACTTGGCATATAAGTTTTTTGAAGCAAATTTGATTGTAAAATTCCCGTTTATATATAGTTATTGATTATTGTTGATTGAGTGAATTGGGGAATTCTCAGATTCTTAAGACTTGTCCTCTGAACATGTAGATATCGGATTGCATTATTATCATATTCTTGATATGGTAGATAGAGATATTGCATAAACATATGAAGCTTTCTCTTTTGATGGGGTTTGGATTTATATATTCGGTTTGGTTTTGCAGTCAAGTGTACATGGCTAAAGAAATTAAAACTGGTGAAATCGTGGCTCTCAAAAAGATCCGTATGGACAATGAAAGAGAAGGGGTAAGCTACATGTGAACTAACTCTAGCTTTGAAAAGCTGCAAACTTTTGTGAATTCAATATGACTTATATATTCTTTATCATTGCTTGCATGAAGTTTCCGATAACAGCTATCCGGGAGATAAAAATTCTGAAGAAGCTACATCATGAAAATGTCATCCATTTGAAAGAGATTGTGACTTCTCCAGGTAATAAGGAACACGTATCTTAGCTTGTAATTGCTTTAAATTCCGTTAAAAGAGGGGTTAAGTTTGATATGTAGAGTTTTGTGATTGTTTTTGTCTTTAAAAGGTCGAGATAGGGATGATCAAGGAAAGCCAGGTTAGTGAAACTTATTCGAGATCTAAATATTTTCTGTAGAACTTAGATGCGACTATGATAGATCTATTTAAACTCATTATCCTCGCCTAAAGCTTGTTGCTCTGCTTCAATTTTAGATAATAATAAATACAAGGGTGGAATCTACATGGTCTTTGAGTACATGGATCATGACTTGACTGGACTTGCTGATCGTCCTGGACTGAGATTTACTGTCCCTCAGATAAAGGTATTGCATGGCTAGATACCTTGTTGTAGTAGCCTTTGCAAAAACCTTATTGTTCCGACTTTGTCTGACATTTGAACATATGTAAAAAAGTGTTACATGAAGCAACTGCTCACTGGGCTCCACTATTGTCATGTGAATCAAGTGCTTCACCGTGATATAAAAGGTGACTATCCCAAAATACATTGTTGACCATTTGGTTCTCTTGTCTTTATATGCTAGTTAACCTATAATATCTCGGTGCAGGTTCGAACCTACTTATTGACAATGAGGGAAATTTAAAGCTTGCGGATTTTGGGCTTGCTCGGTCATTTTCTCATGATCATACTGGAAACCTTACAAACCGTGTCATCACATTGTGGTATAGGTATGTATGCCTACAAACTTTGAAGTTATATACATAAAAGAAGACAAAGAATAAGTATTGCTTGTATGTGCAGCTGATTCTCTACTTAATGCATCGTTTATTGCTGTAGGCCTCCGGAATTGCTACTTGGTGCAACTAAATATGGACCAGCGATTGACATGTGGTCGGTTGGATGCATATTTGCTGAACTTCTGAATGGAAAACCAATCTTGCCTGGGAAAACTGAGGTCAGGATTTCATCTTTTAATTATCCGTGGTGTATTAATACAGTGTTCTTTGATAATGTTTCCACTTAGCGTTTTACTCAACTGCTTTTTTTTTTTTTTCAAGAGTGAACAACTGAATAAGATTTATGAACTTTGTGGATCACCGGATGAAAACAACTGGCCTGGAGTTTCCAAGATGCCTTGGTATGGCCAAATGAAATCATCTCGGCCCTTAAAGAGACGCGTAAGGGAGATCTACAGGCAGTAAGTATAAACCTTTATGTAGTTGCGACACTTTTATGCAACAGTTACTTTGATCCAAGAGATCTCATTTGGTCTTTTTCTCTTCTGCTATAGCTTTGATCGCCATGCCCTTGAACTACTTGAGAAAATGTTGGTACTTGACCCAGCCCAGGTACCAAAGAATTTTAAATACAGAGAATTATTGTCTGGAATATTAGCAAATTGCAGAAATCAAGTGCCTTGGTCTAGACATTTAAGTCCTTTAATTTTCCTCTCTGTTGGTACAGAGAATATCTGCAAAGGATGCACTTGATGCTGAGTACTTTTGGACTGATCCGCTGCCATGTGATCCAAAGAGGTAATCAAATTCTCTTAAGTTTCTTGTTATGGAAACCCATTTGGTTCATCATACATCAATAAATGACAATCAATAACAATTAGTGAGTGATTCAGCTCATACTGAAACTGTCTTATGTCAATAGTCTACCGACATATGAATCATCACATGAGTTCCAGACAAAGAAAAAGCGGCAACAGATGCGCCATAACGAGGAAGCAGCCAAAAAACAGAAACTGCAGCATCCACCGCAGCAACATTCTCGTTTACCTCCACAGCAACACGGTGTTGGTCAGTCTCATGCCGCTCCACATTGGCCTGCTGGTCCAAACCACCCTATGAACAACAACGCACCACCACCCCAAATACCTGCTGGTGGACCTGGCGGCCATTACTATGGAAAGCCCCGTGGTGGTGCACCTGGTCAAAACCGGTACCCTCCTAGCGGGAACCAGCCTGGTGGTTATAATAATCAGAGCCGTGGAGGTTACAGCAGCGGATCATATCCTCCACAAGGTCGAGGTGCACCATATGCCGCCGGTCCTAGAGGACCTAGCGGTGGCTATGGTGTTGGACCGCCTAACTACTCCCAAGGGGGTGGTCAGTACGGTGGATCTGGTGGCTCTGGAAGAGGTCAGAACCCTATGGGTGGTGCTAGAAACCAACAATATGGATGGCAGTAAAGAGAACTCAAAGAGTCTCATATGGTGTGGTCTTGGGTTGATGTCTTAAAGGCAGTTGTGATTTTAGATATGAAGATTTATCTTCCAGAAACAGAATCTATTTTCATTTGTTTTACTGTCTTAATGGCATTCTTCCAAACATTCTGTGATGTTGATGAAATAGACAGTGATTGTTGTATGTTTAGATCATTTTGTACGAGCAAGCTTTATATATCAGAACATAGCAAACCAAATTGGAATTTCCAAATCTTATTATTTCTTGCAAAAAAAACGTTTCACAACCTACAGTGGAAAAAAACTTCTCGGATCAGTGTAAAACCCAAAAAAAAACGAAAAATCTCTTCTCTGAAGCGGCTCCAGCAGAAAGCCCAGTGGCAGTAATTGTGTCTTTTCTCATAGCTTTCTTGTCTTATGCTGATTCTACTTTCAGAACAACTTTCATGAACTCGTAAACAAAGTAACTGATCGCTGCGGAAGGCAAAACCTGCAATAGTGAGATAATTAACAAAGCTGTAAAACAGGTTCAAGAGATTTATTTATGACTAGCATTAAGGCATCATACCTGCAATAAGCTGGGAATCAAGCCAGCATATAGAGCAGGAACACCTCCTTGTTCAATGATCTTCACACAAGTAGCCACAGCGCTTAACTTTTTCGCATGTGACTGCATTTGTAAACGCCTTCTCACAACTTCAAACGGATAAGTCGCTGCTTCAGAGCAAGCCCCTGCGATTGCTCCATATAACAAAGTTCTCATGGGACCAAGCTCGAGTTGGTCGAAAGCGTTAAGGTCTTCACCTTCTTGTTTCATGTGTTCAAGCCGTTTCTTACCTTCCGGTGTATGAAGGTAAGCTGATTTTAAAATATCATAGACACCGTAGAACACAGCTCCCGATGGAGCCATACTAACAAGTGAAGGTACAAGACCTTTGTATAGGGAAAAGAAACCTTCGGTTTGAATCATGTGACGGAATGCACCAACTACACCACCTAATGCCTCTCCACCGGGTGCCACCATAACCGTTCTTATCTGCAATTCAATACCAAACTAATGCTAAAAAACCTCCAGAGAATGGTAAAAGAAGCTCAAGGAAGTTTTTGTTGTGATTCTACTTACAGTATCAAGTGGTAGACAAAGCAAACTAGCTGTTACTCCGGCAGCTGCACCAGCAACAAACCTCTCGAAATTTGTAGTTTCTTCGTTCCCGGATAATTTCAGAAGCTGGCCTCTATATGTATCATATGCATAGAAGTTGATGGACTTAAAGGGAGCAGTTCTGAGAATATTAACCAAATTCCCTTTCCAAAAGCCTCTAATCCCTTCATTTGTTGCAATCCTCTGAATGAGTTCAAGAAGATTCCCTTGTTCTCCACGAACAATGTATTCTAGCTTCATCCGCTCAAGAGGTGCAATGCAAGTTCTGCTCAAACCAAAACCCTAAAACCCAATGAGCCACCAAACTACAACAAACCAAATCAATACAAAATCTCAAATAAGCATTATCACTAAGTAACCACAACACTTAAAGTCTACAACTTTATACTAACACTCAATCTCATTCAACCTTTCATAGAGTAAGTAAAGAAGGAGGAGAGACCTTGAAACCATGGCTGCAAAAGCTCCAGCCCATAAATGCTTGGTGGTGTTGAGAGCTCCTGTTCCATTTTCCTTAACCATAAGCTTCTCCTTGGCTTCTTGACCACCACCGATCAACACCAAACCTTTCTCCGATTTAAAACCGTTTTGACTATTATACCCTTCACCTTCTTCTTCCTCACCATTACTCTCCTTAATCGATAAACTAACAGACAGAAACAAAGGTCCCCTGGTCCCGTTTCGTCTCCTAAACTTCAAAAAGCTCGACTTTTGACTGAAACGACACGAATTGACGGAACAATCCTTAGATGAAATAAAAGAGACAGACGAGGAAGGAACAGATTCGTGGAGAAACAATCCACCGAGGATTTGACCATTGTGATCCAAAGACTCTGATCTGATTGCTTCAGCTATCCATCGATCAAGGCCACGCATTTTACTGGGTTTTCGATGGCAAATTCGACAAATTTGAGCAAATCGAAAACTTTCAGCAAGACCCAAGAACGAAATGGATTCAATAGCTGTTGGGATCTAAAGGAAGAAGAGAAGACTAAATAATATTGATAGTTATACAAACAGTAGTTGCTCTTTCTCAAAGCTTTAAGCTTTCCATCGCTCTCTCACACTAACAGAGAATATTTTAGGTTGGTTTTGGTTAAAGTGTGTGACTTGGTGCCTTTTTCTGCTGACGATGCCAATTTGGTTGACACGTCATCGTCTATCTTTCGTTTATTTTTGACAAAAGATTAATTATTTCTTCATAGAATGCATACATTTTCTATTTGGGGTTGATGGTAAGAAATTGGAAGATGGTCACAACATAAGAGTTTGAGAAAAGTTATATGATACTCTCATTAGACAAAATATTCCATCTCCTAGTTGTTATACTAAACATAAGAGTGGTGTAAAGGTTTTTTACTTTGTTTTTGATTCCATGTGTTTGAGATTTGCAGATGAGAATTAGTGTGATTACTCATCAGCAGGAGCCTTGGACAGAGGGCAAAGGCATCAAGTATAGTCCTTTGCTCTCCACCAAGTTAGCCGCAGCATCAAAGTCATTTGTAAGCATATCTTCCATTACTTCCTCTAGAGATTTTGTCACCGTCTGCTCGTGATGTATGTAGTGACCGTATCCCTATCACAAACAACACATTCACTCTAAGAAACAAACACATTACTATATCATTTATCTTTGCTTTAGATGCATTATTGTATTACCTCAATGAATGTCATAGGATGAGATACTGGTTCTCCCAGTCTGCTTCGACTTAATTCCTATATCCATAATAACTCAAAATGTCAGGTTTTAGATTCAGAGCTTTTGGTTTGGATTTGGCTTTCTCCATCACACCTATTTTCCCTAAATAAACAAGTTGAGAAAGAAGAGAAAAGATAAGAGAAGCAAGACAATACCTTCATCTGTAGCTGCAGAAGCTTAACATGATCAACAATGGCATTCAATGTCAATTCAGGGTTATCATCCTACAAGATCACATAAATCAACAATTCCATCTTCAATCTCTTATGAGTTATATGTGGACAAGCTCTGGTTGGAAATATATAATTCTAACAATGTTACCTCAACTTTATGTGGGAGCAATGTCCCTAATGCCTTGATGTTATCGTCAATTCTCTGCTTGCGCTCCTGATAAAGGGTAGAACCAAGGGTTCATATAACATCAAAAAATAGATGGAATCATCATATGTGATACTTACACGCTCATTGGTATAACATCTGTACTTGTTTTTGTTGGATTTCTTCGAGGGTACATCTCTGTAATTGCCAAAGAGCTGTGAGAAGTCACGGTTGTTGTTGTTGTTCCGTTTTTTCCAACTTCTCAGCTTCTGATACAATAAACAGAAGTTAGCTCCTGAAACAAGAGACTTTTCAGATCAGACAATACTTTAATAATGTGATGACCTGAGAGTAGTCTGGGGACCATGGCTGCGCAGACTTGCGAGAGGATCGTCTACCCACATGAGCCTTACTGCTGCTTCCCTGATATAAAAGATGCGCCAAAGGATGTAAATTTTAAGGAAAAGACAAAAAGAGAGAGATGTTTGAGATGCTTACAGAGAGTTCATAGTTGGTGCGGCTTTGGACACGAATAGAAGGTTTCACCAAGGAAGAACCACCAATGTTATCAGAAGAGTACATGGTACGGATTCCTCCTCCTACACCAGCTGCAGAGCCACGACTTGGCAGAACCACTTTCTCAACGACGTAATCGGGAGGAGGTTTGACATCAGGTGTAGATTCTTCGTTGAGCAAAGCAAGGTAACTATGTGGAAGCTTAGATGGTTGAAGCCATTGAGACAGAGACAAACTCCCATCGTCAGCTTCTACTGCATTTCCAACAACCCGTTTATATCAGTATTGAAAGAAAATGGTGCTAATCACAAGCTTGAAAAATGTAAAAAATATCATTCAGAGACTAGAACAAGTATACCTTTCAAGTTAGGGGGATAATCGGAGATCTTGGTCTTGTTCTTGCTGCGGGGTTGATTGGAATTAGGGGAAGAGAAAGGAAAAATCTCAGAAATAACAAGAGAAGCAGCTTCATCAGCATCATGTTGGTGCTCAATTGCAACACCTCTTAGAATCTTTGGATCAATCTGTAATGTATAAAAACAATGCGACACTTTTTGAGCACCAAAACGAAACGCAGAACTCAACAACAACATGTAGGCACGTGAGAGTTGTTGATCAATCATTGCTCATACTATATAATAACATTAATTGAATATTAAATGCAGATAGCTTTCTTGCATTCCGATGTTGGATCTAATATAGTAATACTACTAAATAGGTGCTTAAATTTCATGAAAAAACAAACAAGTGTCCTAGTAACCACAATCATGAGTTCATAAGAGCTTGCCTGTGGAAATAACTCGGTGAGAGATTGATAAACCGATCTGAAACCCATCACCGGAAATCTGCAACAAAGCGAGCAAAATCACGAATCACATTTTGCTTAAACCCTAAAAACCCTTTTTTCCAAACAGACGAACAAAGGTCGAGAAACAAAATCGGTCATTGTGATGATCCTTAAAACAAAAAAAAAAAAACTGTGTCGCGATCGGAAATTTGAACAAATTTAGCAACAACAAAATGAGATTTGATTCAACAGTCACTTTGTCACTAACATCGTTTGAGCCGCAGAGCAAATTTTTCTCAGGTTTGGGTTTTGCTGAAAAAAGTGACAAGCTTTCTTCTCTATTTATTTTCTGGTGACCATGATAAAAAATTGTTGACACGTCATCATTCATTTTCTCACAACGAGAGATTGATTACCAACATAATTCGAGTTTTTTAATCATTAAGTAATCTCAATGTAGCAAATTACAGAGATTTTTTTTTTTTTTGGTTTTAATGTGAAGATTTCATTCCAAAAGAAAATTACAAGCTAACTAATGTTACAAAAGCTACCCATTAACACATGAACAAGAGACAGAAAATTAAAAAATTACAGCGGAAAAGAAAGACGACTGAAGAAAACTTGAAGAAGAGACGCGGTGCCAGAGCCCGGAAAAGACAGAAGCCGATCCCGGAAAAGACAAATTACAGAGATTTTCCCCTTAGAAACAACAAGTTAAGATCTTAAATTATTTTATTAAATCAAGTTAGAAACCCATGTTTAGAGACATTTTAGTCTAGTAATCACACTCACTAAAAGGTCTTCATTGTAACAAAAAGGATTTATCCAATTTTTCGAGTCTGCAAGTATAAGGGTGTCATTAACAAGAACAATTGCTTTCTTGTTGATGATCTGCCTGAGATGAAATAATCAATGGCTTTAGATTCACATCCACTAAATCCTCTTGTTTCGTCCAAGAAACTGCCTCGTTTCCTTGTAACGCAGATGTGATCTTACAGAACAAAGGCTGCACTCAAAAAACAGCAACCAAGTTAAGGTTTTTACTTCAGAGACTATTAGTATATCACATCGACCGACTTGTGTGTGTGTGTGTTTGTTTACCTTAATGTTGAATCCAGCTTTAGCACTAGTCTCCATGAACAAAGCTCCAAACTCACGAGCTTTATTATCCCCTTCCTCTATTGAAACTTGCCTGTTGTTGAATCAATTACACAACATCACATGTTTTTCTTTTTTTGAAATGAAGAAGCTATCTTTTGATTTGATTTTTGAATGGGTTGTTTTGTGTTACCGTTTATTAACAAGATCGGTTTTGTTACCAACAAGAACAATAATGACATGACTTCCTCTTTCTGCACGAACTTCTTCAATCCACTTTGAGGTGTTTAAAAATGATTGCTTACCTGCACATATAAGAATTACAACCATTCTAAGAAGAAGAAGATGAGTGGTTTTGAAAAAGCTACTGAAATTTTTTGTTATAGAGAGCAGAGTAATAATGTCGTAACTGGCAACATCATAGACAATAACAGCAACAGAAGAATCTCTGATATAACTTGGTACAAGGCTTTTAAATCTCTCTTGTCCTGCTGTATCCCTACAACCACAAACAAGAAATCTCAAGACATTTTCATTAGCTATAATAACAATAATTAAGGAGCTGAGTGAATGCTACTGAGATCGTTATGGAGCCAACCACAATTGCAGACGAAAAGTCCTATCTTCATAGCGCATTGTTTTGGACAAAAAGTCTATCCCAATTGTAGCCTGCAATTAAAAAAATTAAAAACCCTAAAATTCGAACAACTATTTGATTGATTCCGAATCAAAAGAAAAGCCGTATATACAGGACAGAGAATTGATCAAATTTGAAGAATTTCTTAGTCTGAGAGATCCTCATAAACACGTATCAAGGCACAATTGTTGTCTAGGCGACGATCATCATAAACAACAAGACAAAACATGCGCAAATCGAAGGAGCCGATGGGCGAACCTGATAACTGGTGTCAAATTTACCGTACATGAAACAAGTGATGATGCTTGTTTTGCCTACGCCTTGATCGCCCAGGAACACTAGCTTGTATCCCTTCCCTAAATCTCCCATCTTCTTCTTCTCTCTCTTTTTTTTTTTTTTTTGGCTACTGATTGTGAAATCGCGTTTATATTGGTACCGCCAATTATATTACAATTTTATTCAAAACTGTCTGTATATGCTTTTTTATTTTAATATTGGGTTGATTTGCGTAAGCTATGGGCCTATTAAAGGCCTTACTATATGATTGGACTCATCCATTCCATCTTCGATTGTAAATAATTCAAAGTCTTTTGAATGCTCCAAGAATCATACACTATCATCTAGTTAATACTAATGGCATTAAGATATCTCATTGTTGATTTTTTAGCAGCTATTCTGTGAATGGAATGTTCTTCTTAAACCTTCTTCTTCTTCTTGTCAAGGTATGGATATTTCTGGTACAGTGAGATACTACTCATCACAAGAGGGAGAGCCACCAGGCAATACGATGATGGCGGTTTTCCTTCAAACGCAAACTGAAGTAGCGCTGTCACAAGTAATGCCGACACAATCACAAATCCCTGAAATAACAAAACGACGACATTATATATCTCAGCTTTTGATTGTGTAATATCAGATTGGGAGGTTTATTTGTTTTACCTTTCTTACACCACCGGCATGTGATGTAACTAAGCCAACAAGAATCCCACCAAGGGCGTTGCTTATCACTGGGACCTATAAGAACAGTCACAGTGCGTTCAAACAATCAGAATAACTGTTTTTCTATCAACAGAATCGTTTTAGGATAATGAGAGAGTTTATTACCAGTGTTAAAGCTGTCCAACCATGAAAGAAGCCATATCTTTTAATAGCTTCACCATCTGGAGATTTAAGGGTGCTTACTAATAAGCAGAGGCTTCCAACAATAGACATTTCAACCGTCATTAAGTATGATGAATGCTTCTTAACCTGTAACGATGAGACCGTAAGGCTATGTATCACTTGAACTACATATTTTTTGTAGAAAAAATGACATTTAAACTCTGGATGACCTGAGAAGCCCATTGACATAGAGAAGAAGCTAAACCCGAGAGCACAGAGGCTGCCAAGACCGGGATAATTCCATAAAACAGCTTTTGATCCGCACTAATGCCACTTGAATCTTTGTTAGAGCCTTCTCCAACACTTAGAAGGACTGCTGCCATGATCAATAGACACAACGCTCCTATTTGTTGAAGTGATTGCTTCTGCCTACAAGATGTCATTCGAGATGATGTTTTAAACACTTTTCAAGCAAAAACATCACCATATCTGAATATCATCGAGCAACTATAAATTCATCACAAATTCCTCAAAACACTAAAGCTATAAGAGAAAAACAAGTAAAATTCTTGAGACGCGTGTTTCAATATCTTGATCCGATAGGATCAACAGCTGCCTTATCTAATAAAATTATTCGAAGAAGATTCCTACTGTCATGGAGGAGCTTCACAGAAGTGATAGGTATCACGTCAGAGTAGGGAAGCAGCCGAAATAAAGTTATTCAGGCAATCACACAACAAATCTCTAATTCAAATGCAATGTAGGCACTAGCTCATGAAAATAAAAATCCCCACAAACTCAAAATTTCAAGCATTTGATCAAAAACAAGACCATAAGAACAAGAAAAATGAAGGTTACCTTAGTATTATGAATGTAAAGAATGCAGTGAAAAAGATTTTCGTCTGATTCAGAATTGAAAACGTCAGGGAATCAAGACTCCTGTATGAGATCTGCAGCAAACTGTTCTGCAGTGCATATATGGCTGCAGGAAGTCCAGATGCAGTCAAGGATCCCATCAACGTCCACTCTTTTGATAATCCCTTCAAACTACCATTTCTTGCCATGAGAATCAGAGCACATATGACCTGAAAAAAAGAACATACAACAGAAGCATGCAAATTTTCAGAAACAGTATTTCATAAATGCAAAATTTTCAAAAGTAGAAAGGAGTAATCGATACCTTAACAATCTCGCACGTCAAAACAGATGAAGTAACAATAACGTCCTTCCTGAAAAAAACCAATAACAATGAGCCTGATATCGTACCAAGTAAAGAATGCGGTGTGACCAAACCAAGATAGAGACAATCCATTAAATGTAAAGAAACAAAAAAATGGACTAGTGACCAAGCCTGCTAGGTTCTAACTATCCATGGCACTTTTCTGTTAATTTAGCTTCATTATTTGAGCATAGAGTTCGAAATCTGCCATAGTAACTCAACATCAAGTACTAAACTACACGAAATAATACCCTGAAAAACTAAAATGAACAACTAAACACTATGATTTCAAGGCACCAATGTAGCAAACTAGTAGATTCAAATTCATCTCTAGAGAGTAGCAAATGGATTAGTTTAACAGTGATCATCGTCTTTTCTCACAGGAACAACGAGAATACATCACAATCGTCGCACATAACTTCGAAATTGTAAGTTTCCGTAACTATCCCGAAGCAAAATTCGCAGATTGAATCGATAAAAGCCAACAAAACAAATGCCAGAAATCGAATTCCATCACTACATAAGACTAACTACAACCAAATCTCGCATTTCACGATAAAAGCGCACGAAATTACAGAAATAGGAACGATACTGTCATCAACAACAGAGATTTTAGAGGCATAGGTTGTTGCCAGAGATCGTACCCGATGCAGCGTTTGGAGATCAGAGGCTGGGCTCCGTACTGAAGTGTAAGCAATATAGAATAAAACAAAACCTTAGGGCCCATACTCGACGGACTCTTTGCTCCGTTAGCCGTCGCCATGAATCTCCGGCCACCGAGAATCCAGAAGATCGCCTTCGCTTTGGTGATCTTTGGGTCGAGAATGGGTTTGTGCTTTCAAGGACGCTTTATCACTTTTTCTACATTGAACGTCGTTTTCTCAAGAGAAGAACCACAAGAACGACGTCGTATTTGTTTGACAAGTATGAAAACAATAATAAATTCTTGATAAGGAAACAGTTTTTTTTTTGGAAAAATTACAAGATTATCCATATCAACTTTGCCAAAACTAGATTAGAAAAAATTAATTAAACACCATCTAATTTTGTACTTGAAAAAAAAAAAAGACAAATTCTTGCTGACCCATTTGGAGGAAAAATTGAAGAGGAATACAGCTATGATATTTCATTTCAATTCTTTAAAATTTACATTATTTTTGAGATATTTTTGTTGGTCAGATTTAGACGTATGTTTCTCTTTTCATTCTTCACAAAGAATAGTAGAACAGTATTGCTTCATTTATTGGACTAAACCTTTAACAAATCTTTGAAATTGTGAACTTTGGATGAAACCAGTCTACAATTGTTTCATTCAAGTAGAGAGAGACATACAAAATCACAAGGAAAATCTACAAGTTCATTGTTTCAAGCACATGGACTTCCTAATACATAGTAACACTATGACAAAACATGTTTATTTGAAATCATTCGATATACAAACATTGAGTGAAAGTGAAAAGCAGAATGTAAAAAGGTTAAAATGTCAGAACATAGCAAAGCATAACTTGATTGTTCCTTTCTTTAAACCAACAATGTATTATATCCACTAAGCCTTTCAATGTGGTAGATTGAGACAATTCGATTTCAGGTTTGATTTGCAAAAGCCATACGAATGAAGATTGAGCCATTGTTGCATTCGTTCAATCCGTGATTTCGTAACGCCAAAGGCCAAACGTTATTAAGTTCCAATCCAAAATAATTGACAAGAACAAAACCAATGGACCTTGTGACAATGATGATATGAATCTCTCCCAATCACAAAAAAGAGTAACAAACAAACTAAAAAGATTAGGGTTAAAAATCATCATAAATAGTCAAAATCAACGGCCGTGATTGAAAGCCACCCTATAAATTCTAATAATCAATTTCTCTCAGAGAAGCCATTTGTTGTTGTTTGTTTTCGTTGCCACACTAACACAATGTGTGGGATTCTCGCTGTTCTTGGTTGCATCGACAACTCTCAAGCTAAACGTTCTCGTATCATCGAACTCTCTCGCAGGTACTCTCTCAATCTTCTGTTTCATTGATTAATCAATCACCCATTTTAAGTTTTTCGATCAACTTGTACCATGAAGCCTACGCAATGTTAATCGTTTATAAATTGGAATAAAGGTTTCAACTTTTTTTATGGGAATGTGTTCGTTTACTCATACTCAATTGATCAATCATATATAGACCCAAATTGATGTTTAGATTGGTTACTTTTGTTTGTGTAGATTGAGGCATAGAGGTCCTGATTGGAGTGGACTCCATTGTTATGAAGATTGTTATCTTGCTCATGAGCGTTTAGCCATCATTGACCCTACTTCTGGAGACCAACCTCTCTATAACGAAGACAAGACCGTCGCTGTCACGGTACTTTCTCTTGTCTTTGAAACAATGTCAATTAGTATCATGTGTTAATAAATGGAGAATTTAGACCTTTGTTACTTGCTTGTCAATAGTATCATATGGATGTTAAATTAAATATGCTAATGCTGTCAGGTCAATGGAGAGATATACAACCACAAGATTTTGCGTGAAAAGCTACAGTCTCACCAATTCCGTACTGGTAGTGACTGTGAAGTGATTGCACATCTTGTAAGTGTCTGTAATTGGGGAAACACTGAATTGTTGTTTCTGGATTACCATCTTTTGGACTTTTTTTGCATAGATCTGGATTTTGCCAGTTAGTGAAAATGTAACTGAGCATCCATACTGTTGAATTTTATGTCTTGCAGTATGAAGAACATGGAGAGGAATTTATTGACATGTTGGATGGAATGTTTGCGTTTGTCCTTCTTGATACTCGCGACAAAAGTTTTATTGCTGCCAGGGACGCGATTGGTATCACTCCACTTTACATCGGATGGGGTCTTGATGGTATGTGATCTAACGTTTTCCTAAGCAATTCACTTCAAGAAGGCTTAAGCTTATGCTATGTTTTCTAATCTACTAGTTTTCTAATGTTTAATTAAATCCTTTATAGGTTCTGTCTGGTTTGCTTCCGAGATGAAAGCTCTTAGTGATGATTGTGAACAGTTTATGTCTTTTCCTCCTGGCCACATCTACTCAAGTAAACAAGGTTTGTATACCTTTTAACAACTACACATTTAGTCTATCCTGGTGGGTTTTTGTAATATACTCTAGGCATTTTCCGATCTAGAAGTTCATGAAATGTCTTTACTGCTTTCTTGTAGGAGGGCTTAGGAGGTGGTACAATCCTCCGTGGTACTCTGAGCAAGTTCCTTCAACCCCATATGATCCTTTAGTTCTGCGGAATGCTTTCGAGAAGGTATGTTTGGAGATTCGTTCTCTTTAAAATGTTCAGTCTTGTTGCAACTGTATTGCAGTTGCTGAACAGTTTTTGGAAATATGAATGTGGTTCTTTATTTTGACATTTTTCCAGGCTGTAGTAAAGAGACTTATGACTGATGTGCCTTTTGGAGTTCTCCTATCTGGAGGATTGGACTCGTCTCTAGTTGCTGCAGTAGCATTACGCCATTTGGAAAAATCGGAAGCTGCTCGTCAATGGGGTTCACAATTGCACACGTTTTGCATCGGATTGCAGGTCATCAAAAATTCATGCTTAGTATCGGATTTCTTAAAAGGATGTGTGCCTTCTAGATTCTAACTATATATCCTGTTTTTTGTTTTCAGGGATCGCCAGATCTTAAAGCTGGCAGAGAAGTTGCTGAGTATCTTGGAACACGCCACCACGAGTTTCAGTTTACTGTTCAGGTATAAAATTTTCTTGAATCAGATTTATTATCATTCATGTTTTTCAAAATAGACGGCTTCATATCTTCTTCTAATGATAATTCCAGGACGGGATAGATGCGATAGAGGAAGTCATTTACCATATTGAGACCTATGACGTGACTACAATAAGAGCTAGCACCCCAATGTTTCTTATGTCCAGAAAAATTAAATCTTTAGGTGTAAAGATGGTTCTATCTGGGGAAGGTTCTGATGAAATTCTCGGGGGATACTTGTACTTCCATAAGGCGCCCAACAAGAAAGAATTTCATGAAGAAACATGCCGAAAGGTATTTCTTGTCATCAGATCAAGAATTATCTTACGGATCTGCTTTCGTCCCTTATTGAATCTTGTTTATGCTTTGATTCACTTACAGATCAAGGCTCTCCACCAGTTTGATTGTTTGAGAGCTAACAAATCAACTTCTGCGTGGGGTGTCGAAGCTCGTGTGCCTTTCCTAGATAAAGAATTTTTGAATGTCGCAATGAGCATCGATCCAGAGTGGAAGATGATCAAGCCTGATCTCGGAAGGATCGAGAAGTGGGTGCTACGGAATGCCTTTGATGATGAACAACGACCTTATCTACCAAAGGTTTGTTTGCAAATAAAAACCTGTTTGTGTGGCTCTCTGCAATTTTTTCTGATAGACTCTAGATTACACATATGATGGTCTAACGAAATTCCTCATCTTCTGGTGAATTCAGCATATTCTGTATAGACAAAAAGAACAGTTTAGTGATGGAGTTGGGTATAGCTGGATTGATGGTCTGAAAGATCATGCAAACAAACATGTAAGAAAGGTCTTTTATTAAGGCATTTTTCCGATAAATGTTGGAAACTTTTTTGACATAAACTTTCCTTTTTCTTGGTAAAGGTCTCTGATACTATGCTGTCGAACGCAAGCTTTGTCTTCCCCGATAACACACCTCTGACAAAAGAAGCTTACTACTACAGAACCATCTTCGAAAAGTTCTTCCCTAAGGTAATATTATATGCCTTAAATATTCAAATTCTCATCCAAACTTGTCTACTCTACTGATTTGTTTGTGTTTCCTGAGCAGAGTGCTGCAAGGGCGACAGTACCAGGAGGGCCAAGTATAGCTTGCAGTACCGCGAAAGCTGTGGAATGGGATGCAACTTGGTCAAAGAATCTTGATCCGTCAGGCCGTGCGGCTCTTGGAGTTCATGTTGCAGCTTATGAAGAGGAGAAAGCTGCTGCTGCTAAGGTTGGATCAGATTCAGTAGATTCTCTTCCTAAGAATGGAATATAAGAGAACACTACAAAGGTTTATTCTTCTACAGAGAGATGGTTTATGTGATGTTATCTTCTAGAGGGATCAATGAATAAAAGCTTCGTCCATTTCTATCTGAAGATTCCATGGATCTCCAGGTACTGCAAAGTGATACACGATGCCTACATTTGTACCTAAGTTTCTGCATGTTTTGTCGTTCTTGTGTGTTTTAGACAAGTGTTGGACCCTCGATGATACTTCATTTTCTTAGAAGTTAAATTTGATGTTATTACAAAGTCTGGCCTTTCTGCAATGTGTTTTTCTACTTGTTTTGGTTTGTTTGTTACTCAGCGCAGGACTTGTTGTAATATACTATTAAGTTAGACATATGTAAAGCAAATAAGACTCCGTGGCCCAATGGATAAGGCGCTGGTCTACGAAACCAGAGATTCTGGGTTCGATCCCCAGCGGAGTCGCTCTTCATCTTCTTGTTTCTTTTTCTCGCTTATACTTGTTTTTTTTTTTTTTTTTTTAATTTGTGGATAAAGTTTTCAGATTCCAATTTAGTATTTCAAAAAGACAGATGACCTAACCTCATTACTCGTGTCGTGTATGGACTTTTTTTCCTTCAAATTTATATTTTATGAAATTAGAGTAGACGAAGTAACTGCTCCCCTTCAGATTTTAGCTTAAGAGCCAACCACGTGAATCCTCTATAGCTTTCGTATTATTAACAGACATAATAAATTAAGAAATGAAAATCTCGTTTTCTTATGTAATGTTTTATATGGATCATCAGTTTCTCTAGGTATAGCTGTTCCAATATCATGATTTTTAAATTTATTAGTTTTCAACATCATTAGCTTTCCCATTGTATTTGTAAACAAACAAAAGAAAATTAGTTTCATTTGGACCTATTCTTGAGAAATCATAGGCAAATGTGCCCGTTCACATTCTGAATCATATAAGTTACAGTCCTCCCAACCCACGTTTTCCATCACGATCAAATCGTACTAGTCAATCATTTATGTTTGAGTCTAGTTAGTTTGACACGGTTCGTATTCGCCGTTTCTTGTTTATTAGTTTTAAAACAATTTAACTTGATTTGGTATAATATAATATCTCTTTAGAATTATTTATTTTCATTACAGCCTGGTTTTGAAAGAAAAAATTGCCTAATTGCTTAGATTACTTCATAAACTTTTTCAGCTTTGATTCATTTAACATTAAACCCAATTGAGATATTGTATTAATTTTAGCATAAAAGGGGAAAAAAATCATTTCCTCTTTTCATCAAAATCAGCTGTTAAAACTTAAAAAGGGGAAAAAATCAAACAGCTGTCAAAATATTTATTAGAAGAATATGTCCATATTCAATTATATATATTATTTTTATTAAATGCTTACAATAACTTAAATAATTTTGGGATTCCCGTTACATTACTTAAGCAGGACGACGTGCGTCTGCTTCGTCTCATTACAAGCAGAAGAAACTCACAGAGAGATCTTAAAGAGTTAAAGACTGATCCCAACAAACAATGGCGTCTCTCAAAGTCCCAACCAATGTTCCTCGTCCCGAAGATGACGCCGAGCAACTCCACAAGGCATTTTCAGGTCTCTCTCTCTTTCTTTCTTTTTCTTTTCATCAGTACTTGATCTAGATTTAGTTTCTTCTACTATCATCTAATCTGTAATCTATTTCGTTAATCAAAAGATTGATCCTTTTGATTTCTTAAGTACTCTCCATAATTCATCGTTAAGTTTCTTCGATTTCTTTTGTTCTGTATTTGTTGATTTAGTCACAACTACATTGGTGATTAGGGATTTAATCTTGTTTGACCTGATCTCTGTTCTCCCTCACCACAAGATCAGGATCATATCTTCTTATATTATATAAAGTCCGATGATGTCCTAATTGGTTGATCATATTGAAAGTATGTTGCTTTTTGTTCTTTAGCGGCCCACAAATATACTTGTTTGTGTTCAGATGCTTTTGTTCTCCTTGGGAGATTTGTGACATGCGACATGTCTTAAAATGTTTTGTTTTTTGGGTTTGGTCTGAAACAGGATGGGGTACCAACGAGAAGCTGATCATATCAATTCTAGCTCACAGGAACGCAGCACAACGCAGCTTAATCCGCAGCGTTTATGCCGCTACCTACAATGAGGATCTTCTCAAGGCATTAGACAAAGAGCTTTCTAGTGACTTTGAGGTTTTTTAAACTCTTTTTCTTTCTTTCTTTCTTTCTTTTGGGTCTTTGAAAATATTCTAGTGACTGATTTGGGCTTGTGAACTGTATTTGGTGAATTTTGTAACAGAGAGCTGTGATGTTGTGGACTCTTGATCCACCGGAGAGAGATGCTTATCTAGCTAAAGAATCCACCAAAATGTTCACCAAGAACAATTGGGTTCTTGTTGAAATCGCTTGCACTAGGCCTGCTCTTGAGCTTATCAAGGTCAAGCAAGCTTACCAAGCTCGATACAAGAAATCACTCGAGGAAGATGTCGCGCAACACACATCTGGTGACCTTCGTAAGGTGGATAATCAATCAATCCATAAACAGAGTTTGCTTGTTTTTGTTTCTGATTTTTTGACTCTTTTTTTTGTGTAGCTCTTGCTTCCTCTTGTGAGCACTTTCAGGTATGAAGGAGATGATGTGAACACGATGCTTGCAAGATCTGAGGCTAAGATACTTCACGAGAAGGTCTCAGAGAAAGCTTACAGCGACGATGACTTCATCAGAATCTTGACAACAAGAAGCAAAGCACAGCTGGGCGCAACACTAAACCGCTACAACAACGAGTATGGAAACGCCATTAACAAGGTTAACTTAACTACCAACTGCACTTTTTCTCTTATATAGTCTTGTTCAGACAGCTGAATATGTTGTGAAATTTTGCAGAACTTGAAGGAAGAGTCGGACGACAATGATTACCTGAAACTACTAAGAGCTGTAATCACATGTTTGACATACCCTGAGAAGCATTTTGAGAAGGTTCTTCGTCTTTCAATCAACAAAATGGGAACAGACGAATGGGGACTAACCCGAGTCGTGACTACAAGAACTGAAGTTGACATGGAACGCATCAAAGAGGAATATCAGCGAAGGAACAGTATTCCTTTGGACCGTGCTATCGCCAAAGACACTTCTGGTGATTATGAGGACATGCTTGTTGCTCTTCTCGGACATGGTGATGCTTGAAACTGGTTCATTATCTTGATTTCCTCCTTTTTCTTACTGCCTGGTTTGTTTTTAATAAGAGAGTTGTGAAACTGGTTCTGCAACTATTTATCAATGATCGTTTGAGTTTGCTAATTTGAATCAAAATCTGTTTTTCTTTCTTTAAATACAATCTAAAGCACAAGCTAAAGCAAAAGCTTCATAATCTAAGCAATTACCACTTCCACAATCTCTACTACGACATACACAACAATGGTTCTCTGTTTTCTTGATCAAAATCTTCTCCATTTCTTCTAAAGCTTGGACCTTTAAAGCTATCTTCAACAACATAGGTTTTTCATCTCCTGAAACCCGGTTTTTCGATTCACCCATCACCACAAATCTTTCAATCTCCATGCCCGGCGACTCAAAAACCGATTCCCATGAAACCTCTCCTCTCCCCACAACCTCAGATTTCGATGATTTCCTAAGAAAAGACGACGTTTTCTTCCTCCGTAGCTCGAAAACAACTCTCTGTTGCTTCAATTCTTTGACTGCTGCTTCGTCCCCTTGACACTCGAGACCAAAAGATTGATCCCACATGAGTTGGTCTGATTTCGAGGAGATCTCTCTCGTGTTTACTTCGATCTTTCTGTTGTGTCCTGCAGAGAGATAGAATCTAACGAACAGAGTACTAGCTTGTGACTTGATCTCTACGTTTCTTGCTTCTACTATACTCACTTCGCATTTTAGTGAACGAAGTTTCTTCTCCATGACACCCATTTTTTTGGCTTACAAAATCAAATCAAATCAAGAATCAAAGATGAGGTTTTGTTGATTGATATGTTTGATGGAACAAAGACTCAGTATTTATATATACTTATGATGGAGGATGATCGAATATTCTAATAGTTTATGTAAAATCCATAACACATTACTTTTGTATTTCTTACTGATAGTTGTAAGATTCGGGATCTTAGTAAGTGACTAAGTGGTCATAGATTATCCATTGGAGAATTCCAGAGGACAACACTTTGTCACTTTCTTAACTTTATAGTTTTAATAAGAGATAAACAGTAGAGGGTTATATAAAACATGTGTGGACTAGATCATGACTTGGTGCACATCTTCGTTAGTCCAATGAAATTTAACTCTAGTGTTTATTGCAATACGATGATCCGTATAATAATAATATTGAAGTGATACAAGCGCTGATCTTCCCAGATCCAAAGATCTTATCAAGAATCAAACTCCAAAATCTTTAAAATGGACCCACCAAATTTGTCGTATTTAAAAAGGGTAAAAAACTTATGGTCTGTGTCATATAATCACTGATACTACTACACCAGAAAAAGTATTATACAAAATTGGCACACTCAGAAGTTTCTTACATAAAAGGCTACAAGGATGTAGACATAATAAGCCCATTCTTGTAGGCCTGTTTTCAGTATATGCCCACTCCTTTCAGGTCCAATTATAAATTTATAATCTATCAACCGACATTTTGGCCATGGTTGTGGACCTTGTGGTTGTGGAGGGTTTCAAATAGTTTTTAGATTATAGTTTTTGGTTTTATTATCCGCGGCAAAGAATTTTCCGCAAACCTATCGCGTATAAAACATGTGAGCCAAAACTCACCCTATGAAAAAAAATATTCGACTATCTAGAAACTCTCTAACTTGCATTTTGATAATATCGTTGTAGTGTATTTTCTCGTTTTGAATTTACTAATATCCAATATTGAATGAATATACGAATTAATGCGTAATTTGCTAAGACTTAATCGTCATTTAATAGATTGTTATATCTTTGGTATGGATAGGTATACTTTTTATTTCATAAAAATTGATAATAATAATTCTATAGAAATAAGAATATTAGTTCTTGTAAAATTTTTTTTATATATTTGGGGAATTTAGCCGGCCAACTGGAAATTGGAGTTAATAAAGAGGAAAATCTTTTGGTTTTCGTCACCCAAGATTCGATACAATTATTTATAGAATTTCTCAGAACTGATCACTATCACAAATTCTATTTTCTAATTACATTTAAGAATCGGTCCATCTGATATTATAAAATCAGAGTACGTTTACTAAATTTCTTTATATGTTCCGACAAGTAGTAAGACCACCTGAATATACATAAACATTGATATTACATTACATAATATTACAAGTCTCACAAAGAAACAAAAATCACACGAACAAAACAAATACAAAATTACTCTAAAAGTTCATAAATTATCATGCTTATGAAGTCACATTATTACATGATCACTACAATCATTTAGTCTCATCTTCTATTTGTTTCTCATAATTTCCATCATTAATTCTTTTATACAAAACGCAAACATATTCATCATTTTACTCATAAGGAAAGACTATCGTTATCGTTGTAGATCATAGATGATCAATTAAATACGAATTGGTTTCTTCGATGATATGAAGCCGGTTTTCGCTTTTCTCTCGTCCAGCTTAATTTGCTTCTCCCTGCATTCTAAGCTACAAAATGCGTTGTTCCCTCTACAAAAACGATACAATATAATATACAAAATAATATTCATCAAAACCATTACATATTATAACCATGATCAAAACATCATTTCAAATTATGTGAATGATAATTACGTTTGTGAAATTTATAAAAGAAAAAAATACATAAAATCGTACCTATACATGTAAATGTCACGATGATGGCAGAGACTTCGATTGCAGAGAGTACAAGTCTTCAAGAAATCATCGTAGTTAGTAGCCATCACCACCGTCGGATTATGAGGATGTTGATGAAGGGTTAGATGATCGGACGGCTGAGATGCGTCGTAGATCGTGGGGGTATCGAGTGTGATCATCTTCATGCTTGTTGTTCTCTTGATCAGTGATCCATGACGCTTTCCTAACACCATCTTCTCTATCTCTCTAAGAAGGAGAAGAAGTGTGAAGTGAGAGAGGGAGAAAAAGTAAAGGGGAGGAAGAAGAGAAGAAGAACACAAGTTATTTAAAGAAAAAAGAATGGGAGAACCTAATTTAGAGATAATCTTGTTTTATTTTTATAACCTTCTTTAGTTGGCAAATTATAATTCTTTTTCTTTTATATATATATATATATATATATATAAATAGGTAATCATATTAGTGTAACCGTGTAAGTCATGAACCTCCAGAAAAAAAAATTAAGAGTTAAGACAATCATTTAATCCGAGATTGCGTAACAAAGTTCGACTTTCATATACCCCCATTTTGGCCCCTTCTTCAATCAATGCCCAAAATTATAGTTTAAATTATTTATTGCTTCAATCTTGGATATGATGGATACAGTTTGCAAGTGTTTTTGTAACCAAACAGTGAATTATATTTAAAATTTCAATGTCACCTATATAACCAAAACAATCAAATTTTGTCAATACGAATATAGTTTTCGGTTTAGTAGCTAGTCGTATCAATTTTGCACTTGTGAAAGAAAACTCATAGTTACTGGTATGGATTAGATGTACTCAAGTGTCTCATACTAGTGTATATAGTCAGACAGTCCTATATATATATATACATCTCTTGCGGATCAAAAATTCAAAACACTTCTATATAGAGCAAGTTTTATCACATGTATAATAGAGATCTTATGATGGGCCAACAATATGTGGATCGAATTTACCAATTTTGAAAAAAATGTATCATTGTAAAGTCTGATCCGGTTTTGTATAAATCTAGATCACTGTGAACTGGATTAGTCAAGCCAAACCGGTTATACTCATCGATTTTCTTTAAAATCAGGTTTAAATTTAATATCAAATCATAAGCAAACAAAATCAGAATCGGATCCTATACAAACAGGATTAGATTGAATCAGGCTATCCCTGATTATATAGAAGAAGAAAACAATTCATAAAACAAAATTGTGATATCATAAGCATTAGGAACAGGACAAAAGTTAGTGTGGACATGTAAATGGATGAATGCGTCACCAAACTGTCCGAAAACTTTTCGACACATAAACCTCCTTCTTTTAGCTGCACTGTCTTGTCTCACTATTTCCTCATTGCCTCTCACCTTTTTATTTTTGTTTTTAGTGAAATCAATTGGCTGGAGAAATATATTGTATCATTCCAGAGAAACTCTCTCGACTTCGAGAACACTATTATAAGTCAAAAGTTAGAAACTTCAAAGATACAAAAATATTATTAGTTTGATCTGATGCACATAATTGAGTACAATTCTAAAGTTAAATGATTAAAATTTCACACAGCCCCACAAATGTAAGAACTTTTTGTTACATCAAACTTTGTAATTAACAAATTTTAGTGGGATAAAGTATTGAAGAATCAGTGAATGGTACATGAGGTAAGCAATAAAGTTTTTAAAAAAACTAATACTGTGAGAGCACAAAAGGACAAAGGTATCAACAATGGAACGCATCAAAGGACCAACCCAATTATTTCGATGAATCTCTGGGCCCTTAACAAAGACGACTAAAAAAAAAAGCAAAAGCAAAGCAAGTGTTTGGTTCTGTACCAATAGATTCCATTTATTCATATTTCATATTATTAGTTTCTTAAAAAAATTCAAATAAGTATTGATGTTCCCTACCAACTTGAAAGAAAAAGCCTAGACAAGTGGCTGCACTTTAGTTTTTCACTTTCTATCATTTTAAGAGAAGCCCACTTATGTTGATTGTTTACATACATTTCACAGACATTGTAAGTTTGAACTCATTTTAACATTTTATCGAAGGCAGTAAAAAACACATATAGATTTGACAGGACAATATCCACGTATTGTGATCGAATGGCTTAATCATGAAAATCTTCCCAAAAGGACACTTAACCGATCAAATTCACTTCACTAAGACAAGAACTTGAAAGCAAACTTGCAAGTATTGTTTATTTGTTTCTTACACAAAAATCAAAACTTTAAATAGTAGTAATCATAAACTAGATGGAGCCAACACGTGAGTTTCTCTCTAGATTTTTTGATTAGACCTGGGGACATGAGCCATGGCCTGGGAGAGTCAAAGAAAGTCTACAAAAAATGGTCAAGTGTGCTGTTTCAACTTTCAAGTAATGAAAACATTTTATGTAAGCATAATTTACATAAGCTCTTAAACCGCAAACCATCATATGATTAGTTCAAGACTGAAACATTTACTCATAGAACCATTTTGGCATCTTGTGTTCGACAACAATATATGACCCACCGACACCGAGTCGAGACAAAGCGTAAGCTTCCGAGTCGTTTGACTCGATGAATTGGAGTGGTGAGGTCACAAAACGTTTTGGTCAACTAAAGCGAGTTTCAGTTATATGGGCCTTGTTAGATATGTAATAGTGGGCCTATTTAAGATACGCATAACCCTAAAACCCAACTCAGACGATTCTCGAACGTCGTCGTTTGGGAAAGCCGAAAGTTTACGCCGTCCAGTTTAATTGGGTTCGGGTCGTGGGCTGTGATTCTGTTAGGGAACAAACATCGAGATTGCGGAACCTAACAGAACGAGTCGCGGCCGAGGCCGAGTCAACTCGGTAAAGTAATGGTGAGATTAATTGAAAGGTTAACTCTCGGTGGAAGACGGTAGAAAGCTACTTATTAATTTACCTAATCAAAGATTTTGATTTTGATAAGAAAAATCTAGCTACTTTTAATTCGGATCACTATAGAATAATTGAAAAAAAAAAAAAAAAAGAATAATTGAAATCTCTAAATTAACCGTACCCGATTCACGTTCACCACACCAGCACTACTTTTCGATATTTGTATCCGAAATGGATAACCTTAACTTTATTTTTTAATATTAAAACATATGAAACAAAATAATCTAAAACCGCCGGCAAAAAAAAAAAACCTCGCTGAAAAACCAATTTCTGTTCGGTGGGGATGATGATCGGACCGGTCTAACCGACTGGATTAAGGGATTAATTTTAACAACGCATCCGCCAAGAATTTCGACAAGTGTTTAAAGTTAAATTATGTGCCTCTTCGTCGCTTCAAAACGCAACCGTTTCCACTTATTATTTTATCTCTCTCGTTTAACAAAACAAAAACAAACTGACTTGGATTTGTGTTTGTCATTTCTCTAGTTCAAAAAAAAAAAGAAAGAGAGAGAGAGAAACGAAGAATAAAAAGAATAAAAAGTAGCAAAGACATTGTGGGTCTCCTCCTCCGGTGATTAGGATCAAATTAGGGCATTATCCTTATCGGAGAAAGAAGCCATGGGAAGAAGAAAAGTCGAGATCAAGCGAATCGAGAACAAAAGCAGACGACAAGTTACTTTCTCCAAACGACGCAAAGGTCTCATCGAGAAAGCTCGACAACTTTCAGTTCTCTGTGAATCTTCCATCGCTGTTCTCGTCGTCTCCGGCTCCGGAAAACTCTACAACTCTGCCTCCGGTGACAAGTAAGCTACTCTCCGACTCCTCTTATGGGTCTCACTCGAGTTTTGTGCCTTTTTTTTCTTATTCTCTTTAATTTGTTTACTTGCTTTCCCCATATAGAAACTTCAAATCTAGGGTTTTTTGTTTCCTTCAAATCAACTGAGATCTCCTCCTTTTTTTCTTTAAGAAGAGAGCTGATGCTTTAGCTTAAACCTAATTTCAGATTAAACATTGTGGAGGCCAAGATATGTTCTTGGTGTTTGTTTCTTGCTTTTTTTTCTTTCAAATAAGGGTTTTTATTTATCTTACCTTTGATTTTTACAAAATTTAATATTGCATGTGATTCAAGAATTTTTTCTACACGTGGTGGTGATACATTCTCAATGTTGAAATTTCAAGTAATCGCTAATTCATCTGTTGTTCACTTTCAACTTTCAAGATTCAATTTTTTTTTTTTTTTTGGTTTAAGAAACAATGTGTCTATTGTTAAATTTTGAGATTTGGTTTATATCCAATATTGTAATGCACATCCGGTGGATTTGTTTAGAGAGTAATGGTAACATAGATCAAGAGTCTTTCGTTTAAAGTAGATACCACATTGTGGAATTACTGATCCGGAATGTATTGTAGTCTAGACTGTTTGTTTTTAATTTCTCTTCTATTGGTTTGTCGATTAAGTACCTTTCAAAGGTCTATAGTTGATTTTGCAGGTTGATCGTAGGGTTTGGATAATTTTCCACATTGATGTTTGCCACACATGCTACATTACTTATCTATAATCGGACATAGATTTTTACCCTTTTAACCCTTTTCGTTGTGTGCATATGACACCATTCACAATAAATATCTCTATAGATTAACGGGCTTGTGCCCCTTTTTTCTGCTCTTGCAATGAATTCAGTTTGGGATTCTTTGGTAAGTCTACGACCACCTATATATATGTCGCAGTAGCGTAGTAGATTCATTAAGTAGATATCGATTTCTACCGATAAGGTGAAATAGTATAATTCTTCAATGAATTTAATAGTCTTCTAACTTTGGTTGTGGATATTCCTAACCACATGACCTTTTGACATTCGTCTATCTAGAAGAAATCTCAACTACTACTTCTCAACTAGAAAATGGAAATGTAATGTATAGCTTCTTCTCATTGCCTTGATGTTAACACCAACAAGCTTGATCATGGAAGTATATATGTTAAATTTGTAACAATGCACATACTATATATAGAATTATTAGGATCTTTTTTCTATTTGCCTCCAGTTTACAATTGTCGAATTCTAGTCATAGCTAGTTTCCTTGGTAGTTCCTTTATACCTTAACTTAGTGGCACTATACAAAGTATTTTGACTTGAGATTGATCTTATGCACACTCTTTAGGTTTTTTCTTTTTCTTTTGGTGATTGATGTTGAATTCAAAACTTAAGATGTTACGAAAAAACGTTTAAAGTGAATTCTTAGGCAGCTTTTATCTATATTATATTGCGTTAATATATCATGGACAACACCAATTAGGATAAGAGTTGTGACCTTCCCAGAAAGCCAAACCCATTTTCTTGGCTTTTTCTCTGAAGATGATCTTGATATCATATAGTCAAACATTTTGCTTCCAGTTCCCTGTAGATTCGGGCGACTCTATGTGTGATTGCTTTGATACTAGGCTGAAGTTGGATTGAATAGTCATAATCATAATTTGAATTCATATCCATTATTAAGTCCTCTATTGATGCTATATCTAATTCGTAGTTTTGAAAAGATTGTGTAGATTATTGGTTCTAATGAATGTTGTTTTGTTCATGATATCTCCAGCATGTCAAAGATCATTGATCGCTATGAAGTACAACGTGCTGATGAACTTAAAGCCTTAGTAAGTTAGCTAAACATCATTAAAAACTTCTTTTAGATGCGGTTTTTGATGTTATGATGGGATAGAAGCACTGCTCAAGCCTGAGATAACTCAACGAACTTCACAATCTTTCTGACCATTCCCTTCGTTTTCTCCATGTTCAGGAACTTGCAGAAAAAATTCGGAATTATCTTCCACACAAGGAGTTACTAGAAATAGTTCAAAGGTTAGCACTAAGACACCTTTATCTCCCTCTTCTTCTGATGAAAAATATATCTTTTTTTTGGCGACTTATGAATATAGCAAGCTTGAAGAACCAAATGTCGATACTGTAAGTGTAGATTCTCTAATTTCTATGGAGGAACAGCTCGAGACTGCTCTGTCCGTAATTAGAGCTAAGAAGGTATCTATACTGCTAACTAAGTGATCAAACCAACCTTCCCAAAAATATTTTGTTTAGTTAGATTGACAAGAATAGTCTTTTGACATAATCCGTAATGCCTTGTTGTAGACAGAACTAATGATGGAGAAAGTGAAGTCCCTTCAAGAAACGGTTAGTGCTTTGGTTTTTATCTGCTGGCAAAGCCATATTGTAGGGTATGCTGATCCTTTAACCAAGTTCAACTCTAGATATATCTTTTGGTCTTGTCTTAGTTCCTGATTTATTCTTGGCTTTATTTTATATATATGAAACCCTAATTAGAACCAAAAAAGGCATGTATTAACTCGTGATCAAATCGACTTTTCTCCCTGGATGAATTACCCATTTGGATGAGGATCATGCTCAGATAGCTTTAGAACTTATTAGAAACTAATGACCTTTTGATCTTGTCCAAACAGGAGATGTTGCTGAGAGAAGAGAACCAGATTCTGGCTAGCCATAGCCAGGTGACAAAAACATCTCTTATATATGATTCTAGAAGCTAATTCATCACTTGATACTAATCTAAATAGAAATCACACTTGAGTTTAACATATATATAAAATTTGAAGGACTATGACGGATGCTAGACATTTATTGTGAAACCCCCATATATCTTAAAATCTGTGATAAAAATGCTTTCAAAATCCAAGTTTCTTGTTACTATTTAGTTGAATAGTAGTTTTAACTAATGGAATTTTTAAAAAGAAAACAAAATATCGTTTGACAATATAAGATTAATTTCTTGTTATAATGTTTTAGTAGCTGTAAAAAAATAATGTAAGAAACTTTCTTACAGCTGGGGAAGAATACGTTTCTGGTAACAGAGGGTGAGAGAGGAATGTCACGGGAAAATGGCTCCGGCAACAAAGTACCGGAGACTCTTGCGCTGCTCAAGTAATCACCATCATCAACGGCTGAGTTTTCACCTTAAACTCAGCCTGATTCAGAATAAGAAAAAAAAACATTTGTATATTATAAAAAGCTGCATAATCTCAACCTTTTTATCTTCCATCTATGTGGAAATTAAGGTAAAACAAAAAACAAAAGCTCTTTTCTTGTATTGTAAAAGAATTTTAAAACTAAGATAAAGCTATAGAACTTTGTTGTACCTTCGTAGACAATATCAGAGTTCTTCGTGTGTTTGTCTTTTTTTCTGAAAGTACCGATTGGATTTAAAGTTTTGCTTTCTTCAGCGTGAAGAACCCTAGACCTAGAGCTTCTTAATTCTTTTGGTTTTACTTATATATTTTTTAGTTGTTAGTTATTTGATTAATTGAACGTTACGTGGCATAGTTATTTAGTTTAAATTTTATTTAACCTTATCAGATATTTTGTACGTTTTCCAAGTTTATCAATTCTACTTTTGAGGAACTCCAAAAATAATTCTTCCAGAAAGAATATGGCAGAAAATGATTTGTCTCGGCTGTTAGGACAGCATCCAGCTTCGGCCCATTGAGGCCCATAATTTAAATTTGATGGCCCATTACAAGTTGTAACACTTTCTTCATTTTTTGTTTCATTTGCATCCAGCTTCGGCCCATTCAACTTGGTTCAAATTTTTGAGTGTTGGGAAACATACTTAATTTCGGATTGGTTTTGGTTCGGCTTTGGATTCATATTATTTAAATTACAACCAGAATCCAAATAAACCGAGGATCCGGACAATGATAAGTCACGAGCGGAATGTCATCATTTCGACGAGATCATAAAAGTATCATTGTCTGATCGATATGCGGGATATTCTGATATACAATAAAACCTCTATAAATTAATTTATAGAAATATTAATTTATTGATAAATTAATAAGTATTAATTTATAGAGAGATTTTATTAATTTTATAAAAAAAATTATCTGAAAAGTAGTTTTTTTTTTATAATTAATTTCTTTCCAAAACAATTTACAAGTAGAAAATCAATTATTAAGTTTAAAAAACAACATAAACTTTTTCGAAGTAATAAAAATAATATTAAAATTATTCTACCAAAAATTAATATAAATTTAAGAAAAACAAACAATACTAGAGTCATATTTCAATAAAAATTTTACATATAATATATATTTATATTGATAAATTAATATTAATTTATAGTATTGATGGGACCATATATTTACACAGAATTTTCAAAAAAATTATTACCTTATTAATTTATCGATTTGTGTCATTTTTTACAATTATTAATTTAGAGAGGTTATTAATACAACGTGCAATTTTTATTACTCCCTCCAGTTTCGTTTTACTTGTCGTTTTAGAGTTAAAATTTTGTTTCATAATAGTTGTCGTTTTAGGTTTCAATGCAAATGTTTGGTGAAGATTCCAGTTTTATCCCTACTGTTTTAATGTTTCTGCCAATGAATTTTTTTATAAAATATATTAATAAAGAATAAAACAGAAAATTTAATGCTTTTTTAATTTATGTGAAAAAACCTTAAACGACAACTAAAACGAAACGGAGGGGGTATTAACGAAGGGATAATAACATATACAAGTTTTGATCAAAATAAAAAAAAGATACAAGTAGGTCAAAACGCGCCACAGGGCACTCTACATGCGTTGATATACTTAATACGTGTCTAAACTCTATAAACGCATCGTTTAGCACTCTTTGTGGTTTTGGTTTAAGGGATTTTTTTTGTTCTCTCGTTAACAAAACAAAAACAATTAAAACTTTTTTGAATTTTCGCAAAACCCCAAAAAAAAAAAAGGATAAAAAGAAAAGCAAAAAGTTCAGTGCTCCGGCGAGTCATCACAATCAAATTAGGTCCGAAGAGTTGTCGGAGAAAGAAGCCATGGGAAGAAGAAAAGTCGAGATCAAACGAATTGAGAACAAAAGCTCTCGACAAGTTACTTTCTGTAAACGACGAAATGGACTAATGGAGAAAGCTCGTCAACTCTCAATTCTTTGTGAATCCTCCGTCGCTCTTATCATCATCTCTGCCACCGGAAGACTCTGCAGCTTCTCCTCTGGCGATAGGTAACACCATTATTTCCTATTATAAAGTCTCTCTTTTGTTAGATTATCTCGAGGAAAATATAAACTAAAGAACTAGGGTTTTTTTCTTTTGCCCCTTTGAATCTTTAAAGTTGATCTTCGTGTTTTGTTCATCTTCATAATCGATGTATAGGTTTAACCAAATTTACGATTAAACAATGTGGTGGCCAAAGATATACTTGGTGTTTGTTTTGTGTTTTATCATTTTCTATTGTGCAGGGATTTGATTTTCCTTTTATACTTTTTTTTGGTGAGAATATATATTGCATGCATTTGGAGAGATCTTTCTACACGTGGTAATCCGTACTTTATGTTTGTCTATTGGGATTTCAAGCCATCTTAATTTTTGTGTAACTTATTCTGTTGTAGAGTCATAGAACAAATGTATGTACATTGTTTACTTTTGAGATTAATTTAGGCTCATTATCCACTTTTTTACTCAACTCAAATCCACCTTGGGTCGATTTGTTGAGAAACTTATCAAAGGTCTCTAGAATGGAAGGGATGCCACATTGCAATTTCTGGTTGATTGCAAGTGTATTGTAGATGATTTATTTTTATTAGTTCTCTTTTTATTGAATTTTTGCTTGAGTAAAAGGTTTCTAGCTGATTTTGATGGTCAAATATAGTGTTTGGATAACTATAAAAAAGACTCAAATTAACACTATCCACACATACTGCATTACTCCTTTGAACGGATATCGATTTTCTCTCTTTTGTTCATATAAGATTCATACATGCACATTTTTGAATGTGAGTTATGACACAACGGTGACACTAGTATATACCACCGGGTTACAAGCCATTTTCTCCCACTATACTTGTAATTTTTGGGTGCCTATAACAACTTGAAGATGCATGTATACACATTGTGTAGCTCTTTTTTTTTCTTCTAGACATGTTCCCTTCTCTTTTGTAATGCATTTTTAACTCTTTTTTGTTGAGTTATTGGATCTCATGGGCCAGAGAAAGTGAGTCTCTACAATCACTTGGTACGATACATTTAATCTTTTTCACTTTATAACCATTGCTATGTGATTAAAATGAACGAAATTGAGATCTTGTAGAAATAGAAATATAAATGTTTGTCACTAAATATTAAGCTTCTTATAATTTCCCTCATTATTAACATCACTAATGCTTGATCATGAAAGTATATATGTTAATTTGGCAACTAACAGGCACGAACTATTGATAGGATCATAGAATGGAACTTCTTTCTTTCTTTTTTGCTTTAATTTATTACAATAGTCAAAACTCGTAGTTGTAGCTAGTTTCTTGGTAGCTCCGCTGGTACTTTAATTTAGTGGCCCTATATATACGGAAGTGTTTTCACTTGAGATTGTACTTCCTATGTGCCTCACTAATTGCATAGTGTTAGATCACAGCTTAGGACGCTACTTACATCATGGAGATCAAGTGAATTAAATTCACTGCCTAAATTGAAGTCTTGCAATATAGATCGCATACGACACAAAGTAGGAATGAATTTGTGAAAAGAAACATAGTATCGATAAAAAATAGAATGGCTTTTAAGACATTGAGGCACATTCACACATAAGCTTTGTTTTGTGGTGTGTCTTTTGTGGACTTGATTTGGGCTGAATACTACCAATGTGTAACCTTCCCTAAAATACTAAACACCATTCTTTTGATGTATTGTATAAGGAGTATTTCAAAATCTTATATGTATATGGGCATATAGCCAATTTTCTTTTCAAAATTTCCACTTCAGATGATTGTATGAGAGCTTCAATATTATGTGGAGGGAATTTCTAGCTTTTGATATATAAATTTGGCAAATTTTACAAACATATGGAGATTTTTACTTACGAACATGTATTTTATCAAGATTTTGTCACAGGGGAAATATGATGTTAAATGTATCTAGGAATTTCTTTGCTGTCTGCTGTTAGATTGATAAAATAACAAAAGTTAGATCATTGGTTTAGCTTTTGATAAGAAAGAGGTAATTTGTTACTCATTGGAAGATATTTTTCATATATATCCAAAACCTTTCTAAGTTCAAAAGAATTTAGCCGCTACAAAATTGGAGATGGACTTGGTAGTTATTGCAAAAACTTTTACAGCATTAGCGTTTCAGGTTTACTTTTTATGTAGTAAAATTTACCCATATTATATGCATTGACATTAAATGAAAGAAAACATTGTGTACTGATCCGTTTGGGAAGTAAGAAGCCCCTTTGACAAAATATAAGTCTATCGTAGGAAAAGTACAAAAAAACTATTGGTTAACAAACCTTGTTTTATTTTTAAGCTATATATACACTAACATTTCTATAAACAAGCCTTAGAGCAAGGTTAATTAACCTAAATTGATGCTATAACATGAATTAATGCTATATAAGTAACATGTATATATATATATATAGAACCTTCCTTTTTCTCTAAGAGTCTCTCTATTGATGTGAATTATATTTGTTTCGAAGTTTCAAAAAAGTCTCTCTAATGGCTTTTTGTTTCTCTCTTGATCTCTCCAGCATGGCCAAGATCCTCGGTCGTTATGAATTACAGCAGGCTGATGATCTTAAAACCTTGGTAAGTTTTTCTTAGATACTTGCATATCCGGTCGCATACTTATGTAATCGAGATGAGCATTTAGAAGATAGCTTATAGTCCATTGAGATGGTTATTATGTTGATACTTTTTGTAGTGCCTTAACATTGTGGATAAAGACCAGCATAGAGATACTCTGTTCTTCACAGCTGGTATTGCACTAGAAAGTCTACGACATGGTTCTAAACTTGTAGTATTCCAAACTTAGTTGTCTAACCCTATCTTTAGTTCTCGAATGTTAGAAACATCTCTTGTCATCCATATATACACCCATTCCTCTCAAAGTCTTCCAAGGCATATCTAACTGAGATGAGCATTTAGAAGCTTAGCTAGAATAGTTCAATTTGTGTAGTGTCTTAAGATTGTGGAGAGAGATCGGCATAGAAGTTCAATTACTTTGTTCTTCACTGCCGGTGATGCACTAGAAAGTCTACAGCAAGGTTTTAAACTTGTCGTATACCAAACTTAATTATCGAGGGTTAGAATCATTTGTCTCCTGGAAACAAAAGAAATTCAAACTCTTTTTTTCATGGCAGGATCTAGAAGAAAAAAATCTTAATTATCTTTCACACAAGGAGTTGCTAGAAATAATCCAGTGGTTAGCACTAAGACTCCTTTTTCCCCCTCTTCCTCTGATTATAGAAGTTGTTTTTCTTTTCTGTCGTTTATATATGAATATATATGCAGCAAGATTGAAGAAACGAAAAGCGATAATGTAAGTATAGATTGTCTAAAGTCCCTGGAAGAGCAGCTCAAGACTGCTCTGTCTATAACTAGAGCTAGGAAGGTATATATATGCTGCTACTAAGTTATTCAGCCGTCTATTCAACAATATTTGGTCCAAGAACAGTGTTTGGACTTTGCACTTCAGATCATTTCCCCTGTTTGACATAACTATTAATGTCTTGTGACAGGCAGAACTCACGATGGAGTTTGTGAGGAGCCTTCAAGAGAAGGTTAGTATTTTTGGTTTTTATTCGCCATCTCAAGCTATGCTGATTCTTGAATCCTCTTAAACTCTGAGTCTGAAGATCACTAGACAAAGTTAAGCTCTCTAGATATGTCATCGACTCTCCCCCTGGCTAAATAACCGAAATTTGTGATGAGGATGTTTTAGAAAAACTAATAAAGTTGTGATGTTGTCCAAACAGGAGAAGCTGCTGAGAGAAGAGAACCAACTTTTGACTAGCCAGCTTACAAAGGTACCATCTATAATGTTTTTTTTTTTTGGATAATTACCATCTCTTATGTTTCTATATCTAATAAATCATCTCTACACAGTACACACTTAGATTCACAACTACACTTGCATATACAGTATATCATATACTGTACTACTTACGTTAAGGACTTTGATGGATAGTGGAATTTTTTTAGTTAAGTAAACCCATACTTTAAAGAAACATGCTTTTAAACTAAGGAAGGTGCGGACAAATGAAAAGTTAAGAACTTTGATGGTCAGGTTACTACATAATTTTGAGCAAAACCCATGGTAAAACTAAAACATGCTCTTAAAGTCTATTTTTTCTCTAAAAATATTGTATATGCAGAAAAATAAATGTAAGAAAGTTTCCTACACAGGATGGATGCTAAATTTTGAGTTCTTAGTAATATATTTAGTATCACCTATAAAATAAAAAGAAATGTAAAACAAATTTCTTACAGATGGGGAAGATGAAGAAGTCTAGGGAAACAGAGGATGCAAGAGCAATGTCACCGGAAAATAGTTCCCGCAACAAGCCACCGGAGACTCTCCTGCTTCTCAAGTAACCACCACCACCACCAACGACTGATTCCAAAAATAAAATTGTAAAAAATTCTGATTTGTTATTCATAAGAGAAGCTACATATGTTATAAATCATCTTCATCCCCTGCTACGGAGAAGTTTAAGAAGAAGACGCATCCAAGGGGAAGAGCATCAAATAAAAGTATTGGTTTTTATTGTTACCTTCGGGGAGACGTGATCATATTGTATTCCGTGCCTTTTGTGTGTTCTTGTCTGAATATTGGAATTGTTGGGTTTATTTATAAAAGTTTGAGCTGCTTTCCTTCAGCGTGAAGAACCCCTAAGGGCAATTAATTTTTATTTTTTTTAATTAATTGCTAGTTGTTACTTTACCTTCGTGGCAAAGTTAGAGCATTTTTCTTAGTAATGAATTTAGCTGCTAATTTTTAATTTTTTTAAATGGGAGAATTTATATCAGAGTGATGATGTCAGATAATTCTGTTTTTTTCTTGGAACTCTTTTAACTGATTTTTCAACATTTAAGGCGGAAAGCCGGTAAAAGGCTTCTTTGTCCTATCTGTCAGGTTTGCATACACAGAAAGAAAAAGCTGTCACGGTTGCCAGATTCGGCCCATTAAATAAGATCATACCAGTTTTTTCCTATACAGGTAATATGAATAATTTAATTTAATGAATTCATGGCATGCGATTGATTGACATCAATAATCATACATAGTCAAGTACTCAAATTACTTGTCTACTTTTTTTTCTTTTCTTATACGGTTACAGTTAGACGAGAGAGACATTTAACGGACTTACAAATTAGCCGTCGCAAAGCTTATAGTGTAGAACGATTCTTTGTAGTTTGCGAGAACTAGCAAGGATGTGGTAGAATTTAAATATTTTTTATAGGATAGTTGCCAACATTTTCCTAATTTTTTTTGTTTTGGGTTAAAACATTTTCCATAATCTTTTTATATCCTAAATTTATGTAAGATTGGATGCGAGTTCCGAGGAGACAATCAGTGTAAGGATGGGCCGGAAATCTCTAAATGGGCCGAAGACTATTTCTCAATCTGGACTCTGCAATTAAACCATGACAGCTAAGATAGTTCCTTCTTTGCAGGCAAATTTTTTTTTTTTTTCTTTGGATCATACAGTTATTAGAGTTAACTTTGTTTTTATTTTAATCAGAGATATGTGATAATACGATTTTATATGTTATCCCTAAAAAGAAAAATCAAAATTAAATAGCAAAATCCATTAGTAAGGTACAGTAACTTTGCCACGAAGGTAAAGTAACACAACTAGCGCGATTAATTAACAAAATTACTAATTTTGGCACTCAAGGTTCTTCACGCTGAAGAAAGCAAAACTTTTACAAACTCATCACCTTCCTTTTTTTCAGACAAGAAGACACAAAACATTCGAAACTTCTGATCCTGTCTCCAAGTCGATATCTTATTTGAGGGAAAATAATTTTTTTTTTTTATATTTATCCGTATCAGGAGGAGAAGAGGAATTTGTAGCTTCTTTCTGATTTACACATATGAATGTTTTACCTTTTAAAAAAAAAAATCTGACCAGGATGATGACAAATCAGCCGTTGATGATGTTCGTTACTTGAGAAGCGGGAGAGTCTCCGGTGGGTTGTGGTCAGAGCTATTTTCCGGTGACAATGCTCTTTCATCCTCTGTTTCCGAAAATTTCTTCAGCTTCTCCATCTGTAAGAAATTTCTTTACATTTTTCTTAACAGATACTTTATTTTTTGTTTATGATAAACAACAGATACTTAATATTACAGCAAGATCTAGACCTTAAAAGCATGGTATTGTTTTTCCAAATTTTTAAATAATATTTTCATGTGTAATACCCATCATCCTTAACTATCATCTGTTAGAAACTTTCTTACATTTATTTTTCTACATATTCTAGATAACATAGCAAGGAATATAAACTTTAAGAGCATGACTCATGTCTTTTTTGTTGTTGCCAATTTTAAAATCAAATTATGGATTTCACTAAAAATGGTGTAGTAGCCATTCGAGTTGTTAACTTTCATCTGTATTGTATATGCCCCTTTAACTTTGTATTGTATATGCAAGTACATGTGTATCTATCTATATCTCTATCTCTATCTAATGTCTATCTATACTACGTGTAAAGTGATTAATTAGTTTCTAGAAGCATAAGGGATTGTGTCTTTGTTACCTGGCTAGCTAGAACCTTGTTCTCTTCTTTCAGCAACTTCTCCTGTTTCAGGACAAACATACATCATAAGGTGTATTAGTTTCTAACAAGTTATAAAAATCCTCATCCCAATTCGGCAATTCACCAGGGAGAAACTTGAATGTGATCAAAATTAATTTAACAATACCCTTTTCTAAAAAAATTTCATTTAATTTTAACAAAAAAATAAATCAAGAACTAAGACAAGACCAAAAGACATATTTAGAGAGCTAAACTTGGTCTAGTGTTCTGCATACTCTGTGAGGTTTTGAGGATTTAAGAGTCAACATAGCCTACAATGGCTGGGGTAGGATAAAAAACAAAGTACTGACCTTATCCTGAAGGTTCTTCACAAGCTCCATCAATAGCTCTGTCTGCAACAAGACATTGAGGATTGTGTCAGATTGGAAACATTGGTCCAAAGTCAGGCAAGACCCAAAATCTGGACTTGGAAAACGAATTAGATAGAAGCAATCACTTAGTAGCAGCATATATACCTTCCTAGCTCTAGTTACAGAGAGAGCACTCTTGAGCTGTTCCTCCATGGAAGTTAGAGATTCTATACTTACATTATCGCCTTTTGCTTCTTCAAGCTTGCTGCATATATATTCATAGATCAACAAAATAAAAAAAATAAAAGAAAACTTTTTTTTTATCAGACGAAGAGGGAGAAAAAGGGGTCTTAATTACTGCTAACCTTTGAACAATTTCTAGTAACTCCTTGTGTGAAAGATAATCCTGAGTTTTTTCTGCAAGATCCTGCCATGAAAGAAAGATTGTAAAGTTCTTGTGTTTCCAAGAGACCTAAATGATTCTAACCCTCGAGGGTGTACGACAAGTTTAGAACCTTGTCGTAAACCTTCTAATGCATTACCGGCACTGAAGAACGAAGTACCTTTATGCTGATCTCTCACCACAATGTTAAGGCACTACAGAATCCACATAAAAAATAATCTTAATGGACTAGTCGAGCTAAGGCTCATCTCAACAATATATGCCTTACATGGTTTTAAGACCAATGAGTGTATATATGGATGGCAAGATATAGTTCTAAGTTTCTAACTCTCAAGAACTAAGTTTGGTATATACGACAACTTTACAACCTGGTTGTAGACTTTCTAGTGCGAGTACGTATACCTCTATAGTCTATACCAGTTTCTCTCCACAATGATAAGGGACTACATGAAGTATCCACATAACGTAACAACCATCTCAATGGACTATAAAGTCTATAATCTAGCTTCTAAATCCTCATTTCAATCACATATGCATGTGTACCCATGCCCGCGACCAGATTGCAAGGTTCTAAGAAGAACTTACCAAGGTTTTAAGATCACCAGCTTGATGTATTTCAAAACGACTGAGGATCTTGGCCATGCTGGAGAGAGGTCAAGAGAGAAACATAAAGGTATTAGGAATAATCTGTACTAGCTTTTTCTAACGATATATCCATATTAAGTGATGGACTTTAGTTTTAATTTTCCAGTACACAATTTTCTCTTTCATTTGAATGTCAATGCATAACTAACAATTACTTAAAAGTAAATCTAAAACTCAATTGCTTTAATTTCTAACTTTGCAATAACAACTGTGCAGCATCTGATTTTGTTTCGACTTAAAAAACTTTGAGGTATATATGCACAAAATGAGCAATTTCTTCCTATGAGATAACCTCACTACTTTCTTATCATTATAAAAGCTAAATCAATGATCTATTTTTTTGTTCCAAACTAACCGCAGTTGAGAAAAGAATACAATTAACTGGATGGATAACTGAAAACGATATTCCCCCTTATAACGAAATTTTGATGAAATTCATGTTTATAAGTGAAAATGTCCAGAAGTTGGTGAAATGATCAATATTGACAATTTCTATATAAAAAGCTATAACTACGACCTTCACATAGTATTATAACACTCGCACAATCTCAGCCATATTGGAGAATTGAAAACAAATTAAACCTTTGGCTATAAACATTAAGATTTTGAAATACTCCTTGAACAATAATCCAAGAAAATTGGTTTAGCATTTCAGGGAAGGTTAAAAATTGATAGGATTGAGCCCAATCAAGCCCAGAAAGACACGCCACAAAAGCTAACTTATGTATGATGGCACCTTTAGGTCTTATAAAGCATTATAGTTTGGTCTCCTATGAGTTGTGATATTTTTTTTTATCAATACCAACATTTGGATCACGAATTCCTCCTACTTTTGTTTTGTCCGTGTCTATTGCAAGATTTCAATTAATAGAGTGAGTTTGAATCATCAATGTTGTAATTAACACCATCCTGAGTTATAGTTGCAACTATGCAAAGGCACATGAGAAGCACAATCTCATGTGAAAACACTTTTGTATAGTGCAAGTAAATTAAGGTATCAAAGGAGCTATCAAGGAAACTAGCTACAACTGAATTTGACAATTTTAAATCTTGAACCACATAAAAAAAAAGTTCTGTTAGATCTATCTATAATTTGTGCATGGTAGTTTCCAAAGTAACATTTATGCTTTGCAAGAAGCATTAGTAGAGTTAATCGGAAGGCAATTGTAAGAACGTTTTATATATATATACTGAGTTAGTGACAAAGGGTTACATCCCCATTTCTACAAGGTCTCTGTTTGTTGTAATCACATTATAGAGGGGGGGAAAACAAGATAATTAACATGAATTGAACCAAATGGATATAGAGGGTCAGTCTCTTTGGCCCATGAGACCCAATAGCTCCAAAACGATTGATTAATTTAAAATGCAATGCAAAAGAAAAGGAAACAATTCTAGCCTTCTAGGAGTGGAAGATAGAGCTACTCAGTAATCAGTGCCGGCCCTGAGCACAGCCAATTGAGGCAATGGTTTGTGGCCCCCAAATTTTTTGTTGCAAAATGAGGCCCCCAAATATATTTTTTGTTGCAAAGAGAGGCCCCATTTTCTTGAAATTTTAAGATTTGGTATCAGGTTTTAAAATTTATCTATAAAACCCAACAAATTTTTTCTTTTTTTGCTGGGGCCCCATATTGTTCAGGGCCGGCCCTGTCAGTAATGTAGACATGCATGCATCTTGCAAGTTGTTATAGGTTGTAGCCTCGTGGTTTGTACTAGTGTCATCGCCGTGTTATAATTCATGTTCAAATCTAGGAGTGGACGTGTGTGAGTTATCAATGACAAAGAAAATCTATACATTAAACCAAAAAAGAAAAAAAAATCTATACTCAGATCAAAGGAGTAATGAAGCATATGTGAAAACTATGAATTAGAGTGTTCTTTATAGTTAGTTATCCGAACTACATTTGACCATTGAAATCAAGAAAAATAAAAACTTATAAATCATCTAGTAATACACTTGTAACTAACCAAAATTTACAAAAACAAGTGGCTCTCGTTTCTACTAGATCCTTGATCCATATCTAGCATTACCCCAAGTAATTTCTCAACAAAATCCACCGAAGTTGCATTGAATTGGGTAAAGACAGGTAAAATGTGCCTAAATTAATCACAAATTAAACACTTTACATTGTTCTAATAAAACTCTAGTAGCAACACGAAAATAAGATGACTTGAAATCCCAATAAACAAACATGAATTACGGATTACCACCACGTGTAAGAAAAATCTCTTGAAGTGCATGCAAAAAAGAAAGAAAGTACAAAAACAAATCCCTGCAACAAACTAAAACAATAAAAAGTGAAAATTTAACAAATCGAACACGAAGAACATCTTCCGCAACCACATTGTATAATCTAAAATTTAACTAAAGCAATAAGATTCGAAGGGGGCAAAAACAAAAAGTACAAAACCCTAGTTTCTAAGTTCTCGAGAAGATATACAAAAGAGAATCTACAGAGGAGTTAGAATTAGTGATACCTGTCGCCGGAGGAGAAGCTGTAGAGTTTACCGGTGGAAGAGACGATGAAAAGAGCGACGGAGGATTCACAGAGAACGGAGAGTTGACGAGCTTTCTCCATGAGACCATTTCGTCTCTTACAGAAAGTGACTTGTCTACTGCTTTTGTTCTCAATTCGTTTGATCTCCACTCTTCTTCTCCCCATGGCTTCAGTCTTCCGACACGTCCGATGCCCTAATTTGATTCTCATATCTGTATAACTGGTCGGTCGTCGAAGACACTGAATTTTTTTAATTTTTTTTTTAAATTGTTTTTTTAGCACAATCCACTATCCATGAACCCTGTTGTTTTTGTTTGTAAAATTACCAATTAATATCAATGAAGTTCATTAAAGAAAAAACATTATTAAGACTTGCAAAAAAAAAAGACCTAAACGGTGCGTTTTAATCAAGTTTAGACACGTATTAACGCATGCCCAATTCCCTGCGGGCGCGTATTATTTTTCATTGAATTACAGTCTTAGTTATTACCTCTTCGTTATTATCTTAGTTAAAAACAAAACAGTAAAACAAAAACTCAGTATTTGACATCTTAAACTTTATAAAATACCACTTAATATTCGAATTTCAAAACAAAAAAAAAAAGACGAAGTGAGGATTTGGATTTGCACTTATGTACGAACAGTATATCGAACAACTGATGTGACAATTTTGTACTTTGTTAATATTGGTAATATGTGTACACAAACTTTATTAAAACCTCATATAATCCTTTTCCAAGTAAATAAAATTTGAAACAAAAAAGAAGTAAATAAAACGTCATAAAGTGTCCAATGGGCTAAAAAAAAAAAAATAAAAAAAAAATAAAAAAAAAAAAAAAAATAAATAAAATAAAACGTCATAAACTCTACTAAAACGTTAGCCTCAGAGGAGGACGTTGATTGGATTTGGTATCACCAATTTTGGGCTGTAGGAGAAAACCAGATATTGGGCTGGGCGTTTTCTTTGATTCAAATAAAAAGCCCAACAAATAACTACCTCAAGAAATTCCAGCTCAGGCTACCGTTCAAGCTAGTCAAACTATTTTGTGGTCAAACCTCGATAATATATACTCCCTCCGTTTTTTATAAATGATGTTATACGATAATACACACAGATTAAAAATCATTTAGTTTTTATTTATTTCTAAAAAAACATCATTTATTATATAATCAACCAATAAAAAAAGAATCTGCATAATATAAATCATCAAAACCAATAAAAAACTAATTAATATTACATTGAAAACTGAAAACATCATCTATTTAAGAACAAAAATAAAAACTTAAAACATCACTTATAAAAGAACGGAGGAAATATATGTCTAAATTCGAGCAAAAATGGTTCTTGTACTTTTTTTTTTTTGCTGAAGGGTGGTTTTCGTATTTTATGGATACACTAACCAATATTGGGAGAATTAAATATGTCGATTATTCGAGTCTTATTTATCAGTTTGTTCAGTGAAAAGAAGAAATTCATTTAAATCTTTTTGGAGGAGAAAGCTTTTTCTTACTTAGTAGTTAGTAGAAAATTACAAATATGATTCATTAATTTAGATCTTTACATCTTTTTTCTAAAGAAAAAAAGTTCAGATCTTTTTTTTTTTTTTTTAAGTTCAGATCTTCCTAATCACTGCATGTAAAAAACAATTGAAATAATTGTAAGGAAATCTTAATAATTATAAAATAAACATAATTAAATAAAATCATCAATACAAAATCTTACTTATATAATTTGATTTTAATTTAAATGGCTAACTTGTGTGTGTTTCATCTAACTTTATTGACTAATGGATTTTTAAAGTAAAAATTTAACGATCCATCAAAAGAACACAATATTACTCTATTTAATCTTTTATTAATGTTTACACAAATAAAAAATCATAGTACATCTGTAACTAGAGCATATCTCTACTGTTATTAAAAACCTCCGAAGGAGCTGGCGCCAAAATCTGATCTTTTCAAACCGACTAGTATACAAGAAATCATTAACTTCCTCTTCTACTAATTTAATTGTATTTAATTAAAAAATATTTACTCATGTCCATAATCAAATCAAACCCTAGAAACAAAAATTAAATAAAAATAAATAAATGTCCTTCTCCGCACGATTTCCAAGATCTATTAACACCATAGATTAATGTTTCTAATTTGTGTTTGTTTCTTTAATTTTCTGATTAGAAAATTTTGATGAATGAGTTCCAATAAAGATAGCGACTCTGAGAACAGCCTCCAAAGCGAGAAGAAGATCAAGAAGGTTCTCTCTCTCTTCCTCCTTCAATTATTATTTGTCACTAGGTTTGTTTTTTTAATTTTTGATTCTCTTCGAATATGTCACGACGTGAAACCCATTAATTAAACTTAATTAGTTTAACATTTTTTGTGTTTGTGCGACATTTCTGTTTTAGTCAATTCTTCCAAAGATTTTCGGATCAAGACGATGTGGTAAAGAAGAAGAAGAAGATGCATCATATAATATGAACAACAGAGGAGATAATGATGACCAAGACCACTATCGAGTTTTCAATGGTAATTTCTTCTTTACGTACATCACAAGAAAATAAAAAACCATTCCATTCGATTTGATTTTGGATCGTTCTTTTTTTTTGTTTTTTGTAGATTTTGAGCGACGAATGGCTTCTCGAAAGAAATCGATTCTTGACAACACTTCTCCAATGATTTGGAAGACTGTTTCTGGTAAATTGATTTTTTAATTTCAATGTGTGGTTAAGAATAATTTGATTTTTTGGGTAACCTACCCAGACATTTTGACATTATTCACATGATTACGAAAGCGATATAAATCGTACTACATTGTCAAAGATTTGGGGGTTTTTTTTCTCTATATATTTTGATGTAGACTCGTCTCTTCGTCAAGGTCTTTAATCAAAATTTAGGGTTTTCTTGATCCCAAGTTTTATTGCTAAGCAATGTAAAGTATTGATTTTGATGGGTTTTTTTTTCTTCTGATAAATTTGTTAGAGAGAAAGTCAAGTCCTGGAATTGAAGGCTTGAATCTATCGAGTTTCGATAGGCCTATGGCACCAACAACAGAGATTCGTGAACTCAGGTTTGAAATTTAATCAACTTCTTTGTAATCTTTCTGGTTTTTCAGATTCAAATACTCTGTTTTGTTTTTGAATCTCAGGGTGTTTCTAGCTACGTGGAACGTAGGAGGAAGAACACCAAACAATGATCTTAACCTCGAAGACTTCTTACTCGTTGAAGGCACAGCAGATTTATATATCTGTGGGTATGATATCAATGACTTTTTGGATTCATGGTTCTTATTTAAAGTTTCAATCTTTATGACGAATCTTGTATTGAATTCTCTTGTTTCTGTATATCAGGTTTCAAGAGATTGTTCCTCTAAGTGCAGGAAACGTATTAGTAGTTGAGGATAACGAGCCTGCAGCTAAATGGTTAGCTCTAATAAGTCAAGCTTTAAACAAACCGAAACAAGAATCTGTTTATTCGAATGCAGCTTTCTCTGCTTCAAGAACAACTACTTGTAGTAGTAGTAGTTGTGGTAGTGAAGAATCAAGAACACCAAGTAGTCTAAGTTTCTTTCAAAGACCGAATCTTAAAGTTTTGAGCAGAAACTATAGAGTCGATTCAAGTCTTTTAAAGACTTGTAATTGTCCGGTTATCGATACTTCGGTTGGTTGGGAAGCGAGGAGATCGAAAAGGTTTAGTGATCCTAGTACAGATAGTAGTAACAATGTGGAGCCTGAGAACTTTAGGGTTCATGAGAATTTCTTATTTGATGATGTTCCTGCGACTACGAAGATGCCAGGACAAATGAGTTATCGATTGATCGCGAGTAAACAAATGGTTGGTTTGTTTTTGTCTGTTTGGGCTAGAAGAGAGTTGATTCCACATATATCTCATCTTAGACTTGATTCTGTTGGGAGAGGAATCATGGGTCGCTTAGGGAACAAGGTAAAGCCATTCTCTTTCCCTATAAACCAAGATTCTGACACAAGCTAAAAGAGATTCTGAATCTTTTGTGTTTTTTTTTTACAGGGATGTATTGCTATAAGCATGTCATTGCACCAAACGAGCTTTTGCTTTGTGTGTAGCCATTTGGCTTCTGGTGAGAAAGAAGGTGATGAGCTGAGAAGAAACGCAGACGTAGCTGAGATTCTGAAACATACTCAATTCCCTAAACTCACCAAGAACCCTAATTGTCACGCCCCCGAAAGAATCGTTGATCATGAGTATGTTTTCTTGAAGTCATAAATCCTTTTCTGTCTATAAAAGCAAAAAGAACCGCTAAAAGATTCTGTTTTCCCAAATTTGCAGCCGAGTGCTTTGGCTTGGAGATTTGAATTACAGAGTTGCATTAACCTATGAAGAGACGAGATTATTACTAGAAGACAATGATTGGGACACTCTTCTTGAGAGAGACCAGGTTTTGTAAATTAAAAATGATTTAAAATGTCTTTTCGATTTTCAATTCTTTCCTCCATTTTACCAACTTCTCTGATCTCTTATGATTCAGCTAAACATGGAAAGAGGAGCAGGAAGAGTCTTTTCGGGATTTCAAGAAGGTCAAATCTTCTTTGCTCCAACCTATAAGTACTCTCAGAACTCAGATGCTTACGCCGGAGAAATGACCAAGTCCAAGAAAAAACGCCGTACTCCTGCTTGGTAATAATCCAAAGTTCTAAATCTTAAACACTAAATTAAACACAACTTTTAATTGGTGTGTTTTGATTCTTAAATAGCTCTGTTTTGTGTGGTGTGATTTGAATTTTGGAATGTTTGCAGGTGTGATCGGATTCTATGGAGAGGAGAAGGAATAGAACAGCTTTCATATATTCGCGGCGAATCGCGGTTTTCAGATCATAGACCGGTTTGCGCCATCTTTGCAGTAGAAGTTGATGTGAAGAGTCTGAACAAAGGTAGATTCAGGAAAGGTTATTCTTGTGCGGCTGCAAGATTGGTTGAAGATTGCATTCCACAAAGGCATAGTTTTTATGACTAAGATTGTTACAATTCTTTTTGAAAACAAAAAAATTGATTAAAAAAAAGTTTTATTTCTTGATTGTATAGCTTTGGATCATCAACAAACAACAAAAAAATTTTCTCTGTTTATTCTCTTAACTCTGTTTTTAATACATTGTAACTAGAGAATATATATTCCAAAGTTGACATTTTTTCAATCTTGAGACATGTAAATATCTCTGTCTTCACAACCCATGTCCCATAACGAGAAATCTTCCTCGTTCATGGTCTGATTCGAGTCAGAATGATCTGGTAATTGGTTCAAATCCACTGTGCTTGTTTGATCTCCAAATCCTTGATCAGAACAGTTCAAGCCATGTAACCTCTCGAACCAGAGATAATCTAGCCAGTTTCCATCTTGATTATGATAATCTCTTGTGTCCTCTGCCTTCGAGCTCGCGCTGTAATCATCGTCACTTGTAGTCATGGACCTAACAAACCCGTCCGAGCCACCACCACTACTCTGGTTCACCAGTTCTTGAGTCCCGTAGAGACACTCAATCTCGTGACCGGTCCTCAAGTTCTTGTCCACGAATCCTAAACTCACATCACTCGAAGGACAACTCGAGTTTTGGCAAGTGTATACATTAGATAACATCGCCTCTTGCTCCGCAAACTTACCTTTTCTCTTGTTACCCAACTGTTCTTGATCTTGGGCTACAAGAAAACAAGTATTTAGCGACGTTTCTTGATCAACCCTTTTTTCTTTCCGCAGTTCTTGATCTTGCGCTACAAGAAAACAGTTGTTCAGGGAAGATTCTTGATCAACCCTTTTGTACGCCGGTTCTTGATTATTACCTTGATCTTCCGCTACAAAAAAACATGCATTGAGCGACAATTCTTGATCAAAACAAGTGAATTTTGCTGGTTCTTGATCCTCGTCCTCGTCATCTGAGATCTTGAGGCGATTGAGACGAGCTTCTTCTTGATTCAACACACGAGACCAGGTATCAGTCTCTTTCGCCACCATCTTATCTTGCAAACACTTGGACTGTCTCGCGAGCCGTCTCACTCTCTCCAAATTCGGCGACATGTGTTTAATCACAGCCGCTAAAACGCTCACTTTCCAAGCTTTTCTTAGATCGTGCGGTTTCCGATACGGCGGCGGGCCGTGCTCAAACGCCGCAGCTCCTTGTTCTCCCCACCATAACTCCGTCCCGTTGGGCCACCACGGTGGAGCCAAACCTTTTTCCAACGGAAACCGCCGTTGTGGCGGTACGCAATGTTGCATCAAAGCTGATAACAACGAACCTAAAGTCGTGTCTTGTAGCTCGTGAAGCATGTGAATATACGAATTCGGATCTATAGATTCGTTTGATGAGATTAACTGAGCAGCCGCTAAAGTTAAGTAATCAGAAACAGCGTTTGGAGCGGTTTGATCGAATTGAACGTTTTCTTTCCACCAACGTCTTAAACTGTCTGAAGAACCGGTTACCGGTTTACCCTTTTCCGGTACGATTCCGTAAACAAATCCTTGAGCTTTGCAAACTTCCATTATCTTCATCATGTACTTCAACACCGAATCTTGAGATCGAGCCATTTTCTTGCGGCGTGAAGCTTCTGCTCGGCGCACGATACCGGAGGAGGGGGAAGAGGATGATGCTGACGTGGAAGATGACGGCGAAGAATTAACGGAGCTATGATTATCTCTTTTCTGCTGCTTGAGCTTACACATGAGGTTTCGATCTTTCCACATGCGTTTCTTGAGATCGTCGTAGCTGATTTCTTCACCGCAACGTTCAAATTCGTCCTCATCTTCTTCCAAGTCATCCTCATCTTCGTCTTGAATTGGACTTAGTGGTTCTAAATCTTGAACCTCCACCATTTTCTTTTTAAGTGTATATAATTTTTTTTTTTTTTTGTTAAAGAAAATGATCCCTTGCGATTGCTCGAGTTTATGTTATATACTCGATTGATTGACTTTATTGGCGGTTAAGTTACATGTAAGAATCGTGATGTTGTGTCATAATATATCGTAATTTCAAGAAAAAAAATAAGAAGGATATAAAATAATTCTATAATAGAACTTCTATTATATGTAAAAGAGCCAGGAGGAGGTGTGCATGTTGGGAGAGGGACGTGTCGAGAGCTGCTCGTCTTGTCTGAACTAAAATTGCATGTCCTAAGAAAGCCAAAAAGAAAGCAAAAAGAAATAAAGTAATGTTTTGTTTTCGGCAAAAATAATGTATATGTGTTCATGTGGTCAAGACTCAAGAGTTACCTACGGAAATTAACAATTGTAACCTAAAATTGCGCTCGTGATAAACTTTTTACATCATTAGGAATGTCATCCGACAACTTGACATTAAAATGATGTCAGGTTGAAATTTTTTGATGTTAAAGGATGGTTCAATTGGTGACAGTTCTAGAGTTTTGGATGTTTGTCAAGGATTTGAGGGATTTTATATGACTCTGCAATTTATATACTTTACGTCCACCACGTTTTACCCACGCCATTTATATTAAAAGTCGGTGTAAACATGTATTTCTTTGGTGATACGAGACGAGTGATGTGCTTATCTTTTTTGGAACTTTCGAATCTCTAAAATATAGAGTGATTAACAATTTTTACTCACCTGTGTGTTTCTTGTGGTGCCTGAATGTTTTTAAGATAATTTTTTGGTTACCAATTTTTACTCCTTTTTTGTTACCATTACCCTTTAAAGTCAAATTGTAAATTTTACCAAGGGATGTAAAATTAGTCTAGATTTCTGTCTATTATTAGCTGGTTATATCGTCGTGCCAGTTCAAAACCAGCATGGGACAACTTTTCTTTGAAATCTTAATAGTTTGATCTACCCATTTTAAATTATGCAATAAAACCTTTATTTATAGATCTACTCTAATGACCGCATTTCATTGTTGCAAACTTGATAGAAAAAAGTTCTCAATGCCGAATTCGCTCTTTTCAGAGGAGAATTTTTTACGGCTAACTTAAGAAAATAGTGGTTGGCAGACCAAAAAAAAAATGACATTTTTATTACTCTGTTTTTTTGTTCTCCTGTGAAAAACAAACAACAGCTAATACACATACAAAGGACTGCAGATTCTTTTGTACGCCCTGCAAATTGTTTTTTCTTGTTCTTAGCTTCGAATCAAAAGATCATTGTGATGATATATGTTTGTTCTTGAGTTTTTAGAATCCAACAACTTGAGTGTACTGTGAATAAGCATCGGATTGCATAGCAATTGGTGCTCGAGTAACATGATCAGGTAGCTCGAACGCATCCACTAGTTCCTTGGCCACATTCCTTACTTGGAAACTCAGATACTCTGTCAGCTTATGAATCGCCTGCAAACAAAACAATATTTTTTGTTTTAAACCATCTTAATCGAGAAATAAGTCACTGATACAATTTTTGGATTATGATTATAAAACAAAACATACCTTAGCTTTGTTAGGCGCCACATAATCCACGTTACGGTACGTTCCTATATCTTTCCAGATTCGGTCCAATGCGTAAAGATCACAAGCTAGTTTCAGAGCAGCTCTTGCACTTGGGTACGGACAGCTGAACAAAGTAACGGTTTGTAATAAGAGATCTTGATTTGTGAAGTTTTTAAGGAAAGATTTTGGTGTGATTCTTACTTTTTAACAGCTTCGATGAACTTGGCGAGAATGACTGTTTCAATGTGAGATTCTGCAAGTGTCAAGAGATGATTCAAGCATCTGTTCCACGCACCGAAACCACCGAGAGTCTTTGAGTGCTTCTGCAATCTCGCTGCCACATTTTGTAGCAATCGCGATGTTCGATACTGAGGAGACAAATGTAAAGAAAACAGTTGTAATGAATGAAGGTGACGAGAGTCAGAGATATTATATACACAGCAAACATTAACTCACCCGGAAAGCATCTAACTGAAATTTAGGATCTCTTAGATGATCTTCACCTTCCCAACGCACTGTAACAGGATTTGGCTGAGACAAATAAGTGTTCATTGATTCTCTCAAGTAGCTCCATGTAACTGTCAACGTCCCGCCTTGGAACTTTTCTTTATAACGCTTCAATAAATCAGCAGCCACCTGAAAGAAAAAAGAAAAAAAAACTATGAGGATATTATTCTCAAGAAAGGTGAAAGTTTCTTAAAAGAGTGAGTGGACGGACCTGTTGCAGAAGCACAGTGTTGTCTCCTTCAAATGTTTGGAAAATGTCATGATCATTTCTCAAGCTTCCAAACCGGTTAACAGCTGCGTAACCATGTCCCCCACAGGCTTCTCTGCAGACCGAGAGTGCCTTGGCGGTGTAAGACGTTATATAAGATTTGAGCCCAGCAGAGAGTGCATGGACATCAGCAACCAATTGCTCATCGTGAGTCTTCTTCATCTCTGAATATTTCTCCACAAGGTATACAGTTGCAAAATGGTATGCATAGGTCGAGGCTAACATTGGCATGAGCTTGTGTTGTTGAGACTGGTAATCGAGAATACTGACCTCAGGTTGCTTTGGAGGACCGAATTGTTGTCTTAGAAGCGAATAACGAATGGCAATCGTTGCAGAGATTTTAAGGACGCCAACAGATGCATAGGCAAGGCCAACTCGACCACCTACAAGCTCACCGAGTGTTGCCCCAAATCTTTTATTGATTGTTGGCAAACTACTTGTATACGTACCATCTCGGGAAACATCTCCAAAACGATTGAGAAGATTATCACGGGGTATTCTCACAGAACGAAATCTCAATGCACCATTATCCACTCCATTAAGTCCCACTTTATGTCCACAATCTTGGATTTCAACCCCAGGGAGCGTCTGGTGTGTTTTCATATCCCTTATCGGAACAATGAAGGCGTGAACACCCATATCCGAGACTCCTTTGGAATCATGAGTTGGAAGGATAAGCCTGGCAAAAACAGTGGCAAACTTCCCATGAACAGCAGCATTTCCAATCCACCATTTAATCGCTCCATCATGAGGTGTATCGATTACGAATTCATCTTTAAATGGATCGAATGTAGCCGTGGTCTGAAGACCTTGCACATTTGACCCTTAAGAAAACAAAGACAGATACTTAGTACAAGGCATGACACTGAGACAGAGTATTAGATGCTGAGGCAGCATTAATCATCACTCACCATGGTGTAATTCAGTCATGGCAAAGCAACCGGTGTAATCGAGATTATCAATGCCATCAAAATACTTGTCTCTATGCTTCTTGGTTCCTAAATTGATCACAGACCCTCCCCAAAGACTGCAAATATACGTATAAACAAATCAAATACAGAGTATGAATCCTACATAGCTGTGTCTATCGGCTAAATTCTTATCAATACTAACATAATACATATTCCTTCCTTAGTATACAAAACAAGATCTAACTTTTCCATCAAGAACAACAACACGAAACCAAAAAGATGTCAATTTGGACAACAAACCTGTATTGAACGCCCATCTTAATCCCAAGGGACATATCAACACTTCCAACAGCTTCCATGATTGCGAAATACTTCTCCGGATCATCAGCAACATACCTAAAGGGCCTTATCCCAGCTTCTCTCACAAGCCCTAGAAGCTGATTCATACACAATTCCCGGTGATCGTCCTTCGAGATCTCGATCGGCGTCTGCAAATCGGGGCGGGAATTGTAGAACTCGAAAATCTTCTCTTGTATATCCATGTGTTTTCCCCTCATATACAGCGACAAAGCTTGGCCGTCGACATCCAGCTTCTTCGACCTCGCCGAACACGTCTCCGTCTGCAGCAACGGTAGCGACGGTGGCGGCGTCAAGGAGGGAGAAATGTGTAAAGACAATCGTTGGATCCGCCTCGCCGCAATTAGGCCATCAGATTCCTCCTCCGCCATCAGATTCTTCTCTCGCCGCGATTCCATAGTTGATGAAAATGTTCTCTTCGCTAACGGATTTATGAAATTTGGAAAATAAGAAAATCCTCTGAATTAAAAAGGAAGAAAATCTGAAATTAAAAAGGTTAATGCTTTTACGGCAGGGAAGATGACGTGGACACGTAGTTATCAATGACGTGTAGATATTTAAGTGGATAATATTTTGGCGCTATCTGGTGTGCTTTTCGAGGTGATCTTTTCCTTTTTTTGTCAGATAAGATCTTTGACCTGACGGTAGCTCTTGGGCTTTTGGGCTTCATGTAACTGTGGGTGTCAATTATGGCCCATTAAGTAGTTGTGAGAGAGACCGCGCGTGACTCCCGAGTCCGACGAATTCGAAACGCGGGTCAAAAGAAAATCTAAGATCGGAGAAATCTTGATTGGTTCCCGCCTCAACCACCTCTAAAATAAACCCTAATTCTCTACTGAGTGTTCTTCCGATTAAACCAAGATTTCTCATTTTTGCTTCCGATTAAACCAAGATTTTTCAGCCAACGACGGATGCCATCAATCCATTGGTCAGTCAAACAAACTCAATTTGGTTTTGTCTTTCGTTAATTTTAGGGTTCTTCATTTCTAATGTACGAATCGTTTCATTTTCTAGCTTCTTTGTCAGTTAATTGATTCCGAATTGAAGTGGGTTTTGTTCAATTTCTTTAAATTGTACCTCCAAATTCTTAGGGTTTTCTGGTTTGGAAATTTGAAAAGTTTTTGTTTTTGTTTTTGTGGGTGATTTTTGAAGATGACTGGAGATGGATGCAGCTTATTAGTGTCCAAGGAAACACGTCTCGCATTGTGTGATATGACTAATGTTTCAAGTAAGAGAGGTCTTTCAGCGATTTTGGGTGATTTGCTTCTTAAATCTGGAGATGATTCTGGTAAGAGCCTTGTTGCTCGTGAAGGCTCTGGGGTTAAGTTTTCCAAGAGGTTGTGTTTAGTTGTTGACGACTTGGTCAAGGAGAGTACTAGGACTAGTGATACAAATGAAGCTTCTTCTTCTGATGATAAAATTAGTAGTTTTGATTGTGATTTTGAGAATTTCGATGTTAAAGAATCTCAGGGTGAAACCAATGCGGTAGATATTGGTGTTGAACCTAGTAAAGGTGATGGTGATACTGTGAAGGAGACGTGTGAGAAAGACTCGGATATGAATGTCTGTGCTAGTCAAACCGATGCTGTTACTAGTGAAGACTTAGCTATGACTCTGTTTAGTTGCAACAATAGTGAAAGTGCGGGTTTGTTGGTGCCTAATTCTCAGACTATCAAATCGTTTAATATTAATAGATGTTCGAATGTTGACGGTAAAGGAATTGTTAATCACGATATGGAAGCTGACCAAGAGCTTAAATCTTGCTCTTGTTCTTTTTGCCTGAAAGGTTTGTCTGATTCTTTAGTGTTGTTTTTTGTTGATACTGTCTTTTTGATTCTCAATAACATGATCTAACTTAGTTTTTGTGGATGTAATGAATGTCTTCTTCAGCTGCATATATCTGGTCAGATCTTCACTACCAGGATATCAAAGGTCGATTATCTGGTAAGTGTTACATTGCAAAACACAGAGTCGAAAAAAAGTGGTAAATTTCATGTATGGTCATATGAATTTGGGTTGAATGCAGTGTTGAAGAAGAGCCAGAAAGAAGCTAGTGGTTTGATCAAAAGGAATGATAGAGCAAAGCCAATGGATATTTATGGATCTGAAAACTCCAATAACTCCACAAATACAGAAAATCCCATGGATCAATGGACATCTCTATTTCTTAACATGGAAGGTATCTTGGCTCGTGAAAGCAACCACCTCGTAAGTTCCTCAGAGCTTATATTCGACTCTCACTTCTAATTGAGTAATGGTTTGTTTCGGTCTGTAAAAATTTTGTTTTGTGTTTTGATGTCCATTGCTATTGATAACCTGCAGCACAGTAGCTTTGTAGCCATGAAAGAGTTGAGAGAAAATTGCAAGATTGATCTGGAGAGAGCGTCGAAAACACCTCAACACAACAACACTTAGGGACTGATTGTTGGTTTGAATGTTGTAAGAGTTTGTAACCTTCTTCCTCATATTTAAAGCAAATCATGTATGTATTTTAACATCTATTGTCATCATTTGATGTTGCATCTATGTTTAGTGTTAGACTTTGTTCTTCTAGCAAATTGTTTCAGATCCTTGAGACTAGTTATTATATTGATCTCTGTATTCGCATTTCTCCATTTGATTTCTTTATCTTTTTGTTACTGCTAATGTCGCTTGTAAACAATTTTTGGGCTAAGAAAGACGATTTAGTATTTATATAAACTTTAATAATCAAAGGTTCATTTTAAATTATTGTTGGGAATTTCAAGTAAAATAAGAGGTAGCAGAAAATAATCGGTACTGAAAATCAAGAGAGGGTCCATCGAATCATGAAAAATATTAGTTAGCTACCTAATCATGTCTTATAGATTAGCAATGAACTAATTAAGAATAGGGGATATTGATTTGTTTCTGCTTTGACATGCAAAAGTCAGCTATTTTAATATTTTTTGAAAAAAGGTTGGCCTATAGTCAACGAGTTAGCGGTTTCATTTCGAATTCTTTTTGGTTCCATGGTTTTATTTTTAATCTTGTATAGAATTTACATATGCATCAACACTATTACAATAATTACTGTATAAATTTAGGTCGATTTTATGGTTTTAGTTTAACATTTTCACACCACTAAATTTAGTGTGTAGATGTCACTTGGGTCTTCAATTTGTGAAAGATTCACGTATTCTTACAGTTTATAATTGCATCCCTTGCAATAACCAACGAATGATTTTCAAATCGCTGCGAACAAAAAAAAAACACTCAAATGATCAAATCTCTATCTCTCGATTCTAAAGGGTCTCTCAAACATATTGATAAGTGTTGTATTCACATGTCCCTATTTGTTCCAAAAGCTTCAAGTTTTTGATTTGCCGTTTGGCTTACACACTCCTGTTGGAAATTCAAGTTCTTGAATCTGTTGCTCTTTATAAGAATCTGAGATCAACAATTAAGATTTGTTTTTTAATCAATGTTTATCCATAGTACAAAAAAAACAAAAGACTATTTTGGAACTGAATATAAGACGTGGTTTAAAGTTAGCTAGAAAAGTATGATTTTAATTTTTCACATTATTTGTTGTTGCATATTAGGGTGGTATAAAAATATCTTTGAAAAAGCATAAGTGAAAAAAAGTAGAGAAGATTCACGAGAAGCAACCTAAAGTCCCATGCTGATAAAAAAAAAGAGTATTGACCATATTTTCTTATACATTATATGGTTTGACATTGAGCCTCATTTCTTTTGTTAAAATTAAGAGCCTGATTTCTTTTATACTATGTTATCTTATAATTAAAAATCCAATATATTTTTATATATATAAATGTCTAATTTCCGAACTAATAAATCATCTTTGTCGGTTTCTAAATAACAAAAAAAGACCAAAAACTGAAGAAAATGTTAGTGCTAAAATGAGAGTGAAGGTGCCTTGCGTAGTTTACAAGTCAAATCCACGTAGGACACACAACGTGTGAACACGTCTGTGTGGGGCCCTTGTGTTTCCACACGAAAAGCTGATTGGTTCCAATCTTTTTTCATGTTTTTAACTTTTTATCCTAATATCAAAGTGTTGATTAAATACAACAAATACAGATCCTTTCTTGTTTTTCTCTTAAACTCGGATGAATCGTATGTACACTTGTAAAGAGAAGGATTACACATTTACACTTACACTCACATAATGCTTTATAATGATATAGGGAAATACAGTTGTAATTTGGGTTTTGGATTTATAATACTAGTACTAGTTTGCTACTGTGCTTCATTTTAATTGAATATGCAATAAACATAACAGTTAACACATTGTAAAATTTCATAATTTGTCCTGAGTAATTGAGATACCAATAAAACATAAACGAATTAAGTGGACATTAACAATTGTCAACGCGTTTATTTCATATTAATATTTTTATCAAATGCAAATGTATTTGATTCTTGGAGTATTAAAAATAGTTTTTACGATATACACATGACGTCATCAGCGTCATTGACTTCACCACAGAAAACCCCATGGCCGAAACTATAACACATATATAAGCCAAATCTTATGGCGAAACTATCAAACACAAGATCGGGAATATTTCAAATCTAAACAAGAAACAAATCTTCGTTTCTACTTTTTTTTTTTCTTTCAAAATTTAGTCAATTCGTTTTCTTAGTAAGGGCTTCTTCTTTTTTTTCCTCCAGAAGCTCCTCTTTGTTTCTCTCATAATTTTTTTATATATTATTATTGTATACATATGGCAATGGCTTTAAACATGAATGGTTACATAGACGAGTTCACGAAAGCTCTTGAACCATTCATGAAGGTAACTTCATCTTCTTCTTCTTCTTCTTCGTATTCCTCCTTTTCATCAAACCCAAAAACTTTAACCACTAATAATAACCAAGCCTTACCGGAATCTAACCAAACCGGTCCGATTGGGCTAAACCAGCTCACTCCAACTCAAATCCTCCAAATTCAAACTGAGTTACATCTCCGGCAAAACCAACCTCGTCGTCGCGCTGGTAGTCATCTTCTCACCACTAAACCAACCCCAATGAAGAAAACCGACGTAGCAACAAAACCGGTTAAACTATACCGAGGCGTAAGACAACGGCAATGGGGTAAATGGGTAGCTGAGATTCGGCTACCTAAAAACCGAACCCGGTTATGGCTCGGTACGTTCGAAACGGCCCAAGAAGCTGCATTAGCTTATGATCAAGCTGCTCATAAGATCAGAGGAGACAACGCTCGTCTAAATTTCCCCGACATTGCTCGTCAAGGACACTATAAACAGACATTGTCTCCTTCTATCAACGCAAAGATCGAATCAATCTGCAATAGCTCTAATCTTCCTCTGCCTCAGCTCAGGAAACAGAACAAAACAGAGGAGGTGCTCTCTGCTTTTCATTATACGGGTCATGAACCGGAATTTGGGGAGATGTACGAATCCGGGTTTTCGGGCTCTTCTCCTGAGTCGGATATAACGTTGTTGGATTTCTCAAGCGACTGTATGAAAGAAGATGAGAGTTTCTTGATGGGTTTGCACAAGTATCCTTCTTTGGAGATTGATTGGGACGCTATAGAGAAACTCTTCTGAATCCATTTGAGCTTCTTAATTCATTTATTTCTAAATTTGCAGAGCTTTGTAATGGAAGTTCTTGATCTTGGCAGTTGCAGAGGACCAGTGAACATAACTCTGTTTTCTGTTTTCCTTTAGCAAGTCTTGTTTCGAATGGGCCGTTTAATGGGCCATGTTGATTTAAACAGCCCAAAACGTTTAAATTTAAGACGAATCCAACTACTTATGGATTTCTTTTTTATAGTGTAAAACGTTTTACCACTTTCATAATTGTTTTCTTGGTTGTTCCTTGTTCTTTCTTTTTTTTTTTTGTTAAAAACAGGAACCAGAAGTCCATACTAATTTTCATGACATATAAAAGAATCCAGATATTCTAATTCTTTAAAACGTTGAGAACTTGAGAATGACCAACAGAAAAACAAAAAATTTGCACTTTAAAGGATTTAAATCATAATTTATCAATAATCATAATCATAATATCTGAACCATTTTGGTTAGTTGAGAATGTCAGAGAAAGGGTAAAAACAGTGAAACGTGTCCATTGAATGTGGCTCCCCATTGTTAAGGCATTCTCCTTCACATGCATCACCATGTGCACATTTAATCATACACATAGGTTCATCATTCATGATCCTTTTTAAAACATTTATTCATATCAACACTATGAATGCTTGGTTTCGAAGCGTGGACCGACATTTCCAACGTTGACACGTGTTAAGGATCTACGAGAGGTCCAACATGCGTATATGCATGGTGAAGAGAGACAAATGATATGGACATGAACACGTACTTAACATGTAGGTTCTCATGCGGTGCAAGTAACAGACGAAAATTTGTCCTTTCGTTAAATTTTTTTCTGTTAAGAGAAACTAGTTTTTCTTGTAATGGACAACTTTAATTCAGACAAGAAAAAAGATTTAATTCAATTTTTCAAACAGAAAAAAAAAAGATTTGGAAGTTGAAGAATTTGTCATGTCTCGGTGGTCATTGTTAACACAAGTACTTTGTATCTTTTCATGTCGTGAAAAAAGTTACGGACCTACCAAGGGTATGTGTCTAAGTCCCACTAGGTGACAATCTACATTATATATTAAACTGGCATTGAATTGTTATGTTATTTCTTCCATTTAAAATAATTTTTATTCTAGAAATCTCTTTGTTTTGCAAAATGTATTGTTCAATATTTTGAGTGCATAGTTTTACAGAAGAATCCAATGGTTGCATTATGAATGGGACTTATTTAACTTCATAGGAAAAAAATGAGACAGTATCTCATTTGAAAAAAAGATTGGCCGGTAATTCTTTTGTGACAGAGAGAGAATATTATAAGATATATATAAATTTAGTTTGAAACAAAAAAAATATAAATGATGAAGACAAATACATGAACTAAAATATGATCATTTCATAAAATGATACACATTTGCATTACGATTATACAAAAGGTATCGACTATATATACCCATTTCCCTTACAATAGCCTAACTTGAAAAGTAAAAAAATTGCCTTTAAACAATAAAGATAGAAGGCTATAAAAATATATCCCCAATTCAATAAAAGTTCCCCATTTTTCTTGTTCATATAATCTCTTTTTCTAAAAGAAAAGAATTATGATCAACAAGATAAATCTATATGAGGATCTTGTACAATGTTCCATTATAGGTTAGGGATGTACATATTATCTATCTATATATATATGGACCTATAGTTATGAATTTGATCATTTTATTTAAAAAAGCTACTAAATGTACTTCATTGCGCCTTCCACGTTTATTGCTGCATTTGTTTCCAGTCCACCAACCGTTGCAAGAAATTCATCACCTGTAATTGTATATGGTACCAGAAGATTATTATAGTTGCATATCTCATATATATATATATATGTATAACTTATACGGTTTCTATATGCGTACATGGTTAATTGGTTATATCTACTTGCCTGAGGTGGGTCTTGCAAAGAATACGACGCACTGGTGTCTTTGGGGAACTTGGAGACAAGAATACCAAAGCCTTGTCCTCTCTCCCGTAGCAGCTAATTTAAATTAAAACATAATTAGTGCTATATGAGATTAATTATATAAATCCTATACTATTATTTGGGGAGTACAATTTATGGATTACCCTTAATTAACCTTCCCCTTTGTAAGAATTTACTTAAGAATGCCATTAGAAATAAAATTTTATAGAGTAAATTAATTCAACTCATTAAGGATAAACAAGTCAAATACTATTTTATGCAATTTAATTAATTTAATTTAATTATAAAAACGAAAATCTATTATTAATTTATTTAAAAAGAATGACCAATCAAAATGAACATATAAGATTTGATATCTAACTTACCATATTAATTTGTTATTAATCATTATACTTCACCTCTCATCTTTATATGATTCTATTTCTATAAATAAATAAATCATTATATCATCTATATAATAATAAAAAAAAGTAAATTTTTTTCCGCATATACCAAGATTTGAATTTTTAAAAACGAATATAAATTATTAAATGTATGAAAAAACAAATTTAACGGGTCAAAAATTCATATTTGAGTAATATATTCCTTTTTTTTTTAATATCATCAATACTTAATAGATCAAAAATTTATGAAATATAAATACTCTAATTTGATTTTTTGAAACAAATATTTATAATAGGCGGCGGGTGGAATATAATATATTATATGATGAAATGAGTTATGATCCTTATAACTATTTGAATATTTATATTTAATTTCATATCATTTTTTTAAATTCGTAATTTTACATAATACAATAAAAAATTTAAAGATTTTAATTTGGAACATTTTAAAATAGTTTAATTTAATATATTAAAGAATATCATAAATATTTAATAGATTAAAAAGATAAAAAAAATTATAAATACATTAATTTTATTTTCTAAAAAGATATGTTTAAAATATTTATAGTAGGCGGCGGGTTAAATGTAATGTATTATATGGTAGAAAGTTATGATCCTTATAACATACGGCATTTTAAGATTTTATGATGAGATGAGTTAAATAAGGTTTGACACTTCTAAATATTTGAAAATTTGATTCTCCAAGCAATTTTGAAAATAATAAATAATAGATTGTGCCGCAATATTTTCATACGGATTGTAAAATGAAAATATAGAATCCGTAATTAGCTCAAACAAATCTCTATTTCAACAACCAATGAATCAGAATTTGAAAAAATAATTTTCTAAATTAATTCAAAATAATAGCTAATTTTCTTAAGTAATTCAAAATAATCTACGTTTTAGATGCGATTCATTTATGATATTTTGATTTTTGATCTAACTAAATTATATGCACTCTCATTTTGTGGTTGTTAACATAAATTAACTCATTGTTCAAACAATATTAATTTTTTAAAAAAATAATCTTATTTTCCGTTTTCATATCTTAAAAAAAAATATTCATAATTGAATACTATAGAAAAGAGAAAATATATTCATTCTAATATTATATATAGGGACTGACAAAAAAATATTATTTTTTCACTTACTATTATAATATATCACAACTTTATTCTAAAACATAAAATTTATAAATTTTGTAATAAATGAAATTCAACCCGTACTATAGTACGGGTGATGATCTAGTGGAGTATTATTTTGTTAAACGTGATGTTTTAATTTGGCTTCTTACACGTATGTAAAATATTAATATAAAAAAAAAAAAAGAGAGAGAGAGCTATTTTCATAATTTTTTAGACTCATAATTTTTATTGAATAATATGTAATTACAAATAATGAACTAAATATTTACAATTTTCATTTGAATTGTATACCTTAAATGCATCTTCATCGGTTTTATCATCGCCAATGTAAATCGGAAATACATCGTTACAGTTCTCAAATCCTGCAACAGCCAAAGTTCTAAATTTAGAATTGTTCACATTAATTGAACTTTGAAAAAGGCACATATTTATTGAGCCATATAATTGTTGATGAAAGAGTTAAAACAAGCAAAAATAAAATCAAACAAGAGATGAAAGAGAGTCTCACCGAGTGACTCTAACAAAAACTCAAGAGCCTTGCCTTTGTCCCATTTAATCATAGGTCGGATTTCAAAAACCTGTTTAAATTAAGTACAAAATAAATTTAAATTAGAAATTTAAAACCACAAAAGAAAACACACTTAAATTAGACATTCACCAACAAGATGATGCCACGTCATACCTTTCGACCTTGAGACAGTTTCAGCGTCGGATAGTTATTTACCACCGACCGAACTTTTAGAGCTAGTTCGCTCCATTTCTGAATATTTTTTAAACATAATTATTCACTGTATTAGTTTTACTCTAAATAAACATACACTAATCGGAAATATTTGTATTATAATTATTTTATTTTACCTTCTCGTCGACACAACGGAAGTGAACAGAAAGACAGAACTTGTTGTTCTCCACTTTGGTTCCTGGTGTTGATTTGGTTTTCTCCACTAATTGTTTATAAACCTAAAGAGAAACAAAATTAATACAAAAGAAATTCTAAAACTAAATACACACAGAGATGATAATAATAATTAACAAAAAAAAACAGATTTTTTACCTCATCGATCATGGGAAGAAAGTCGCCGGCTGGTTGGTAAAGAACTGATGGTTTATCCTAAAAAACAACATTTGATTAAGGAAAAGCAAAAGTAAAGAAGATTAGGATTTAAATTTTGTAATTATGTGAGTTAAAGAATCTACCTTATTGTATCTTGAGAAACCTTTCGTTGGGCCTTTAATATCCATCCCATGGCTTCCAGCATAATACAATTCTGCTAGCTTCACAAAGCTATAAACCTACAAAAGTATATATGAACAAAACATAATTAATTGAAATGGACTCATAATCAAATACTATTAAGAAAATGGGAAATTAAATAATATCACAAAATGTACCTTGTCTATGCATCTACCAGTAACAATAGAAGTTGGAAAACTTTTGGCCATTTTTTTCACTGTCCTTCTCATCTGTGAAACACAGAACAGAGTTTAATATTTACAAAAATAAGAGATTTGAAACAGAACAAAAATGGAAATCGATCTTGATTGATTATAAGAACCTTGCTAGTCATGAAGGCTCTGTCTGGATCATCGACTATCGGAGAAAGAGTACCGTCATAATCAAGAAACATGACGATCTGTTTTCCTCTTGCTTCTTCGATGATTCTTTCGAACATGTCAAGCGCGGATGGATGTCGTTTCTGGTCAGAATTAAAAGACAAATAAAATTTAGCATTACTGTAAGAAAAAGAAACAGAGTTTGTCTTGGAAGAGAGTATGTAATGGAGCTTACGATCCAAGAATTGTGTTCTTCTTCGGAAGAGAAAGAGGAGAGTGATTTGAGATGGGTAGGAGAAGAAGCTCTCATGGAGTCAACCCAAGAGTTAAGTCTTTGACTTTGAGCTCCATTGATTTCAAGGTTTTTGAGGAGTTTTTTCTTGGAGATGGAGATGTAACCATGAGCAGTCGGTGGTTTTTGAGCGGAAGGAGTAAAGACAGAGGAGTTAGAGACTGTAGATACCGTTATGATCCCGGTCTTGGCGTCTGATACGACGACGTTTTGGCTCACCATTTTATATAAAACAGAGAAAATTAAAAACAGGGGATGTTCAGAACAGAGGAGGAGGTAAAAGAGAATGGGATCAAACGAGGAACTAGGAGGAAGGAAGAAGAAGAAGAAGTGAAGTTGCTATGTTTTTTGAAGTGTTCGAAGAGACGAGAGAGAGAGAGTTAGTGTGGGAAAGATGCGAAGACCAAGAGGTGGCTTTTATAGAAGCACAAGCTAAGCCATCACAGAGTTAGAGAGAGAGAAGAGAGTCTTGTTACAAGTTACAAGTGGGAGCCATGGGACCGAGGATCTTATGTGGGGGACCTACAAGCCGGCCCAGCTCGAGGAGGAGGAGGCGAGGAAGTGGTGTGACTCTTCTCTTTGTGTAAATGGTCCTTCTATAATACCACGTGTCCCCGATGCAAAGGAAAGCACCTTCTCTCTATGTCTTATTCGTCTACGTCGTATTCGTATATATGTTTTTAATAACCTAACGTCGTCGAATCATATATATAACTAAGTAATCGAGTTATTTTATTATTATTTTCACTAACCAATTCATGTCCACTTCAACGTATTTATCAACCGTTTTGTTTCGTTTGGGGAAATTAATTGTACAGGGGGAACTACTATTATGTATATAATGTAGTTAATTACGTGTAGTGTAGCTATTTTAATGATAAATTTGTAATAAGATAAAACACCAAAAGCTTTCACGATCTATATAGGAACACATACTCTAAATGATTCAAAATTTTGATATTATTTCGTATTTAAAAAATAGTATAAGTTTTTTTTATATACTTTGTTGTGATAAATTATTGATATCCGAATACTAAATTATCTAACATGTAAGTTTTTTTTTAATACTAAATTATCTGACATAAATTACCTCGACAATAACCACACCATCTAGACGACTTCAGCGATTTCATAAACAATCAAAATGAAAATGATCGTATGAGCATGACCCCTTGCGATGCATACAGCCACACGTACAATACAAAAAAATGACATTACATTTAATTAAGATAAATCATCATATTGTAATAAACCATCGCCCTCTCGAACTTTCTTATAGACCTAACTTTTGTTCATGAACTGACATAAAATAATACAAGAAAATTTCAGAAAGATTACAAGAAAAAGAAGATAAATAAATATCAATAAGTTTTACCAAAAAAACAATTACACATAAGAGTATATATTGGATCAACATAGCCTTATTTTAATTATTAAAATTTCGAACATTAAAAAAAAAATTGAAGTATATGGAAACATAGTTCAATGTAGTTAGCACTTAACCAGAGTTTAAAAATTAATACATATTCGAATAAACTAAAATGTATAGTATATTCTGTGATTCGATAAAAATGTGATATACGTTTTTTCTTTAAAAGTTAGAAATTAACAAGGCTCATTCATATCCATACAAATATGCGAGAGATGATCAATCACGTTCCTAAAATAGGTTGACCCTTCGAGAAAGTTTTAGTCTATTCCGGTTTCATCGTTGGTAACAGAACGATTTGAATTTGATTGTAAGTTGTAACGCTTCTTGTCTTTTGCACGTGGATATTGTTTTTTTGGACCGTTTTCTGTTCATTGAATTTATCTCGCAACCCCATTTGGGTTTGGTACTTATCAAATTATGTTGTCTTTAGTGATAAGTTTTGCGTTTTTTTTATAAGATATCACGTTGTAACAAAATGGTGTCGTTCTAGTGAAATATACATGTGTTATTGCTTGCATGTGTGTAAAATTATTAAATATATATGGGTTGCATTCACATATACAAATGCTCGAGGTATTAGATGTTATAAATAAGCTTTATAAAATTTAGTAATTATTAGTTCATAAAATTAATACTATAAGTGTAACTCGTAGACGCCCCTTGTCTTTGAAAACCAAAAGCACCCATTTTTGTGCTAACCTCAAAACCAGCTGCGGCTGCAATGCGCGCATATTAATTATATCATTTAATTGTTTGCAAAATTTTCCATTATCTCCATTTATATTCAAATTAATTTGACAGTATGACTTTTTATTTCATCCCATTTTAATGATGACAAAGAAAAATGGACTATATATATTTATATTTTTGTTTTTTTCTGTCAAAACGGACTATATATAGATATGATTTTCTGCATACGAAAATAGTAAGTTTGTACTAATGCTATTTCGGTATGTAAGTGTATAATTTGGAAGCGAAAAAATAATAGCACTTTTTGAATGAAAAAATATCTTTAATATATTTGTTAAACCTGTGGACTCTGGATTGCTAATGCATGTAAACAAATCGAACCTGTGCATTGCGTGGGAATATAAAATGAAATTGTTTCAGTCAAAGAACTATTCTATATAACTCACCAAAAAAAAAAAGAACTATTCTATATACAGAAATTTTTTAATTTTTTAAAATTGACCTATATATACTGTTTCCCATTTCAACCAAATTTTACCTTCTTCGTGTTATAGATCTGAGTCGTGACATTGAAATGAACAAATTCGAATCTGTTTTCTATTAGCTCTAGAAACTCTCGGAGATATATAAATATATTTATAAGAAATAAAGTTTTTTAAAAAGCTATAGTAAAATTTACTTAAGGGAGGAGAGGTGGTAGGTCAAGAATTCAATTTCCTACAAGGAATCTGTGTTATTCAAGGAAAATTCAGTCTTCTGTTTGATCACGTTTATGGTTTAAATTACCTAGTCAATGGCACGAAGCCAATAGACTACATTATTTGTTTGACCATGCCGAATAAGATTCTTAGATGTGGGAACGGAACGTTTGACTTTCTGACCAACTAAGAACATTTAAGATACTAGCTTCTAAAACTCATCAAAAACATTTTGTTTCAATAAGCTATATTTTCGCGATATATTAGATTACCAAAATCGGAATAAACTAACTCTTTTGTATGAAATTAAGATTCCGCAATATTTGCTTATACACCAAAAAATTATTCTTAGATACAGACTTACAGTAAATGATATGTATATATGAACAAGAACATTCAAACCATCGGGAAATACTAGATGGACAGTCTTTCAAGGAATCATTTTACCAAAATAAAATAAATAAATATTCTTGATTTCTTAGGATCTTGTTCCTTTTGCCATGTGCTTCCAAATTTTCGATTCGATGCATGTTGAAAAAATTACTCGAGCATCATGTGAACGCGATCATTTTAAGGATATATTTATTAATTAAAACATCAATTAGACTGATGGTTTTCCTTTCCGATTTCTGTTAATAGGTAGCATTCATAGAAACCTTCTTTGGTTTTGTTTTCTTACAAGTTGTTAAAATAGAAAATTGTAATGTGAAAATAGGGATACTATTCATTATTTGAATTACTTGCCATAGAAGATAATTCGGACATCCAATTGACGATGACGTAAGCAAATATGTAATGGTTGAAGAAAGAGGCTAGGCTTCACAGGCGATCCCATAGATTCAGATTCTTTCGATCTTTTGTTTCAATTTAATTATAGAACTACAATTTACATATATAATAAGAAGAATAAAATGAATAAAGCTCCAAATAAAACTATTTTTAACATAGGGATCTGACTGGTGCCGAATTTTTTTTAAAATAAGTTATAAACTGTAAAGCAAACCCGTGTTTTTCGGCTGAATCAACGCCTTTGAACATCTTCTATATTAGTGTTGGTTTCAATAAGCTTCAATTGTTTTTCATTCAACATCTGATCTTTTTTGGTGACGATTCAACATATAACTAATGTCTCAAAAAGTTAGATTCTGAATTAGTTAGCTACACGTGCATGCACATATATCCACGAAGTTTACGAAACTTCTCTTGACCTTATAGATGGTCCTTCACTTAAAATGATGTTTTCCTCAACAAGAAATTAAAATTGCTTAGAAAACGATTTTTTTCCTTATTTCGCAAATTAAGAAAACAGTTCACCTCCTTATTTATGAAATGGGTTTAGTACACACTCTTCAATTTATTTTTATTTTTTGAAAATTTCATATTCGATTGTTTCAATTATTATAACTACGTACGTTGTTGTGGAAGTGGAAGTCAATTGAAGTGTCAGGCTAAATCGTCGGCCATGGACCGGACCGAGTCCAAAAAGACTCAAAAAGGTTCATAACGTGTCAGGAGCTTGTCGCTCGCTGCCCAAACCATATGACTCGTCTGAATCTGTCCTTCTTTTTAAACCGACACCACACGTGTGGTCTACTTCGTTACGTGTCCCTGTTAAAACACAAAGCCCTCTCTAGTGGTCGGCAGATTCTTCACACAAGATAAAAAAAAAAAACATACTCCAAGACATGCATTCACCAAGTCCACATGTAGGTCTCTTCCCGATTAATCCCATCAATAGGCTAGGTCTTTCTTGATAGGTTTTCGCAGTTGTAAAACAAAAAAACAAAATTCAAAATTTCGAAAATTTGTTAAAAATAATATTCTTACTGGTGTTCTTCTGTTGTAAAGTCAAGATAAATTACAATTCAATTGCTTATATGATTATATCATTAGTTCATTACCAAAACAGCGTATATGATTATGGTACATGTTGATGTGATAAGTGGCCAAAAATATATTTTATAATGTTTACGTAAAGAGGATATATATGTTGTGAGTTGTGACCAAACTCATGGTCGTCCAATTAATGGCTAATTCCATTTTTTAAATTGAAATATCAAAATTTGAGTCTTCTTAATGTAATTTAAATCATGATTGCAACTGTAAAACTTAGAAGAAAAAAAATTACAACATAAATAGATGGACTTAATTTGAATTTCAGTTCAGGATTTTTCGTTTTTTTTTTTTTTTAATTTTTTTTTAATAGGATTTTTCGTTTATCAAATATATATACATGCAGAATGAAAAGCTTAAAATTAGTGGCAATAATAGAAGGTCAATATCAGTTGGGAACATTCAACGTGTATAAATTGACATGAGGTTTTTGGCATATTAGCTAGCCAATATATGGCTATTTCATTTTATATATAAATAAAAGAGAGAAAACAAAAAATAAAGTTGATGTGATTTTTGGGGGAATGAAAAGAAAGTAGAAGAAATGCGCTGGAAAGAGTTGCGATGAAGTGAGAAATGAGAGTGTGATTACATGTAAAGAAGCTTATTCTACGTCGTTGGTCTGCTGTGTTTCTCATCGCTTTCCTATCTTTCCCTTTTCTGTCGAAGCATTATGGAGCTAACACGTTTCGATCTTTTGTTTCCATGTAAACCATAAACTTGGGTTTTGGGAAACTATGAAATTCTATATAGTTACAAGAAAAATATTGTGATTATAATTTCATCAGGTTTATAAAGGGTATTATCACTAGCTAATAGCTATATCACCTTATGTTAATTCGAAATTTTGCAGGAACGAACAAATAACATTAACAATCGACTAACTCCAAAAATGAATTATTATGATTGACAAACATGAACGCAAAAACAAGTTACATACACAGAATATCGAATCCTAGCTGACGTATGAGTGTAAAAAACCATGCATCGCAAAAAATATATGTTCTTGTCAACATTTTTAAGAAATAAAAAAAAAATATTCTTGGACCAGAACAGTTCCATATCACGTAGAATAACTATGAGGAAAAAAATACCATGTGATATAAGGAATTGTATTCTTCATTTATTTCTACTTTATATCTCTTTGAACTTTATTTTCACTTTCGATGTGTATTTATAATATATCCAATTCCAAATTTATTCTGAATATTATGATTTGGGAAGTAAAAAAAAAAAGTAAATTGACAGGGTAACGGAAACAACTGCCAAAGCGTAACGGTATTGCTGCCTTAAAAACGTACTTTCGGTAGTGTAAATGGGCCCACTTCATCATCCCCACGGCTTTCCTACGCTTTCTGACTCAGTTCCTTCTTGGCCCACAGGCCCATAACCTTATTAAATTAATTAATTAATTGTTTTTGGACAAATCTAAATTACTTTAAATCAAAACAGTGATGGACATTTTTTAATTAGTGGATATTGAACAAGAAGACAAACTAATTTTAAATATACAACCATTATTGATTAATACTTAATTTAACTATGATTTTTTTTTTTGCTATTTTTCCTCTTATAAACTCATGAGTTATACTTGTAAAAAATTGCAAGAAAAAGAGAAGATGGAAAATGAATTGCCACTTATTGTCGGCCCACGCATACACTTCTTTAAGAGAAAAAAAGGTATGATTCTTTTGTCATTATATGAGTTGCTTTTTCTTGCTTCATATCATTGCTTTATAAGTTTTTTTTTAGCAAATGCTTTATAAGTTATAGCCTTGTTTTTGAGTAAAAATATTTATAATATCAATCGATTGGATTTAAGCATTTGGCTAGTATTTCTTTCTAGAATATGAACATATATTCAGGACATAACAAATGTATGAACTTCTACAGATAATTTTTCAATTAACCATACCAAAAAAAAAATCCGAACTCAAAGTGATATAAAACCTTGGTAAAAATATGTAATCATTAATCATCATATAGTATTAACTTCCCCTTATTCCTTTAGTTGTGAGATAAAGAAGTTTATCGATTAGATATAATAATTAGTGATGATAACAATCCAACGCAATAATGATCAAGTCGATTCATCCCCTCATTAACAATCAAATTAATTATATAAGGCTTATCCTGTAAATTTAAATTTATCAGTACTTGCAAATGTTTCCACAAAGTTACTACTATTTCTGTTGTTATTGTAGTTTATCTTTTTCCTTCATTTTATCCCTATATCCCGAAAAGGAAAATAGTAGTATATGCTTTTTGTTATCGACTTATCTTGATGAGTCATCTCTAGTCTCTAAGCTCCATATCTTTCTTTCTTTCTTTTTTGTCAACAAGCTCCCATATCTTCAAAGAACCTTATTGGTACATTAAAAAATATTTCAGAAGTAAGATTTAGCCACAGTGGATGGAAAAATTGGGGTTGGATATAATTAAGGAGCTAGTGTCTTTAACTAGTATAAGAAAATTAAGAATAATCGGTGCTGGTTTAATAATTTTAAAACGAATAGAATCAACTACCTTTAAGAATCTGAAGACGGCGAGATATCACAAATAAGTGGAAATATTGATATAGGAGAGACAATCTAGCATTACCACGCCCAAATCCGCATGGTTTGCAAAAGTGTTTTAAAAAGCTAGCATCTAATTTTCTTTAAGAAATCAGAATATTCCAAGAAAATCATGAAAGTAAATTAACTCACTAAATATAAATGTGTGATACTTAATGAAGGCAGTGTCTACATTTTCGGGGCTTAAGTATTATACAGAAAAAAAAATCTACAAATACTATTATAACAGTTCACAAATATTTGTATAAGTGGGATCTCAAACATGCATAATGCAAGTTATTTAAAAAACGAAAAAAATTCTTTTGAATTATAAGGGTAGAACATTATAAATATTCAAAGGTCATTGCATATTAAGTATGCATTGCATTACAAGTGGGTGTCTTTAAAACAATATCAGATTCTGATTTGATGGAATCCTCAACGGTTCACAAATCACCTCTTCAAATTTTTTTTTATAAATAAAAAGATTAAAGAAAGCATTCGAATATATTTAATCAAATGTGATGTGCTTTGGGACAATTTAATCTAGGCCGTCTAATTTGGTGGATCACATCCAACTTGGTTTCAATGGGAATATGAATATATATGATAATGATGCCATAAACAATTTTATGCTCCGAGTTTCGAAATAAGAAACTCGTTTGGAAAATAAACTAATGGTTCAAGTTTGACAAAGAATTAATATCTTAAGAGCATATTGTAATATGCTTTTTGACAAAGAAAGGGCATATGCTACGTTTATAAGACACTACATTATGGAATTGATTTAATTTACTTTGTTAAGATGAATTATACATCTCTATAATAATACTCTTGTAAGTCCAAAACAAAACCCAAATTCTGATCTGGGTTATGTAAAGCCCAAGCCCAATTAAAAATATCTGATCCCAGTAAGAAACTGAGATGCAGTTGACAAAAAAAAAACATATCTGTTGGAAAAAATCAAACAAGTCATTAGTTCCAACGGACTATAGCTACACCACCGGAATATCCACAATTCCACATAAACTATTATTAGCTGTATATGTATTATTCTAATTTCTCAAGCCACAAAAAAATTATATCTTATAATCATACTATTATATTAATCTTCGCTTAAGCGAAAAACAAAGGAGTACAATAAATTTCAAAGTTTTCAACATTCCTCGATTTCATAGAATTTGGCTCTACCAACTAAAAAGAGTCATATAAGACGACGATGTCACGAGGCCGCTCCACCATCCTCCTCCGTCTCCTCCTCCTCACCGCCGTCGTAACCGCTCTCGCCGTAAGTCACTTCCTTGCAAAAATGCAAAAACACACAAAAATCGTATATTTACAAATAAATCGTTACATTTTGATGATAATAATGTTATTTAATTAGTTGGACAATGATGAAGACATGTGCGTGTTCACGGTTTACATACGAACCGGTACGGTATGGAAAGCCGGTACAGACTCCGTCATGAGCCTCCGTCTATACGACAGTTACGGTCGAGACGCGGTTATCTCCGATTTGGTGTCGTGGGGAGGTTTAATGGGTCCGTTTCATGACTATTTCGAGAGGGGCAATCTCGACATTTTCAGTGGTTTAGGTTCTTGTCTCTCAGGTCCGGTTTGTGCAATGAATTTGACATCCGATGGCTCTGGTGATCATCACGGTTGGTATTGTAATTACGTGGAAGTGACGATGAGTGAGAGCCGTCGGAGAAGTTGTTCTCAGGAGAAGTTTGATGTGGAGCAATGGCTGGCTCGTGATGCTTCGCCGTATGAGCTGTCAGCGATTAGAAATCATTGTTCGGACTCGGTCAAGAATCGGCGAGTCGTTATTCCCACGATGTAATGGGAGATTATTTATTTATAAATTTGGTGGTCAAAATGTGATGTTACCGTGTGTGATTGAAAATTTGTGTTTTTTCTTCTCTAATAAAAAAAATGAAAACAAATGTGTTTTTGTGTTACAATGCTTGACATTTGAGTAATCGATGTATATTATAGGAGAACATGGATAGCCTTAAAAACAAAATAAATATTTGTGTGTAATGACTAGAGTGTTTTGAGAAAAAAATAGTGAAATTTGATAGGTGTTATTCACTGTTTTTTGGATTATATTAAGAAAATTTGATTTCATGGTAGATAGTGAAATAAACGCAGCCATATGTATGTTAAAATCGCTCATTTTATCTTTAAAATGTTTTTTTTTTTTGTATTTTTTAAAATTGTGAAATCTAATAAAGCCACTCTAAATCTTTCCACTTTTGTGTTTGGTAATACTCAAAAGTCAAAAAGGTTTTACGAGAAAAACACACATTATCGAATTAAGTGGACCTTAAGTGGCCCAATGATTTATTTTGTATGGGTATATTGGTCGAGGTCCATTGTCTTTTACCTCTACTAAGCCAAGATTTGGAATCCCACTTTCCGCCTCTCTGTTGCTAAAACCGGCATAGCCGCATAGGTGGCTGTAGCCAGTAGCCACTTACCCAAAGCCAAAGGTACTCCGACACTCAAATCTCGACATTGGAGATTTTTTTTTTACCATAGACAAATTTTGGTTTTTGGTAAAGCTAAAATACAGTATTCCCACAATCTCATTCCTATACAAACAATTTAATCATTCAAACCCAAAAAATTATAAAAATCACACAATTTGTCATCTAGTTGTCGCTTGCGGTCCAAAAAAAATAATCAAACAAGGACTATTCCAACGGTGTCTTTTTCAGTCCATATATCCACAGTGATTTTTAATCACCGAAAAATTTCTCAAGAGTCTTGTCCACGACGTTTCATGAGTTGTTGTTGAGCCTCTGATAATCCTCTGGTAACTTGCTCATCCTCCGGCGACTCTTTTTTCAATATCTCATAGTCACCCACCGCTAGTTCCCACTTTTCGATCTGCATCCGTAATTAATTTATAATTACAAAAAAGTTCTAAATTTTCTCATTCATTTCAAATTGACCCCACTAGTTTTTTCTTGTTACCTTGGAGTTACAATCGGCTCTTCTGAGGCGAGCCTTGCCATATCCCGGCCGAACGGAAAGCGCCGCCGTGCAATCCTCAATAGATTTATCGAATTGACCTAATCTTGACCAGCAAGCCGCGCGGTTGCAGAGCAAAACGGAGTTTCGTGGATCGTGGTCTAGTCCCTCACCATAAGCAATGCACGCTTCTTGGTACCGCCCGGCTTTAAACAGCTCGTTTCCTTTAAATCGAGCTTCAGTCACCGCTTGTGCCCTTCGTGAAACCATCATCACCTCTCGGTTATTCCCGTCCAGCTTTCCGGCACGTTGGATCGCTTCCACCGCTTCGTCGAATCTGAAAAAATTAAATATTAAACCGGAATTTTCAAATCAAAAACTTGTTCATAACTCTATACCGGGATTTCAGTATAAACTCTAGTTTTTACCAGGTTATAATATATGAACAAGTAAACCAAAAATTGTAACAGTAAACCGGTACATCAAATTTGAGATACAGGTTTTGGGATGTGAAACCTGGATTTTGGAATTTGACCGGTTTACACTCAATACCATGTTGAAACAAGAAAAACCAAAGAATTTTAATATAAAACCGGGATTGTCAAATTGAAGACCGAGTAATATAATAAACCAAGATTTGTGAAGAATAGAACAAAACAAACCTGCCAGAGGCCAAGTGAACCTGAGCACGGACGACCAAGAAACCAGCATAACCGACCGGTCCGTAGTACCTAGTGCTGGTGTCCCTATCGAAAACCGGACATCTAGACAATGCATCATCCGCTTCTTGATGCCTATGGGTCTTCAACAGGGCTTCTGCTTGTAATGCATAGACCTGAGGGGCTGCATCAGCTCCTGAAGAGATTGTGTTTGTTGTCTCTGTAATCAAACCATTCCAATCTCGTAATCTCTTAGCTTCTGTGCACTTGTTGAGATGTGTCTGTACCGTTTTCGCCTTTGCAATGTCTTCGCGATCAGCTTCTGGACCCGAATGTTTGAAATGATATATCGATTTCTCCACTTCTCCTAACCTGTCGAAATTTGTGAGATTTTTGTAACGATTACAAGAAAAAAGTTTGATTTGCTAGGTTTTGAGATTACCTGAGGTACAAGTTACCCAATCGATGATGTGCTCTATGGTAATGAGGCTCAATTCTGATTGCTTCTCTGCATTCAAAAACCGCGTCAAGGATTCTCCCTAGCGCGGTCAAAGCCGCACTCTTGTTGCTACGGTAGGCAGCTTTGTTCGGATCAATCGCAATGGCAGCATCATACAATGCTAACGCCTCTGCAAAATTCCCGTTCTTGTAATCTTCATTCCCCATGATCTTTAACGTTTCCGGATCCATTCGTGTTGAGATTGCTCTACACAAAGATCCTGATTGATCTTGACTCCTTGTTGTCGTCGCCGTTGCAGCCCCCATCGTCGCCCTCTTCACGCCATATCCATTGTTATTACCGTAATTTACACCAGCCGTTACTGGTCCGGTCTGGTTCAGATTGCCAAGATTACCATATAACATGACATTGCTAGAAGATGCACGAACCAATCCACTGGTTCCTTTTGCTTTCTGATGATCCGTAATCATGCTTTCAAGCTCACCCGACAAGCCAATGGCTTCTCTTGGCACTTTCCTCTGTCCTCCTCGATATGGATCAACGCTATTACTATTGTTGTTATAACTACTTCGTTGGTGATTCTCGTAACTCCCTAATTGATGGTTATTAGGGTATTGATTCGACGAGGGTTTTGATGGAACTACGGATCTCTGGTTGTGATTTTGTTGGTTCTGGATCTTGTTATTCTGGATTGGCTCAGCGGAAACCTTCTGATCATCACGAGGCTTCTTTAACTCGGTGCCCGGAGATTTAGTGAATTGAATGTTGCTTGTGGCGGTCGCAGCCGTAGATGTGCTTTTCTGGCTACCGTTATCGGCCGCAGTAGATTTCTTGGACCACAAGCCACGTCTACCAAACATTACACTTAATAAACCACAACCTGATCTTCTCTCCGCCGCAGCCACCGCCGTGTTCTCCTCCATCTCAAGAACCGGCCTCGGAATTAGAAAACCCTCTCCCTCCCAAAGAACAAATCAAAATTCAGAAATAGAATAAGAATCAGAAGAAGAGATTTAGAAAACCAGAGATCAATGGTGATGAGAAGAGAGAGATCTCATGTTTTAAAAAGAGGAACAGAGAAGAAAGATGTGATTAGGCTTTTCTCGGCCGGACGGTAAAGAGGAACGAAGATTCTTCCGTTTCGTGTTTTGTATTGGTGTCATTAATTTTATATATTGTGTCATTATGATTTTTGGTTTTACTACGGAAATGAAAAATAAGGGACTAATAATTTAGGTGAAAAAAAAGAAAGAAAGAGAATCGACTAGAATATATGTTTATGTATTTTGTTATTCGATGTCAAAATGAGTTGGTGGTGAGTTTGAAAATTGATGCCAATTCATTAATGGTTAACTCATCACCTCTATTCTGTTTTTTTTTTGGACAGCTCTTACTTTTCTTGTTTTTTGTTATTTGATTTTAATTTTCATTTTTCTAAAAATTAGTGTGGATTGGTTGTTGCGTGCTGACTTGGTCGTGTAAGAGAGAAGAGGGAATATTTAGAAAGAAAGTGGGCGATTTGTCATTAAATTAATCCGTGTTTCTCTCCCTTTGATTCTATATTTAGTTGATTTTATGGAGAGCACGTAGTTCCCTTTTTGTGTAACAAACCGTGTTTGATGATCTTTTCCTATAAGTGATATCAATAAAAAGAGTAGAGACACACGTATTATATAAAAACATTAAATCTTAGTGCAATGAGCCAATGACTATCCAGAGAAAAAAAGCTTTTACATATATGACCGGTCCGAGTCATGTTCAGGCTAGAGACTCTCGGCTCTCACAACCGGATCGGAGAGAAAATGCTTAGACTTCATTTTCAAAATGGCACTAGCTGGGTTAAGTCCTTTAGGACAAGTGGCCGTACAGTTCTTGATTGCTCTGCATCTATATACTTTGGTTTGATTCTCAGTTATCGCCTGAAGTCTCTCTTCTCCAAACTCATCACGGCTGCATTAAACCAAAAAAACTAACAATGAACACCAAGTTTTTGAAAGACTGGTATTTAAATCTCAACTTTTTTTACCTATCACTGATCCAACGATACGCTTGTAGTAAAGCCGCGGGTCCTGGAAACTCCTCGGGGTTCCACCAATAAGAAGGACATGATGTGGTACAACACGCGCACAATATGCATTCGTATAGCCCGTCTAGTTTCTTCCGGTCTTTTGGTGATTGCCGGTGTTCACGTCCGTCTTTTGGAGGCTTCCTCGTCTTTAACCATGGCTCCATTGATCTTCAATTCCAAATGCAGTACATCACAATATAGTCACATTTTGCGATTTCGCAAAGAGCTAGTTATGCTATGTTGCAAATATTCACTTAAATAAAGTTTTATTAGCCTAATTGAATCCCCCATTCCAGATTGCACTTGTTTTAGTAACATTTTTCCACAGTTTTGCATGAAACCATCGTATATACTTGTTCGAAGCAATAATTGTACAATATCAATATGGGATTAAAGAAGGCAACTAGCTTCACTTACTTGTATTGTTGATAAAAATTAGTGAGGTCGACGACTAGGTCTTTGATAACGTACATGTGAGGCAATGGAGTAATTATGGTGGGCTTCGACGTATTGGGGTTTATGGGTTTAAGACATGCGACAGTGTTAGTACCGTCGATGTTCATCGAGCAAGATCCACATATTCCTTCTCTACATGATCTTCTGTAACTCAAACTGGCATCTTCCTCTGCTTTTATCTTCTGCAACACGTCCAAAACCTAATGCAACACATGATCAGGTTAGTCAACCAAAATTCCTTCAAATTAAGACCAATACAATGGAACTTAATCAGCAATTTTTCGTTAATTAATTACCATGGGACCACAAGAGGAAAGATCAACGAAGAAAGATTGAAGAAATGGTTTAGAGTTAGGCTTGTCAGGATTCCATCTGTAAATCTTGAACTCCTTCTTAGCTTCTTTGTGTTGGCCTGTTGGATATAATTCGATAAAATCACTACTTCTTTAAAGAAGTAGTTAATTCAAATTTTATTTTGATTTATTCATACCTTCTTTGTCTTTCGTTATTTCGTGGGACTTCAGGGTATCTTTGGATAAGTCTTGAGCCGCTTTCTGGCCTTTTAACACCGGAAAATCACCTCCCCCGCTTAAGCTACTGCTCAAACGTACTTTCTCCGCCGCTGGATTCCAGATTCTCCTTCCTAAAAACCTTAAGACAGTCGCCATTCTCTGTTCGCTTGATCAAAAGCTGTTGAAGTGTTTGGAATTCGTTTTAGTCAAACTCTTTCGTGAGAATTGAGAAAGGAAGAAAAGAGACATGTGCATGGCCAAGACACGTGGAAAGCCTATAGAATGTAGTTCAATGGCACGTGTGCGACAACGTGTTCAAACACAAATCTTTGGTGACGTCATTAAGGCCCATATTAAGCCCATTTATAAGAAAGAGCCCGTTATTTTCCTTAATTCAGGGTCTCGTATCGGGTCGGGTCGGGTCGAAACGTGGTCCCTCTTAAATTTCCTCTTAAAACCTGTTTCTTGAGGAATTTGACAAATAGGTCTTTTTGTTGCGTTTGTTTGAAAAACAGGAGCATTGTCAAATGCATTGGATCGTGAGCTTCTTATAAACAAAACCAGACAAATCTTGCAACAGAAAAGTCAACGATCCAATAATCTGAAAGATATGTGACACGTGGCATGTCTCTTTGTCTGGAGCAGGACCACCTTTGACCAATAATCACACACATCCTTCTTCATTGAAAATTACTCGTTTGTTGAATGCTCTGCTTGTTTGAATTTTTTTTTTTTTTTTTTTTTTTTTTCATCGTACAATGTATGAAAACTTCCAATGGTTATTGATATTGGTGTTATTCCACACTTGTAATTACTTTAGTTATACTATTCATGTTATATAGCAGAATATTTTTTACTACTTTTGGAATCAAATCTAATAGATCGGTTTGCATTGTTTTGGGGGGAATTTCATCAATAGTATGCATTTAGTTTTTGTAAAAAAGAAAAAAAAAACTGGATTCATTTTTCTCTATTACCGATTTGGATTTCGGTCTGTTTCTCTTTGTATCACAATATAACGATTTTAATTTAATAAACCAACCCTTAGTAACGATTTTTCTATATTACCAAAAGATTAAGCGCTTTTGACTCAAAACTTATCCGGCTAGGAACTATAACAGGTAAAATCAATCACCTCTCCAATAGCAAAATTTGAGTTTGTAATTGGTTTGTTTAATTTACTCCTATCATATTCTTCGAAATCTACTTTGATCGTGTAAACTTGTGAAAGACAATTTCAGAAAACAATAGTAGAAATAAATTTAATCGAATTTAATTTTCTTGAAAGTCTTAAATAAAATAAATTAACAGCTTGCCAATTTTTTTTTGTCAATATTCAAAACACCTTTCTAATTTAGCTAGCTTGTAGACGCAACTCACATAAAATAAATCATATCAGGAATAAAAAGTTACTATAAAATAGATATTGTATGATCTTAATGTACTTAATATTCTGTAAAAAAAAAGATATTATGATATCAAGTGTGGGTTCTCAGGGGAGTGATTGGATGTCAAAGAATAAAACCAGTGAGGAAACCAACAAAACCTAACGGACAAAACAAAAATATTCTTATAAGTGGATCGAATATTTTTTGTTTGAAATGTTTTAATTATTGCTTAACTGTGGGTAACAGCTTAGACATTCTTCAGAAAAGGGAAATAAAAACACATAATTCGCTTTTCAGATTCATTTTCAATTTCTTGTACTGATTCAGTTTGACTTATTTTACAGTAAGCACTTTGTGCGATGCGGTAATATCATGGAAAACTTATTATATTTCAAAATTACATTAATAATTAATCCTAGTTAGAAGCTTGAGATAATTAAAAACTTTAGACATGTTTAGCACCGGTCAATATCAACTGTCTCTGTATTAATTAATAATTTTCAGTGGACCCAGAAAAGTTAACATGAAACAGTGTCAAGGGTTATATATGTTAAGTGTATTTAAATCGTGAAATTATGGAGGGAAGGTCTAATCAAATCTAAGTATCTTTTATCATGTCACGATATCTTTTACGAAAACTGTCCTACACTACATCCACCGATTTTTGTATGTATATATCTCTATATCGGCATCGTTTTCATTCTCGTCATAAGTAATTATCATCATTCCAACTTCTAAACATTTTTGTTGTTTACTGTTATTTTTTTTGTAGGATAGATACTTTTGTCATAATATGAAAGTTAGTGCTTAGTATAACTAGGGTAATTAGTTTAAGCAATTCAATAAACGAGATACAATTAGGTGAGTGATTTGATAGCTCTAGCGCCACAAATGTAAAGTTTATGGTCCGATTCAGATGTAACCTAACATTATATGTTAAAACTATATATACATACACTCATGGGCGGACCCACGTTGGTGGAAAAGGGTGCAGTTGCACCGGGTAATATATAAATTGTTGTGATTTTGCATTAGATATATTGAAGCAATTGGTTCAGTGGTTATAAGATATACCCTACAACCATGAGGTTGAGGGTTCAATACCCCACAAGTGTATTTTTTTGCACTGGGTAAAACTTTTGGCTGGGTCCGCTACTGCATACACTGTATATGTTTGTGATGTTTCCTCTAATCTCACATTATCTTTATCTCGAATAATTCCATATCAAAAACTCATTCTATAACGTAACTTACAACAAAAATCCGGATATTTTTGTCATCGTGTTCAAAAGTAATAAACTTGAACCCATTTTTTTCTCGGTCTACATGGCCAGCCAACGCACTGCTATAAATTGATTTTCATAAAAAAAAAAACAAATTGCATTAGACATCTTCTAATATATGTACACCTTAGTTTTTTCTTTGTAGCCATATGTACACCTTAATTGGGATGATATAACTGTCGTAAAGTTTATTAACCTTTAAAATTTTAGATGGTATAATTTTTTTTTTTTTTTTAAGTCATGTTAGACACCGGAATAAATATATATACTAATAAATTAAAACAAAATATGGTTTAAGTTCACAACAATATTCAATCAATAAATTCCAAAGGAAACGTTGATAGGTGTTTGAGTATAAACTCTCATTTAGAAAAACATTTATAAATAAAGTTTTTTTATCAAACAAGTTAAAGGTACGTGAAGTGAAGATGTTAGATCTCGGGATTTCACTTCAAGATATGGTCTTTAAAAAGGCAAATATAGCCAAGTAGACAACAGCTATGAAATAGTACGACAATGACCTCAACAAGTACACAGTCACCTCTAATTTTTCCATAAATGAAAACTATTAAAATTATATTCTGAAAACTTCGATTTCGAAACATGGACAACAATATTAATACAATTCTTTACGAATTCAAAGTTAATTAGAAAAGCATTGATCGAATGGATACAATAAACAAAACTGTTTAATAAACAGAAACTAAAAGTACACACAAAAGGCTTCTTTGAAAAATCTTTTGTTTTTAAGAGGAAAAGTTTGATGGATTTGCAGCTCTGACTGTAGTTCGTAGGCGTGGTTGAATTATCCGTCCAGATTATTCATAAATCTTGTTTAAAATATGTCACACACAATAATAATATACAGGACCTACCATACAAAACAAAAATTAAATTATGATTTAAATGGTATGATAATTATCAATTAATTTTGAAAATTATATGTAAACGACCTTTCTCTCAAAAAATAAAACCGACTAATTCTCAACGGAATATATGATTAAAATAAAATAAGATTATTTAAATATTTTAAAATTTAGAAAAGTCATATCATCGTTAAAATTCCAATTTGTAATTATTGCTATAGTAATAACATCTAATTAAAGAAAAAAAGAGTTACGCCAAAACTAAACGTAAGAAAAAATACACATTTACGTAATATTTTGTTAAATACAATTTAATATTTAGTTCCAACTTATCTTTTTCAGATTTTAGAAGAAGAGTAGACTTCGAAATTTTTTGGGTTTGTTGAAAAAAAACCTATACATTATAATTCAAATATAGATAGAAGAAAAGTACAAAATACGATTTTTTTTTACATGGCAAAAAAAATCTGTAGGAAAATACACACATTATTCCATTTAATGGGCCTCACCGATACTGATTGACTTGGTCAAAGGCTGAGCTCTATTTGACAACTTCGGTTACATGTCTCTGTTAAACATACCAAAATGTTGCTATTTCACATGTAATTACGCATCTACGCATATATAGTAACACATATAGTTGTCGACCGTTGAATATTAGCCTCTCATTAAAATTCTACTTTAGGAACACACCTGTACAAATACTCTTACATCCAAATAGTAAAAAAATCAAATCAGAAAAATGATTTATATGATTAAAAAAATAAACTATATATAAGGTCTGAGAAGAAAATAAGGATTGGTGGTTATTGCTTGTAATACTTTCATATATAGAACCTTACCCAAAATTTTAAGAGCTTTTCAACTTTTACCCTTTAATTGTGTATAGAAGAAAGTTATATAATTTTTTTTGTACAGTATAATTTGTAAAACCAGATTTAAATGAATAACTTAATCAGACTCTCCAATTGTCAAATATTTTTCCTAATAGTCAATATTTGTTAATCCCGTCTACAATTTCTCTTATTCCATTCACATATGGAAACAACACTTCGAAGTTCGAAGCACTCATTAAAAGATAGCAATGATAATGAAACTGATTGTGTTTAAATAGAATAAAATTTGTCGTTGCTTTTTAAATTTGTATAATCACCAGGTAATTTATATTTAGAAAATTGGTTGTGTAGCCTCAAGGCGAATCACTTATTTTTTAAGAACATTTTTTATATTTATATTAATAAACATTAACACGATTGCCATTTGAACAACCAATCTATGAAAATAATTAGCTAATCTCACGTACGTTTAAATTAATATAATTAAATTTATTAAAAAACAGCTTTATAAAACTTAGAAATATAAAATATAGATTATAATTAATTTTTCCTTTCCCTAATTCTATGTACAAAAAAATGCGTAAATTTTAAATGCAAAGATTTTTTTATTAACTAATGCAATTGTAATTACGTGCTGTAATTTTTGTTGTTGTAAATGAATAAACTTTACCCTAATTTCAATGGGTTAATACTTAATAGGTGTATCTACTACGAACCACTACTCTTGTGAACGATCAAAATCTTAATTCTATCACCCTCTCTCTCTCACTCGAATTTTTTATACCAAAATGTAATTAACCCTAGTTTCACGTTTCAAAGTTTCAAGTTTCAAGTAAAGAAAAAAGAGGGAACAAAAGGTAAATAGTGAAAAAGTTATTATATAAAAGATTTTTTAATATAAAAAAAGCTGTCCACTTTTTATTGGCTTTTCTCTCCCACACAACCATCAATTCCTTTCACACTCTCCTCCTCTTTTGAGTTTCTCTACAACAAAAAAAACTCATCATAACCTCCTCCATCTCCATTCCTCTCTCTCTCTCTCTGAACCACTACCTCTTCCTCTCTCTATCTCTGACATGGATTCCGGCAATAGTAGTAGCATGCAATCCTCAAGCGGCGGTGGTGGTGGAGGAGATCAAGAAGAGTACGACTCACGCGCCGATCAATCAATCTCTGCTTTATTTAACCACAACAACAACACAACCACCGTCTCCTCCAACATCGCCGTTCCAACACAGCTCGACGCTCTCATAGCTAACTATTTCAACAGTGCTTGGTCAACGGATAATTCTCTCTGGTCGACAACGGCTACAAAGCCCACTGATGGCTCAAGACCAGTACCACCGCCGATCTCATCAGAACAAGTCTTCTTCACAAACCCACTTCAACAAAATCTGAGAACAGTTCCAAACACAAACACAAACACAAACACAACTAGTCCCATTTGTTCCGTCCCAACCGACAAGAAAAACGGTCTCGCGACAACACGGAATCCAAAGAAGAGATCTCGAGTCTCGAGACGAGCGCCTACGACTGTTTTGACCACCGACACATCCAACTTTAGAGCCATGGTTCAAGAATTCACCGGTAATCCTTCAACTCCTTTCACCGGATTATCGTCATCTTCTCCTTTTCCAAGATCAAGATTTGATCTCTTCGGTTCTTCTTCTTCATCCTCACGACCCATGAAACCCTTTCCTCACAAACTCATCTCTCCATCGACGGTGAATAATCATTACCTTCCTCCTTCTTCAGAGTATCATCAGCATCAAAATCTTCTCCTTAATATGAACACGCAAAACATTGCAAACCCTTTTCTCAGCAACCAATCTCCCAACAACCATTTAACGAATCAATCCCTTCTATGTGAAAAGTCGAAACCTTCGAGCTTGAGAACGAGTAATGGTTTTGGACACGTTAACGTTGGAACAAACTTTGAGGGGCTGCACAACATTATCGTCTCTTCATCATCATCGATGACACAGCCAACCCTAAATACTATCCATGGATCAGGCAAGAATACTGAAGCCGAAAATGATAATGATCTCTTAAGATCCATCAATGAAAATGATCAATCCATGGTGCAAAGATCGGATGGTTACACACAACCTGGTGCTTCTGGATCGGAGGTGAGAAATGAAGGTATGGTGGAATTATCATGGATCTCTTCTTCTGATTAGATGCATCTAACACTTTTACATTATGGTCGTATTTATTATTACTTACCATAAAAAAAATGAATTAGAAAATCTTAGCGAAAGATATATGATGAATGGAAACATTAATTAGTGTATGGAAAGATTTTGGAATCATTTATGTTCTAAAGTTTCTATATGATCTAATTAACAATGACTTTCTACATATTCGAACAATGTTTTTTTTTTTTTTCTTTAAAGGTTATATCCGTTTTATTCCTTTTTATTGGACTGGATGTATGTATATGTGATTTTGAACATCGGCTCATATAGAGGCATGAGATTTTGGTATACTTTAAGATATCAATGGCCTCATCATAAGTATTTTATATATTGATATAATTTGAAATTTCACTAAGTTAAGAGACGATTTCAAAATTCTCAAGAAGCATGTGGTGCCTATAGAGCAGAATTAGTGTCACAAGGGACCCAAAAAAAGATAACATGCTTCTACTTTTGGCAAAGAAAAATGTTGAAAGTCTCTTGTTACTAGGGCTACGTTACTTACGTATGAACCCTAAAAAAGAATCTTTGCACTATTACTAAAACATGAACCTTCAAACTATGAAATAAAAAGTTTATTTGCCTATGATATATTGAAAACACGTCGAGGGAGAGTGATTGGTGGCGAGATCTAGGGAATCGTTAGCCGCCGCTTATCCTAACCTAAATTCATCATATTTATTTCAAAACTCACATGACATTTCCCGATATATTCATCTTTTTCTTTATATTTTAATTTTGTAAAATAGTATAATTTTTTTTTAACAATTAAAATAATTCGCCATGTCATTATAATTCGATAACGTCATTTATCCTTTCAGCGACATCCGATAGAAAAAACATGCGTCATTCAATACGTCACAACGTCATGTCTCGTAATTTCTTTAATTATAATTGTCACCATTATAATCCATCAAACCAAACTTCGATGGTAAGCAAAATTGCTTCAATCACACAGAAACAATTCCAAACCTGTATGTATATTTGATCATGATATCAGCTAGAACTCTCTCTCTTTTGGTTTGTTCCTCTTAAAGAAATGTTAGTAAGTTTATTCAAATAATAATTGTATTAATATGATCTTGCCCCATTGGCCATCATCATGGATGAAATCAATACCCATTTTCCCGCCAATTTGTTTTGCCAGTTTTTGTTTTGAGTGAAAGGAATATGTCAGTTAGATTTGCTCTTTCTCCACTAAGACGTCAAACGATAGCGTTTCGGGGAAAGTAGACACTAGACAGCTATATTTCAATTCTTTCTTACTACATCAAACATTTCATATTTTTTTTCCTTTTACAAAAATCCTTTTGATTGACATAAGTATGTCCTTCTATAAATAAGATCTACTTCTATTCTCTTTGTAGCTTGAGGTAGTAAATCAATGGTTTTGTTTTCGCTTCATTAATTCATAATATCTCTGCTATTTTCCACTTATTTATTTTTCACCCAAATGCTTTTAAAAAGAATAATAAAGTAGGCAACTCAGAAAAAGGAAAAAACCTTTCTGATGTATCTTTCAATTTATGAATTATTTATACAAATTTGATGATTGATAAAAACATGGATTTTTGTGAAAATAAATCTATCTTTCTTCAAATCTCCTCTTTGTGGAGATTGGAAATCCAAATGATTAGGCAAAGGATTTTTAGAAGATTTAGGGGGCAAACAATTATATTCCAACAACAGAGATAGAGAGAGAGAAAAACAAAAGCAGTTTTGTTGTTTTGCAATGATGTTTCCACGTTGATATGCATATACACATGTATGTCGTATGAGTTTGAATCATATCAAAAATCTGTCTTTATTCAAGAAATTTATTATTAACATTCCATTTAAATATGTAACTACGTGATATAAAATAAAAACGAATTCCCTATATTTTTAGGGCTTTACAGATTTTTGTTTTGAATTGGAATTCAATTTTTTTTTTAAATTAGTATATCTATTATTTATACAAGATCCACTCGTCGAGAGAAACAAAGAGTGGTAGTAGAGTATATAATGCGTTTTCCATAGGGAAGACAGGACAGGCCTTTTTAGCAGTAGCTATGCCCCCACTGTTTTTACTTTACTGATTTCGTAAATTTGAAAAGGTAAAAACCTTTTTATCGATCACACTATTATAGATATCCCCACTAATAATCGACTTTACGTAAAATTTGGACCCTAACAACGTTTTAAATAAAGATATTAGGTCTGTAAGTTTTCGAATTTTGGGATTTAAGGGGGCCATTATTGTCGAATTCACGAAAAATTGGACAATCATGTCCATAAAAGTAGGGCAAATGTCAACTCCGATGCTATATCAGATGATTAGACAAAGACAAATATTTTAGAGCAGAGTTATTCACTATATATTTTTTTTTTGGTTTTAATGCTTTAAAATAACAATAAATTTTTGCATGTATATCTTTGTATGTCATCATCATGATTAATTTCATGATAGCATCACAACTCATCAAGTAACTTCCAAGAATACACTAGTTAATGAAGTTTTTCAAAGAGCTCATTAACGGGGATCTTCAACTGAAGTTTTTTTTTTTTTTTTTTTTTTTTTTTCAACTGAAGTTCTGTACGTACATAAGAAGTTTTACAAAGAAATCTACAAAAATATCGTTGGTCATTTTGTTATAACGTCCACACGCTCAAAATTCAAAATCATTCATGTTAACAATTTGAATATTGCCAGCTGTGTTTGTTGGGGCTTGACTTCAGATGATTTTAGTCAGTTCTCCATCTCGGTCCTACAATACCTACAAAAATTATCATTCTCTCTCTAAAGTCTAAACCGCTCTTCCTTTTCTACCGGAGTTCGACTATATTTCTCTCCACTAAATCGCGTAATAGGGATTAGTTATGGATCTTTAGTTATGGATCTGGCCTTTTCCAAAGATGTAAAATAAATCTGAGAGAGTTCCGAACCCATATATTTAATGTCCAATTTTTTGTATGTGTCAATTTTGTAGTGTGGTCATAATTTCTGCAACAATTTGCATACTAGCAATAAATGTTGTCAAGCTAAAACTGTCATTTAATACTTGATCAGGGTCAAAGTTCTTTCTTGATGAGAAACCTTCGAAAATAAAAACAAATAGTCGTAACCATGGTGTAAAAGAAACAAAAAAAAAGAGTAATCAATTGGGAAGAATCCACCTTTGAACAAAAACTTAACATAAAATTCAAGTGAGTTATCCAATCAAAAATCATAAAAAAAAAACTAAACGAACACAAACACGAGTTACATATATAGAAACGAAGTTAACCTATGGCAACCTACGGCATAACTAACCAAATTTTAAGCATGTATAACAAAAGGAGACTATGATTTGTATTCACTTTTAACAATGAAATGTTCAGAAGAAGAAAGATAAAAATTACCTTGAACATAACGACGATGAATCTGGGAGTAGTCAGCGAGAACATCCTTCGCTGCAACATGCCACATTTTGTTAGGTTCCTCCACCAAAGGTTGCCGTGGATGTTCTCTCTTCTTTCACCTCTCTCTCCTGTAATTTATTTAGATGTCATAAATTTTCAAAGAACAGTTTGTCTTTCTCATTATGAGTCCAGTTCTCAAAATCAAGTTACAAATAACCGGACACAAGAAGCTTCATACCAAATATTTAAGCAGAGTCTGAATTCTGAATTCACCTCCGGTTCTTGATTACGGAGAAATTTATTTGAAGCTTCTGTCTCTGTTTCTTTTTAGCGTTCATCACAGAGATATTTCACGAGCCTTCAACTTTTTGGGTATTTCCTTGCAAAGAACCTACAAAAGAAAACAGAGGAGAAGAATGAGTTTACATTTTAGACAAAACTAAACTCAGTGATGCATAGAATTAAACTTGATGAAGTTTTAGGGAGTAGAAGAGAACATAACATGATTAAAGAACATAAATGATTCGTTACTTTCTTAGAAAAAGAAAAAGAGAAACTCTTACCAATCTTGACTACTAGAAACTTTGGATGAGAAAATCATTGCTCTTTCTCTTGTTTTGCTTTCTGAACTACGAGAGTGACAAATTTTGTGAAGTAGGATTATTGGCACCAGTCACTTATATAGGCAGTTTGGATTTGGTTCTTTTAACGGCTAATTTTTCTAACGTCTATATATTTTTACCGTTGTAAAATTTGAGTCTCAAATAAGTTACCGTTTGTCAATGAGTTGACATCTCTGTGTTAAAAAATAATTACACAATATGGGCGTAGAGACGCAAACGGCTATATTTCTAACGTCTATATATTTTTACAATTGTAAAATTCGAATCTCAGAAATAAATTACCGTTTGTGAATGAGTTGACACCTACATTAAAAAATCAATTAACAACAAAAAGCGTTCACAATAGATAAAAGGCTTTTTGTTGATTAGGAACATCACAGCCCAAACGTAGAAGTAATAAAAGGCCGAATATAGAATAATTAGATCAAATTAAGGCCCAAAATGAATATAGAGTTCATCGTTTTTTTTTTTTTTTTGATAAAACATCGAATTAGTGTCAAAAACTTAAAAACAAAGCTAATCCGCCTGGTTTTAATCAAACATCTTACTCTTGCAATATTTTATCAGGAAAACAAATGTGAAAAAATGAGTGGGAAAAAAAAAATGAAAAATTGAGATCGATAGAAAAAGAAATTGGAAAAAAATGAAAAATGAAGTAAGAAAAAGGAGAAATTAATAATGGCAGACGGCGTTAGGACAAAGAAAAAGGAAACGCCTTTCTAGGGTTTGGTTTATGGACGCTCCGCCGTAAGATTTGTTCTCCGCCGCCGCGTTTTCGTTGATTCAGAACAAAAAGATTCTTACTTTTGCCAATCTGTATCAACATCCGTTTGATTATCCTTCTAATTCGTGTAAAAAGCCAGTACAAGGTTTCAGCTTCTTCCCCCTTTGTTCTAGGGTTTTGATTTGATTTTGGGTTGGAATGAGTAGTCCGTTCAGTGAAGAGATACTGATTGATAAGCTCGCCAAGCTCAACAGCACTCAGCAATCCATCCAAAGTATCCTTTTTTTTTGAGAATTCGAATTCATTGCCTCAATTTCAATATTGTTGTTGATTACATCTCTGTGTTTTGTATATTGCAATTCTGATTGTTTGGCTCTTGAACCTTTTCGGATAAGCTCATTAATCTCTTGCTGTTTGATGATATGTGTTTGCTTTGTATATTGCATCCCTGATTTGTTTGGTCCTTGACCCTTTGTTTTGGGATAAGCTCTGTCACAGTGGTGTATAGTCCATCGTAGTGAAGCTGAGTTGGTTGTTAGGACATGGGAGAGACAGTTTCACAGTACAGAGATTGCTCAGAAAGTGCCTCTCTTGTACCTTGCTAACGACATTCTTCAGAACAGCAAGCGTCAGGGTAATGAGTTTGTGCAAGAGTTCTGGAAAGTTCTCCCTGGTGCTCTCAAAGATCTTGTTTCCTTGGGAGATGACTATGGAAAAGGCGTTGTTTCACGATTGGTAATGATTGCAGCAGAATTGGTCTTCTTTTTTTGGTTGCGTCCTTGATTAGGATTCTAGATTTAGTAAACCGTTTGTGATTAAGTATGTAAAGTGATTGGAGGAAAGAACATGTTTTTGGCAATTGGGTTAGAGTCGAATTTAGTTTTTTTTGGTTCAAGTACTTTTTTGTTGGTGTTTATGCTTTTGATTTCTTGAATGAAATGGATCTTATGCTTAATAGCTGGCTTAGGCATCAATCTTATCTTTCATTTTGGTATATTGTTTTAGTGTTGGAAGTTTATGATGACTCGGTGGATCTTATGTTCAATAGTTGTTTTGTAATACTCTTGGATGTGTGAGTCTCTTATTTGTTGAAAGTTTAGAGAGTTTTTGAGTCTTTAGTTGATTAAGAATAAATTGTTTCCACGTGGAACTAAATCAACAAAGGGTTTTTTGTTCATCCATTTAATATTTTCATGATTACTAGGTTAATATATGGGAAGAGAGAAGAGTCTTTGGGTCCCGTTCAAAGAGTCTTAAAGATGTAATGCTCTCAGAAGAAGCTCCTCCACCACTTGATGTCAGTAAAAAGCGATTACGGGGATCTAAATCTGCGAAACGAGATTCAAAATCTGCCAAGATGGTAACAATTTATTTTCTCTATTTCTCTAATTAACCCATCTTTATTCAGTTTTTTTTCACTCTTAGTTAGGTTCATTACTCCTCACTTGCTTTTTTTTGCTTCAGAAATTAACGAATGGAGGTGTGACCGAGAAGATAGTATCTGCATTCAATTTGGTTCGTGCAGAGAACTCAAATGAAGAGACAGAGATGAACAAATGCAAGTCTGCCGTTAGAAGTATTAGAAAGATGGAGAAAGATGTTGAAGATGCCTGCTCCACTGGTAAAAATTTAGCAAATATCTTTCTTAGAGTAAACCTACATTTTATTAATCACGTGGGCATTGGGAGTTTCAAACACATACTGATTCACAATCTTTGATTGTCTTCAGCAAAAGACCCGAGGAGAAAATCATTGGCAAAAGAACTGGAAGAAGAAGAAAACATTCTGAGACAATCTGTTGAGAAACTTAAATCTGTTGAAGAAAGTAGGACATCTCTCGTAAATCATCTGAGGGAAGCCCTACGCGAACAGGTAAGGGTCTTTTGCTCTTGCAAGTTCAATAATTTTCTCAGACATTTCATCTACTTACTGAGTTTTGTGTGTCAGGAATCTGAATTGGAGAATCTTCAATCTCAGATACAGGTAATAATCTGAATTGGTTTAGCAAGCCTTTTTCGCCTGAGAACTATTTTGCAATCTTGAGTACAAATAAATTGTATTCTTGCATCAAAGTTTATTGTGTTGTCTTTGTTCTTATTCATCAGGTAGCACAAGAACAAACTGAAGAAGCCCAAAGCATGCAGAAACGGCTCAATAACGAAACACCGGTTAACAATAACAACGGAACATCTGGTCAATCAGCGAAAATCACTCCTGCCTCAATCGCTGCCATGGCTGAAATGCTAACTTCATCAACAAATTCATCAATGATTATGCATTCTGTCTTGTCTTCATTTGCAGCCGAATCTACACAGACTTCTGGTCTATCCAAATCAAACAGCTCAGACTCAAATGCATTTGTTGTTCCTCCAAATCCTCAGCAGTATCACATAATCCCAAATCCAGCCGCATCGCAACAGTTTCTACCTTATGGGTTTGGTAACATTCCATTAATGCCTCCTGGAGCACTTCCGCCACCGCCTGGAGTGTTACCGCCGCATATGATGAGTAATAATAATCAACCAAACTCAGCTCAGCAACAATCGCAACAAGGTCAGAGTTTTCAGCCACCGGGTATGATGTATTTTGGACCTCCACACCATTCTTAAGGTTAGTAAAAAACAAACCAAAAAATCCAACTAGTTCTAGTTTTAGATAGTTCCTGACCCACTTTTTTTATTTGAATGTAATGCATTGTAGAAAATGGAAACGAGATCTTTTTTCTTACAAATCTTTGTAACTTGAGCTGTTTAGTCAATTTTCTTCTTTGTAACATAGTACTTCTATTGTATCTGCGTTACATTTATATTTAGTATGCGTTTGTTCAAATGGATCCTTTATATATTGTACAAAATATATATATACATCAGTCATGGTCTTTTTTTTTTCTCAAATATTTCAAGTCAAGATACAAAAAAATTCAATCACAAAACGTTTTCGATGTCTATACAACAACAAATGGAATGGGACTTAGAAGCCAGAGGAGTTTTGAGTGACCATTCTGTTTCTACCACCACCAACTCGGAATCTGGACCGAATGGAGCCGTTTGAGTCGATAACTCGGTCCCAATCAATTGATCCTTCACCGTCTTCTTCATCATCCTCCGGCACTCTTTCTCTCATCAACTGAAGAATCTTCTTGGCTTTCTCTCTAGCTCTCTCTGTTCCTCTCTCTTCCACTTCCTTCAATACTTCCACTGCTCTTGCCTCCTTTGCTAGACCCTTAAATCGAAGACTCTCATGGCTCAACGCGAACAACGCCGCCACACAATTCTCACGTGCGGAAGACGACGAACGAGCCTCCGTCGGCTCATCCGTCCTCTCCTCCCTTAACTTCCCTACAAGAATCGCAACCGCATTCGCATCAAGCATTGCTGATCGTCCTTCGCTACAACACGCTAAATTACAGATCACCAACAATGCTCTACTCGCCGATTCACCTGATCTAACCATCGAGAAAAGCGCTGGAACTGCTCCAAGCCTAACGAGCTTCGACCGATTCGTCTGATTCAACGACAAATGGTAAAGCGCAAGAGCCGAATCATGCCGCGTCCGATCACTCTCAGCTGCTCGTAAAGCGTGAAGCAATGGCTGAAGCGCTCCTAAAACACCAATCGGCATTTTATTATCATCTTCAAGAGAAAGACTAAAAATTGATCCAGCTGCGTGTTCTTGAGCTTCTCTAGATCCCGATTTCAAAACATCGATCAAAATCGGAACAAATCCTAACCGAACAATCGTCAATTTATTCTGCTTATCCAAAGATAGATTCACAAGCGAAGCTAACGAATTCGTCTGCACTAAACTGTATCTCGAAACAATCATGTTCTTCAACAAAGAAAGAATCCGAGGAGAACAAAGCGAAACCCTAGCTTCATCTTTAGTACGAGTCATCTTCCTCATCATAATCAAACCTTGCTCTTGATCAAAAATCTCACTGCTCTTAAGCTTGTTGTAAATCTCTTCGTCCGCTTCTGTGGCGGTGGAAGTTGAACTAGAGAAGAAATTGTGGTGCGTTAGGGTTTCGATTTCGGAGGAAGAAGATGATGGAGATGGAGAGAAGCAAGCGGGTCGTGTTGTTAAAGGAAGAGGAGTGAAAGGACTCTGAGCAACGATTACAGATTCATCAGAAGAGGTCGTGGAGTTGTTGAAATCTCTCCTTCCCATGAGTTCAGAATCAGCGTGGTGAATAATCATCGGAGCTCGGTGAGCTACAGCACTGAGAAGCTCTTGCTCGGAGACACGAATCTCAACGTCCGGTGGAGGCATCTGTTGCCGTAAAGTTCTCTCGACGGTGGAGTAATCAGGTGGCTGAGGACGTGAGACGCCAACGGTGTCGCACCAAGTATCGATTGTTGATTTCATGTTTAGGTTAGGGATGATGTTGGAGAAATCGGGTTGAGAATCGTCGTCGTCGTTGTTGAGTTTGGGGATAAAGTTTAGGTCGCGACAGACTTGAACACAGACACGTTCGAAGGTTTGACCGGAAGATACAACAACAGGGTCAGACATTACTGATTTTGAAATCGGACAGAGGAATTCGACCGGAGGTTCTTGTTGTTGTTGTTGTTGTTGTCTTGACGATGAAGAGGAGGAAGAAGACGATCTGTGGCTGAAAGGGTTCCATCTGAGCCGTCCGTTTTTACCCATCTGCAACAAATCAACGGTCAGGAATTGGTGGTGAGTTTGATATCTGAAAAGGGTTTTGGGTTTGAGAGGAATTAGGGATTTGAATTCATCTTTCGTGATTTTCTGAGAAGAAGAGAGGAGAGTCGTCTTCTTCCTCCTGAACTGAAGGACTTTGTGGCCTACTGACTTTTTTTTTTGTTTTTTGTTTATTTTCGAAGTGATGATTAAAATTTTAACTTGGACATACATATTATATTATAGTATTCGAAAATGTTGACTGTGTGAATTAATATAGGTGGACCCAGATGAATTGGCTTTCATAGTTCATGCATTCTGAGAAAGTTTTATTGCTTTCTTTTTCAGGTCAATTGTTCAAAACTTCAAACTACTAGAAAACATTTCTATCTTTTAACATACTTACTTGTAAACTTGGAATGTAATTTATCATTTTGGAATATTATCTAATGTTTTAAAAAGTGGGTTTACCTTAAATATGTTGCATCAATAAGTTTAGTTTTTGCTGAAAAATAAAAATGATTGGATTTTTCACTAAACATGATGGACATCCATGCCATTCTTAGCTTTAGGAAAATAACTAAGCTGGTAAGCTTTACATTGTACCTCTCTGACCACTTTTATCTTCTGATGTTTGCATTGTTGGATTGCATCAAAGTTGGTCTGATATTTCCACTACAGATCTTTGTACTTTTACGATAAGGGTAGACAATCTGGCTTTACGGTTTGATCTTGCTTCGAATTAAGTTTTACGAGTGTTGTGCAAACCGAAATCGTATAAAACCCATTTTTAATTCGATTTGGTATTGGTTCGGCCTCTTGGATCTTAGAATTACGAAACCAAAACAGGTTATAAACAAGTTCTGGTTTAGCTATTATTGTGGTTATTTGGCACACCCTACCAAAGTAGTACCGTGATTAATCCTTTACTATAAATTGTAAAATGGTTAGGCAACACATTTACTTGTTGGATACATTCAAACAGTTGCTTTTAACCAAGAACACTACTACTCAGGTTTTGCTCCCTTTTTCATAAAACTCTTGGTAAGCAGAAAATCTTTCATGAAAATCGGCATATGGTGCATGATCGCCATGACGGTCGATAACCTTCCTGTAGAGTACCAAGCCGGTGGGTTTTTCTTCAGCACCACGGAAACAGTCTCTTTGGCAAATGTCTCTGTGGGTATTGGCTTTATGTTTTGTGACAGAAACGCTCTCTCACGGATAGCGTCCTCGAATGGTTTGTATAGTTTCAATTCAGGTAAATTGTTGAAACTCGATATCCCTGAGTTAGCTATGTTTGATTGAATACCTCCTGGTACAATGTTGATTACATCAATCCCAAATGGCTTAAGCTCCAACCTAGAAAGGAGACAATCACAAAACAAGATCGTGTTTAGATGATATGAAATCATGCTGATGAAAGAAGATTGCTGAAATCGAAAAAACCTTAATGTGTCGGTAAGAGCATGAAGAGCAGCTTTTGATGCAGTATAAACCCCAGCCCATGGTCCTGGTGCCATTATGCTAATACTTCCTATGTTGACAATCTTTCCCTTTTTCTTAGACGCCATGTGAGGTACAACAGCTTGAGTCATCCTCATGGAACCTGTAAATATCTTTACAAAGTTCAGTTCTTCAAGAGATTAAACACAACCCAAATCAACAGAGTTAAGTAAATCGATTGAAAAGGCAAATCAAACATGAAAGAGTTAAGTCAGGAATTTTAACAAACACATGGTGAGCAATATGAAGGAACTTGAAAAATTTCATTCACCGAACACATTGGTGTTGAAGGTGTTTTCCATGGCTGAAATTGGAATCTCGGCCAAAGGTCCGATACACTGAACTCCGGCGTTATTTACCAGAACATCGATCTGACCAAATTTGTCGATAACTTTCGACACAACTTTACTCACGCTCTGCTCCGACTGAACATCGAGCTCTTGCACAAAGAATTTCGGATCTTTCTCCAATTCAGTCATCGTACTCTGCGATCGACTCGTCGCCACCACACGACAACCATTCGCCGAGAACTCACGCGCCAACGCGTGGCCGATTCCTCCCTGAGAACATCCTGTGATGAGAACCACTGGCGTCTCTTCGCTGCTGCTTCCCATTCTTCACCTCTCTCAAGGTTTCGGATAAAGCAACTATGGAATTTTATAATACTCGAGATATATTCTGTATTAAAAGAAACTATCTTACTTTTTAGAAGAGAAATCCAGAATTTAAGGGTCGAATTGCAAAAATTACGCGGAAGTTTCTCAACACAGTATTAAGATGATGAAGTTTTTAAAATTTAGATTTCGTCCCCAGAAGTTTGTCCACGTATGCAACTAAGTCCCTGAGATTTGTTTTTAACTTTTTTACTCACAGTGATTCGCCGGAGAAGACAAAGTCATTAATTCAACGTTTTGGTAAAATAAACAGAAAATTACATTCGATTAATTAACATATAGTTTAATATTTACATAAAAACTCACAAAAGCAAGAAACGAAATTAGCTATGAACAACAAAATGGAATTAAGCAGAGAAGAAGCCATGAGAGATGGCCAAAGCAAACTGAGATTTAGCTTCGAAATTCTTCTTCAAACTCTCAATCTTCATCTTGTCAATAGCTACAGTCATCTTCGCCGGAATTATCTTCCTCCAATCAAATTCTACCGGCGTTGATCTCGAACCCGCCGGATGCTTCATCCTCCTCTCGTACTCCTCCGCCACCAAAATAGCTATGTCCGCCATTGAATCGGTTTATCTCCGGTATATCAATCTCTTTAGTTCGGTTATCTCTGGTTCTATATCAGAAGATATTCAACACAATGGTATTTATAGGTGCTTTGACGTGTGGGTTTGGATAAGGTTGGGTCAATAGTTTTCTCTAAATTAAATATCTTTTTTATTAATATAAAATTTGGTTAATGGTATTTTTAAATCGTGCCGAATCTGTTGGTATCGGTGGTTTTCGTGACAAGGTGGGCTTGGTCGGTTTTTCTAATATTTTTTAATGTATTAAAAATTTTGTAATGGTATTATTTTTGTTAAAAACATTATAAAAATTAATTTTGTGTGGAAGCTTGTTGAGTGGTCTCCAAGTCCATAGGTCCGTGTCACCGACGTATGGATCTGATCGCTAACTTTTTTTTTTTTTTATTATAAGTTTGGCAAATGAAAATTTCGTAGTATTTAAGTGTGTTTAACAGATTATACTACAATTATGAATTAATAGTAATAATCTAGCGATTCAAGATCCGATAAATTCTAGGTGTTATATATGAATCTCAGTGTTTATCATTTATCAAGCAAAGGTTAATTTCAGATTTAAACTAAAAAACAAATGTTAATGATCGTGAATTTGAAACTTTTACACTAAGAAAAAGACAGGTATTTTAATTAAGCATGTGGGATGAATAAAATATATATATTTTTTAAAAAGACAGGTAGTATAATAATTAAGTTGAAGTTGCTTCAAGCCCAAGATCAAGAGTAAGCCCAATATTATCAAGTTGCTTCAACCCCAAAATCAAGACTAAGCCCAATACTGTTGTTTGGAGTTCTATGGTATGGGCCTGACATAAGGAAGATCATTAGATTCTTGAAAACGAAGTTATAAACCACATTTTGAAAGCTCTCTCATTCTTATAATATCATCTATCCATAGTTACTTACTATTCCATTTTATATGTGAAAATTCATCGTTGAGTATGATCACTTTTTTATACTGAGAGTCTGAGACGAGTGGTTTACAAAGATTAGAAAGCTAACTTTCATGTAAATGAAATAGAAATAACTCCAATGTAAATTACACAAAAAAAAAAAAGAAGAAGATAAAGACAAATCTAAAAGGAAAAACTATACGTAGAGAAGAAAACGAAGTAATCTTAAAATCGTGTGATAGTTTCCAATTCCTTTGAGACGAAAAAAAAAAAGTTTCCAATTCCTTTGTACTTTCAGTTCTTTCTCCTTTTTGTTCCTGCAAAACTTCTCATTGTTGTTTCTGACTGACTTTATCGGCATCTCATACATGAAAATTTAATTGCTGACAGAAAATAAAACATTTCGAGGATTAATATTCTAAAAAGTAGAAGTGTACTATAAATTTATTTATTCTCTTTTCCAACCACCTTTTTCTAGTCAATTTTTTTCTATTTTCTTGCTTTCTTTAGAGTCTTTTTTAAAAAGAGAAAACGATCTTTCAGAATTATCCGAACATATACTTTTGTGTTATGATCGTGTATTAGTAAATGTTTTAAGTACGATATGTCTAAAACGATCCAAAATGCTTAGTCGATTTTTTCTTTTATTTGGACAGGTCAAAGGCTGAGGCGATTAAGGAGTCTTTTATTTGTTTTGTCGACTATTAGGAGTCGAATTTTCGATTGGAAAACAAGTGTTTATATAGTAGTACTTGATATTATTTATTAAAAAAACGAATATTTATCTGAAATATTCACTGTTAAATCCAACTTATTAAAGCATGACAACTTTACACCTAAGTGGATATGTGGGATCTACTTCTATCAATCAAGTCCTTTCCGAGACCCGTAGGGGCATGGATCCCTTGACTTATTTAATTATTATTAATCTGTTTTTAATATACTAATTAGTATTCTAATTTGTTGGGTAATCTTTCTTTTCTTTATCGAGAATCTCTTCTCGAATAATTGTTAAAGCACTCGAATTCTTTATCGAGAATCAGATCTGGAAAATATGTTAATATGATTTGGTATTTGTTTGCCAATACAAATATCATAATAATTATTTTGACGTGATATATTAATAAAGGTTTAAGAAACAAATATTCTAAGAATATTAAAGTGCCTAATTAAGTTACATGGTCGTGTGACGCAAACAATGGCCCAAAACGTCTTCTCATCACCAATCACATATGTGCATATATATTTGAACACATATCTATGTGTGATGTATCATAGTCATAATATTATACTATCGTATAATCAGATATGGTCTAATGATGGGGGCCAAAGGTTGCTTTACTTCTAAGTTCTAATAACGTCCCTAAACATTTTTTTAAGGAAATTTGCTTTGATTTCTCATTATAATATTTTGTTAATTATCCTACAGTAAAGTTTGCATCTCCTTTAATCGCATGCACGTGGCATTGCATGACTCCAATTCTATCAACATGTACTCACTAGATCGTTAATTAGTGATACAAACTCTACTGTATCTTCTGGCAGAAAAGGGGGAAAAAAAAACTATACAATCTTTTTTGTTTTGGATAAACAAACTATACAGTCTATGAGAGTATTTAATATCAGTGCTAAAAATGTATCGACGAAGAAATTTGGTAAATGATAAACCATCAATTTCTTATATATTGAAAAAAGTAGAAGCTAGTTTCAAAACTCTACGCATGAAAGACTAGCTTAGCGAACTATAGTGTGTAGTCGCATAAGAATAAACAGTGAACTTATGTGATTTTGCGTGTTTTTAATATTAATTGTTATAATAAGATTACACTTTATATTTACCCACTTACTAGTTTAATAAAAATTTGTCTTTCTCATGAACGATTGGTTAATTAAATAATCTAAATTTGTTTTTTAAAATCTATTTCTGCTTATTTCTCATGGTACGACCAGTCGATATATAGTATTGCTCCATTATTTTTGGTTAAAAATAATGATGATATAAATTGGTTATCGCATACATATATATTTTCAAGAGGATGGAAATCATCGTTTATGCCAATAATATCAAAAAAAAAAAAAATCCAAACACGAGGTAACCACTCGTGGTGGCAAACCACTTTATAAGATAGCACTCGAGAATAATTCTACAAATAGGCAAAAGTTAAGTGTTTATGCGTGACGTCTCTTTTTTTCTGTCTTCTCGTTCTTACAAATCTATATAATCATCCAATTCGAATAATTATTGCAATAATTTAATATGTGGATAGAGTGTGAAATGGAATTTCACCAATGTCTATCATCCGTAATGGATCATACGGCAAAAAAGCCATCACCATATGAAAAACTTTATACACACATCATTAGCACGATTGAGTTTCAAAAAAAAGAAGGATCGAGTTATTAATAATGTTATTCACTTATTAAACTTATCCTGTTAGTTAGTTTCCTCCTACTAGACAATCCAATACTAGATCATGCATTTCTATTAATATATTTTTCTTAAAATACTTTTCATCTTTATTGTACCTAATTTGTGGAACTTATCTTCCCTCTGACCCTTTCTGTGTTGGCGAAAAAAAAAAAATCTTCTCTCTCTGTGTATATGCATGTCCATGAAACACCTCACGTCATCTGTTGATGACCGTAACTCTTGATGCTATATACATTGTTGTGATAATTTAATGCTGTATACATGTTTATACAAGTAAATTAGTGAAACAAAACTTGTAAACAAATTAAAAAAGTAGATTCGTTCAAGCAAGCACACACACGCACACATTTTATATACACTTCTAATTTATGTGTAATGATAGGTTTAGGGTTTACATCGATATGTAGGAATCAACGAAGACATGTACTACTTTTCATTGTGTCCATAACCAAACAAATATTATTTATCAAAGATCTATATGTCTCATATGGAGCCTGAAGAGCCAATCTGTTTTAATACATTAATTAAAGGCTGCACAAATATTAATTAGGTGATTCCTTCACCTAATAAACTCTACTAACATAGCTTGTTTAGACTAATTCCAAAGTCTAATCATTTGTTTTAAATTATGCTCGTATTATATAGTTATGATTTTTGTTATAAACAAGAAAGAATATATGGAACTAACTATATATATTCCACTAATTAATACAAATCCGGTTCACTATGAACAAATGATCAATATCTTCTAAAAAAAAAAAAAAAAAATGATCAATATCTTCATGAAGATATATTAGAATAAATAAACGTTGCTTGTTTGAACTGTTCATTCAGGTCGGTAACTACTCGCTTTTTTGCTTCACCAATATTATTATATCAGCATGTAATATATTATAGCTAGTTGTTAAAGAAAAGAATTATATATAGTTTTGTTTCTTATAAATAATTTAACTTTTTTTTGTCAACTAGTCTGGAAATATTTAATGAGACAGCTATGATATTTGGATAAACATCAGTATATTTTTTTAAAATTGCCTGCATTTATATGTTTAAATAACAGGTTATAAATAAAAATGAAATATTGATTACAGATTAGTAGATTACTTAATTATTAATTTAGAAGTAGCCGTTACTACGTCACCAGAATCGAAGCAGACTCTGGGGTCCTCTATAAACCCACTCGCTACGCCGCGAATAGTCAACACGCGCTAAAGTTATAACCGCTGAATTCCTTCCCGTGGAAGTATGCCGGCGTTAAAGCGCGTGTATTTACGCTTGCCGTCAAACGAATTTTTATGTTATCGCCGACGAATGCGCAGGTTAGAGAGCAGACATGCGCAAGATAGAAAATTGAAAATTAAAAAAAAAAGTTATAAAAGAGAGAGAATTAAGAAGAGAATAAAAAAATGGATCTACCTGGTTCGCACATCAGCGTGCAAGGTAGTGGAGACATGACAATCGAATTAAAAAAAAAAAAACGAATAACTAGCAATACGTTTTTAACTTAAATAATCAAATTATTATCTTAAAACAATATTAAGATTCGATTGGTATCAGTGGATCATACATATTAATTCGCTGCTAATCAAATTTCCTTTCACAAAAATGTATTTTGCACCATCAAACAAAAGTTTATGTGAAAAAACGTATTTTTTTCCACAAACAGATTAGTCCGGTGTTTTTTTATAAATAATTCAAAGTGGAAGAACAATAGTATAGAAAAATGTAATAATTAGTTTTGACTCACTGTAGCTGAGTTATGCTTGAAGACAAAAATCACCGAGAAAACACAGAAAAAATAGTTAAAAATATATATTAATAAAAAATAACTGCGTCAAAGGTCTCTAATTTAAGTTGTCGTGGTCCTTCTTCCTTCTTCTACTTGAGGATGATGAGACCCGAGTTTCTGAGACAGAAGGAAGAGTTTTTAAAATCCCTTCTGTTTATGGTCGGATTCGAACTCCGAACTTCTTGGCTTTACCTTTACGTCTGATCTTGTCGCTGAAAGCTCTTTCTTTTTTTCTCCTTTTACATGGTTTTAACGACAAAAGTTTCCCTTTCTTCAAGTTCCTGCCTTGACTCGAGATAACATCACAAGGTTCGGCTTCAGATCTCTCTTCTTATCCTAATTCATGGATTTTTGTTATTTCAGTTGTGAAAGCGAGACCAACAAAAAAAAAAAGATTGGAAAGTCTGAGATTTCTCATTCTCCGGCGTCGTTTATGAATCAAAATCACTACGTTGACTTTGCTCTGTTTTAATCTAATCTTGTTACTACCTTAAAGCCTTAAAACTTTTCTCTTCTTGGTTGTTTTGGTTAATTTTGTTTCCACTTTTTTGTATAAACTCGATGATTACTTCAATAGGTTTTGCTTTGAATTTAAGCTGGAAGGAACTGATTCGAATATTTCTTGCATAAGAAGATTTTTCAATCTATCTATATATTGACTTCATGATTGGCTTTTGCTTTTCTTGATGATATCTCTTACTATCTTGATTTCACCTTTCGTTACCAGTTGCGTACAAGAATTTAACAAAGCAATGAATAGAGGTTTCCTATTTCTTTGGGGAGTCGTTTAACTGCTAACTATGTTAAGTTGGTCCACAATTAGTGCTGAAATAAAGTCACATCCTAATAAGTGGAAACTTGACGCTTTTCGTCTGCTTAACAATAATTCTATCATCTTATCTATTTGACACCTTCCAAACACTATTGGGGATATATTTTTTTTTTCGGTGTAGGTTTTAGATTTCTGGGCGGATGATGAAGAGTTTGTGTTGACGAATTGGGTGATGAAAAAGTAACTTAAAGTTAAATCTTTTATGTTCTTTTAACTTGTCATTACAACATATGTGATCTTTTGGTGTTCTCCAAGGTCTTAGGGATTCTCCATGCCCTCTTAGATTTTTTTTTTTGTATAAAGTCTCTGGATTTTGAGATGGTTTGATTATCCGTCCTGTTTTCTTCAAAGAATTTGGTGAAAAAACCATCACAAGTTCTACTATTTGCTTTACTTGCTATGTTTGTTTGACTTTGTGTTATCTAACTTTTGCTTGAGACCTAATGCTCATCTTTTGTTCTTTGGAATTTCTTGATTTGTTTGATTTTGATGCTTTCACATATTGTTTTAAAACCTTGTATCTTCTTAATTTGTAGTTGAGGAAAACATGAATTCGACATCGACACATTTTGTGCCACCGAGAAGAGTTGGTATATACGAACCTGTCCATCAATTCGGTATGTGGGGGGAAAGTTTCAAGAGCAATATTAGCAATGGGAATATGAACACACCAAACCACATTATTATACCGAATAATCAGAAACTAGACAACAACTTGGTACTTTTTTGCTTCATTGTTCTTCAATCTCTTGATGATAAATTTTCTTGGTTTGTTTTCAGACATGTAAACTAGCTTTCATTTCTTGAAAATCATTTTTATAGTCAGAGGATACTTCCCATGGAACAGCAGGAACTCCTCACATGTTTGATCAAGAAGCTTCAACGTCTAGACATCCGGATAAGGTTAGCTGTTATAACAAATGCGTCTCTATCCGTTTCCTAATCCTAATATTCTGCGGATCCTATAGACTGAATCTTTATATCTTTACAGATACAGAGACGGCTTGCTCAAAACCGCGAGGCTGCTAGGAAAAGTCGCTTGCGCAAGAAGGTATGACTTCATTTAATTTTCTCCCCTTTAGTAAATTGTTCTGTTTGTTTATTCAGTTGGGAGATTTGATTTTGTTTTTATTGCAGGCTTATGTTCAGCAGCTGGAAACAAGCCGGTTGAAGCTAATTCAATTAGAGCAAGAACTCGATCGCGCTAGACAACAGGTTAATGAAGTGAAATATAAATCTATACTATTTTCTTTCTTTCCATTTCCAAAATATAATGCGATTTTTGATTGAAATTGGATGTTTTCAGGGATTTTACGTGGGGAACGGAATAGATACTAATTCTCTCGGATTTTCGGAAACCATGAATCCAGGTTTTGCATCAAGAACAATGAGTCTTTAAAAGAAAAAAAAAATTCAAGAATCGAGATTTAGAAATCAAGATTTTGATTGGTGACGCTTACTTGATTTGCAGGAATTGCTGCATTTGAAATGGAATATGGACATTGGGTTGAAGAACAGAACCGACAGATATGCGAACTGAGAACGGTTTTACACGGACACATTAACGATATCGAGCTTCGTTTGCTAGTCGAAAACGCCATGAAACATTACTTTGAGCTTTTCCGGATGAAATCATCTGCTGCAAAAGCCGATGTCTTCTTCGTCATGTCAGGGATGTGGAGAACTTCAGCAGAGCGGTTTTTCTTGTGGATTGGCGGATTTCGACCCTCGGATCTTCTCAAGGTAAAACAAAGAACAATCGCATAATGTTATTGAATAGAAGGAAACAAGATTACAACAATGTTTCAAATGTTATGCAGGTTCTTTTGCCACATTTTGATATCTTGACGGATCAACAACTTCTAGATGTCTGCAATCTAAAACAATCGTGTCAACAAGCAGAAGACGCGTTGACTCAAGGTATGGAGAAGTTGCAACACACCCTTGCGGACTGCGTTGCAGCGGGACAACTCGGTGAAGGAAGTTACATTCCTCAGGTGAATTCTGCAATGGAGAGATTAGAAGCTTTGGTCAGTTTTGTAAATCAGGTAAATATATATTTAATCTTTTTTTTTTAATTAAACACATTTCAAGACACTATAGTATCAGTTTCTTGATTTTGTTTGTTTGTTCATTTCTTAGGCTGATCACTTGAGACATGAAACATTGCAACAAATGTATCGGATCTTGACCACACGACAAGCGGCTCGAGGATTATTAGCTCTTGGTGAGTATTTTCAACGGCTTAGAGCCTTGAGCTCAAGTTGGGCGACTCGACATCGTGAACCAACGTAGATTTTTGAAACAACCAAATCAAGAAAATGGAAAGACCTCAAAAATGAAGAATGAGTGCATCTGAAAACAGAGGACTACTCTTGAATAAATTTGGGGGTTGCTGCTGATGATTATTTTTACTCTGCGGCTGAATCAGAAAATTTGGAAAACATGTATTGATAAGTTGTAAATATCAGAAAAAGGTGGGGGTGCCAAAAATTTGTACTTTAAAAGAGAGAAGTTTTTCGGATGTTTTAGTTTGATTTGTAAACAATTTCAGAATTATATAAATTTGGTTCCAAATCCCTTATGATAATGTACATAAGTGTGAATCTCTCTCGCTCTATTTGCAATGTAGAAACTATAGGGAATTTTTTAAAAATTTGAAATAAATATCGGGGCTTTATCCTACTTCTCCCGTTTGCAATTTCAGATACTTTCGGATCATTTTCGTAATTAAAGGTAAATACAGGAGCAAATAGAAAGATATAAGAAAAGCCTTATCTCAAGAGTTTCTCTTCATTATCCTCAAAATCGCTCTCGAGAGTGAAGAACTCTTCTCTTCTTCTTCCGCCATAGCTACAATGCTTAGTCTCTCAATTGCTACGCCGGGTACGGCGGCGATTTTCCGTCGAGGAACAGCTTCCGCGACTTCAACCTCGTCTTCTTTCCATGGTGTCAGAATCCAGCAACAGGTCTCTGCTCGCGTCCCCGCGGCGGCGATGATTTCGTCGTCTCGTAAACCGTCGGTGGTGATGATGTCGAAAAGAGAGGCGGAATTGAAAGAGATAAGATCGAAGACGACGGAGCAGTTACAAGAGGAGGTTGTTGACCTTAAAGGAGAGCTCTTTATGCTTCGTCTCCAGAAGTCGGCAAGGAATGAGTTCAAATCTAGCGACTTTCGTCGTATGAAGAAACAAGTTAGCTTTTTTCTTCTTCTTTTGGTTTCGTTTATTAAAATTTTCCTCTTTTATACAGAATTAGTTGAAATTGCTCGATTTTGATTGTGTACATAGAGAATTGGTTTTGCAGAGTCTTTGAAAGGTTTAACAAAATTGGGATTTGTGGTTTCTTGATGAAACAATGGATTATCTAATGTGAAGTTTTAAAAGATGTTAACAAACTCTATAAGCAATGTTTGTGTCGTTCTACAGATTGTAGCTAATTCTAGACTCTTAACAATGGCAACATTGCTAAGTTACTGTTTTGTTATATCTAATCTAGTAGTACTGTTTTTGGTAGAATGGAATTAGAGATTTAACATTGAGTCCAATCCATCCCCTTTTATAGATTCTTGCACACAGCTTCTTATATGTTCTTATCATAACGTGGTTTCAGTTAGACATGAATGTTGAGCTTTGCGATATCGTTTATTTAGTCTTTTTAAGTGTGCCAGTGCACCAAACTAGCTTTAGATGAAAATTACTTGCTTTGGTTTACTGATTACTGGGATTTCAAGTAGACATGAATCTTGAGCTCTAAGTGGCTAATGCTGTAATGCACCAAATTAACTTTAGATGAAACTAAGTTCAAGTCGAAATTGCTTGGATTTTGACCTAACTCTGTCTCAATTGTGGTACTAACGATGTGTTCTTTTTGTTGTGGGTGATTTAGGTTGCTCGGATGTTGACAGTTAAAAGAGAGAGGGAGATCAAAGAAGGGATAAAGAAAAGGTTGTCGAGGAAACTTGACCGACAATGGAAGAAAAGCATTGTACCGAGACCACCTCCTTCTCTAAAGAAGCTTCAAGAAGAAGAAGCTGCAGAAGAAGCAGCTGAAGCTGCGAAATCTGCTTGAAAAAACGGCCATTGATCTTGTTGTTTCCTGGAGATGTTTTATTCTCTGTTCTTTTGTTGCTGAACCATCTTGTATTTGTTCTTCTTTTGGTGTAAACACTTTCCTTATTAAGTAGTTTACATGAATCCATTTAAGTTTAATATCCTTGCTTAAGTTTTCATCAGAATTATTATCCAATCTGACGAAGAAGTCAAGAAACTAGTAATCCTATGAACAACAAAAAAAAAAAAGAAAAAAAAAGGGGAAAATCCAATAAATTGGCGGGAAAATTAGGAATTTATTGGTGGCTTAGAAATAGAATGCCTTAAAGTCTGTGTCTTTTGTGGGCATAGATTAGGTCTTCCGTCTTCGGTGGTAAATTCCGGCTGTATGTGGAAGTTTTCCGGTGAGTTTAGGAGATAAAGTGATCTGTCTTACAGCGATTATGTTTCCGATGATGTTTCTATTTGGACATGGAACCCTAGATTTCATGATTGGACGAAATTCACTGTCAAAATTAAATCCGTGGATAATAGATACTTTGTTTATGCAATCGAAAGTAGTAGAAAAATCTCATCTTGGTAAATACATTCTCATAGAGACTTCATCGTGTAGTCTTGTTAGTTTTTGGATTAGTCAACAACAATGGGTTTGGTTTTTTGTTTACTGTTATTTGTCCTTTTCTTATTAGTATATATATATTGAAGATCTGGCCAATAATTTTTCTGACTCAGTGGTATTGAAATCTTCTTTAAGAAGTACGAACTACTGATAAAATAATCTCAAATTAGTAATTTCTTTTCTTTGTTTTCTTTTCTTTGAAGTTTGAATACGACTGATATAAACATAGTTTAGAAGCTCTGCATCTACTTCTCCTCTGCCCTTTTGCAAAGAAGGTTTGGGAGATTACACCAGCCTTGTTTAAACCATCTGAGACAGTTCATACGTCTCTTGAGCTCCTCATGGTAGGTGCCAAAAAGATGGTAGCTCTGCCTCCAACGGGTCTATCCTCTGCTCCTCTGTATCCATGGATTTTTTGGCACCTTTGGAAGGCGAGGAACCTGCTAATTTATGAAGAAAAAGGTTTCTCCGAAGAAGAAGTGGTGTTAAAAGCCATTAATGATGCTCGTAGTTGGATGGAGGCCCAGCTGCTTCTCCCTAAAACAGTGAATGGCCCCCAAGAAAAACCAATCCCACAGCCTAACCCAGAGTATACAAGTTGTTATGTTGATGCAGCTTGGATTAAATCAGGGTTTTGTGGTTTGGGATGGCTCCTCCAGGACGAAAACAAGGTGAAAATCAGTGAGAAAAAGGTCTCCAAAAGCTTTGTAGGTTCTGCTCTTATTGCAGAGACAATGGCGATGCAATCGGCCTTAGTGGATGCTCAATCTGCAGTTGTGCGTCAGCTCAATGTCTTCTCCGACTGTAAAGTGTTAATCTCCCTTCTCATCTCAGGAAACAGCATCGTTGAAATCCGCGGGCTGCTTCATGTTATCAGAGAACTGAGTGTTTCCTTTACCTCTATCTGTTTTTATTTCATTCCCCGTTTAAGTAATGTTGCTGCTGATTCCCTTGCGAAAGCAGCTCTGCTAGATGTATCCTCTTCCCCCACTTGTGGTGGTTAAGACTCCTTTATGTTTGAAATGAAATGAAAGTTGGTTCAAAAAAAAAAAGTTTATTGCTACTACAGGTAAATATGTTATGTCATCCAATCCACTTCCTATTGACAATACTTAATTGCAGATTCGATTCGATCTCATTCACATAATCACTGGCGGTGGAGCTGTTCTTCCAAGCTACTCTTTTGTGAGGATGACTGGCGGTGAAGTTGTTCTTCCATCTCTCCGATACTTTGGTAATTCAGTGATAGTTAAAATCCATAAGTACTACTTTCTTTATATTGGACACTCTATATGAAACAAATTTATGTATCCGTATATTGCTAGAACAGATGTGTCTCTCAACTAGAAGTCATCATGTCTTAGTTTCAAGCAGTAAGAGTATGCTATGGAGGACGACGGCCGAGGGCGGTATGAGTTCTTACAGGTATCTAGTCATTTTCGTATAGCCAAGATTGCAAGATGCTAGGTTATTAGTTTTAGATGTCTTGATGTGAGATGCTTTTGTTAACTAGCCGTGGTAGATTCTCATATGTTCTTCTGGTTTGTCATTACCATTTTAGTGGAATAACAAAACTGTTGACATAGCAGTGATCTGGACCATGATGATTCACCTAATACCTTACATCCAAGGGTTAAGTCAAAAGATCATTTGAAAACATCTATCTGCCCACAATTATTTTAATATGCCAATGGTCAAAACTGTACATTTTTTATGGAAAGTTTTATTTTATTTTATTCTGAGATTCATCCGAAGTTCAGTTTTACAGCTGCATTGTGCTGTTCACACCCATTAGTTCACACTTAGAGATTCTTATCCGCATTTCAAACTGACCAAGTTGTCAACTTTTCAGCTTAAATTTTGTGAGAAATACTCCGTCAGGGTCCAATGTTGAAACTCTGTAAGATACGCGGTGTCCTTAATGTTAAGTACAAGAGATTTAAGAAAAAAATGCATATCTAAAGGTGATTTATGAGGTTTGCATATGACTAGCCTGTCTTACCATTTACCAACTCCAGCCATGTGTTTTAAAGCTTTGCACAGCTTTCTATGATGCTTTTGACAAGATTATTTTATTATGTAAGCGTCTTACGTATATTTTTCATGCAAAGATCTTTGGTACTTCTGGATCACACATGTGACTTGCTTTTCATGCAAAAAGCTTTTTCCATGTTTGTCTTGGTCTTATCCTTTCGTGAAAAGTCCAAAAGCTTTAGCCTGTTTCACTTCAACTACTATCTCCTTAAAAGCAACAAATGTTATTTGTGCAGGTCTTTTGGATTTTCTTATTGTCTTCTTCTTGATGCCTGTGAAGGTAATGATGAACAAGACCGGCTCTCTTAACTTCCAAGGTTTGTTGATGCTTCTGCCCAATTTATTTGTTCATTCGCATCACTAGTTTCATGCTTTGATTCATTTCATGAAGCAATTGTGATTGCTTCAAGTATATGGTAAAACAGTTCTAACATGATTTCAAGCTTTTATATTATCCTCTTGATTATTGAAAACTTTTAGACTTGTTGTCGCTTGTCAACTTAAATGGTCCTTTTCTTTTAACTTTGTTTTCTAGCTTCTACTTACTTTGTCTCCTTTTTCTAAATGATGATGGATAGACATATATACAAATCTCTTAAGCTTTATAAACATATAGTTACTCTATGAGCATTTCGACTAACTAGTGCTATCAATATACAAATGCTGTTTGCTTGGCTTAGACCAATGTGTTTAAGGTGGATTGTCCAAGTCCTTTTGAAAGCCTCTAGTAAAAACAGTAGTAGGCCTTTTTTGCTTAGTGTTCATTTTCTTATTTCAAAGTTTGACCAAGGTGTTGATATAAGCAGTACTTTCATGATTGCATCATTCTAAATTGGATTGAATATAAACACTATTTTGGTTGGTTCTTACCTATTTGTGCCTATTCAGCTTCTTGGATCTTCTATGGAGACGTCCTTTTTCGGCTTTTATGGATTGGTTCTAAGAAATCTCAGGTTAGGTACTGCAAAGTTACAACCCTTCTATACATTTTTTCTGTAGCATCATTCTTTCCTAGTTCCTACCATTGAAGTGATGTCAATGCAGATTGATTGATTTCATTCCATGGAGGATTATTAAGTTAAAAAGTTTTGACTGCTGAAGAAAATATATATGCATCTTAGCCTTGAAACATAGTCTTATGAATAAAATTGTCTTTACTTGCATGTGGAATAGATCAATCTCAGTAATTCCAGCATTGATATATCGTTAGGTGCTATGTGACACAGTCCAGTTAGCTAATTTTAGTTATGCGTAGAGCCATTAATGGTAACACTGGTTCGATAGATACAATATGTTATTAACACATTGTTCAATGTTGCTTCTTCTAAATTTTGTTCTAATAATTTTCAATATTGTCCATCTTAGGACTTGTTGCAGGAATCATACATCTATCTCCTCATATGATAGTAGCAGAACAATTTGATAAAAGGCACTTTTTAGAGTCTGATTTAATACAGGATCGCCATCGCCCTTTGGTCCTCAAGCAACTCAGGTAATTTTGTTGGTGATTAATTATACACATCTTTTCTTGAATTTAATGAAAATATTATTTCTGATGCATTTCTTCATCAGAATTTTGCATCATATAGGTAACTGCTATATATATTACGAAATGGTAGATTACCACTGATGCATCTAAATTGATTCTATGTGGAGCTCTAATTAAGATAGCAATGTCATTGTCTCCCTCTCTAATCTTTCACTGTCTTGTAGCTGTAAATTGGTGTCATCAATGAACGAATTTAGCCACCTAAACTAACATGTAGTGGTTGATGCCTAAGAAAACAACGCTTAAGGCCCACACAATTTGGTTCATATAATACTATAGAATGACTTTATTTTTATAAAATTGTAAAATACGTTCTTCTTCTTCCTGTTTTCTCTGTCCCAATGTTCGTCAGGTTCCTAGTGAATATGTGTTTTTATTGTATGTAATGTTTGACTTAAGTGTATAATTGCTAGAAGATTTTGAACGGTGAGCTCATTTATATTAATAACCAGATACTTTTTATATAAACAAAGAAAGTCAGTCTCTAGAGCAATAGTTAAATCTTGAAAAACTCAACCATTATTAGATTACTGTATGAAGGAAATTTCCAAACAGAACCTCCAACAAGGTTGCTTCTATGTGAACAGATGGAAAAAACAAGTTTAACTTGTTTGAATATACTGATGAACTTAAATCTTGTTTAAGATTATCTGTGCGCATGTGTCTCATTCTGTTTTTTTTGTTTCACTGGTTGCAATCTCTTTCAGGATCCTGCTGATGAAATTTTCAACACAAGCATCTTGGAATTCTCTCAATTGTGTAAGTACCAACAGTTTGATATATATCACTGTCATCCACAAAGTTTGATAGTGACCTCCTGGGTAGAAAATCACTCTTTGGATATACACTGTGTATGTGTATCTGACTTATACAGTCCTGAGCTCGATGCATACTCTTCACATTTACAGAGAATAAGGAAGAGGTAAATGTTTTCTTTTTTTTCAAACGTGGCTTTGAAAGTCAGGGTTTAGATGTGTTGGTTAGGAACTGAGGAGAAGAAGCAAAACAATTTGTTTAGCTGACATTCACAACCATTTTTTTTATATATTAGAGGAAAAGAACGGTTTAAGTGACATAGCGTATATTGAAATTAATAATTTCAGCATGAACCTAGTGTCTTCCTTATTTCTTTAATATATTATACTGTACCTGCTTTCCTCCAGTGAGATTGTGGTCCACTCTGAGAAACCCTAGATGAACAAGCAACTCAAATCCCACTCTCTTTCCCGGAAAATTCTCGTAATCAACTACGCGAAAAATACTAATGTTTTTTCGCTAATCACTCAATGAAATAATAGCATTTGTTACCTACAGGAAAATGATCAGTTGATACAATATGGAAACCTCTACTCATGAAAGTTATTATCTAAACCTTGTGCATTGAAAAGCCTCTTGGGAATACATATTTAGTTTGTAGATGCAGTGAAAACGTTTCCTTTTCCAATTTCTATGTATCTGAAAATTTGTTTCTTGAGGACCAATTGTCTTTCATTTGGAACAATTATATTGCAGAAAACCCTATGATCTACTTTATGGAAAAGACACAGAAGAAAAAGACAAGACATGCCATTTGGTCCAATTCAAAGGCATTAGGGAGAAAGTCTTGTAGGTTTCAAAGATGGTGGATATTTAGATCATTTTCTGCACCAACCTCTCCCCTAACAAGCTCCTTCCAAATTTCAACAAAATGTCAACATCAAGCCTGTCACCAGTATGAATAGTAACTTCTCTTCTCATAATACCAATACTTTTACATTGCTACTTTGTCCTTCACATTTGTCTGTCACCTGTTGCTGTCTATGCATTTTCCGTAATTTTTGTTTTCATTGAACCGTATAGTTAATGTGCTTATCAATGAATGATTGATCTGTAGTAGGACAGGATTATATATAAATCTCATATATTTTGATCACAAAATGGATACAAAACACAACTGGATTAGTTCTCACGTATCCTGATAATGTTCTCTGTTGTAGGTTTCTTAATATAGCATCTTTTTCTCACCAGAAAACGCAATTTTGAGTAGGAAATCTCAGTAAGTATTACCTAAATTTGCTATATCAGGACTTCCTCAAGATCAAAAGAAATGTGTTGAACAAGACTTTAAGACTTATAGTTTCCTTATTAGATCAAGTCTGCTTCTTTCTGATGCTTTCTAGTATCTTAAAACTCTTAGGGCTTATGGCTTGATACAAAGTAAATACAAATATATAATATTCTTTTTATATATATATTAGAGAATACCAAATACATATAGAGTCAAGAAATGAATGACACAAGGAGATGATCTCTCTGGCCATCCTTGTGGTGACATCTGTTGTTTGGTGCGATTAAAAATCATTTCTCTGCTATGTATTGTCAGCGAATGATTAAGAAATTATTTGAATAATTTATAGCTTTCTTGTCAAAGTCCTATACTGACCTTCTTCTTCTCCCCCACCTAAACCTTTCTGTAGAAACTTTGGAATCTTTTCTCTAGCAGGCAATGGGACTGTACTGATCATATTATTATGTTTGCAGGTCTCTAGCGACATTAATCCCTGAACCACAGGATTTAGTACTAAGGATATCGACATCTAGAACTGTGTCCGAGAAGAAGATTGGTCGTATTGTTTAGGACTGTAAGTGGTTATACCGTACGTATGTGAGAGAATAAAGAAGAGAAAAATGGAATTTGAAGGGTGAAAGCGACATGGGTTGTTTTGGTATGCGAATAAGAAAGAAGCACGTGGTGAATGGACATTGAAGAGAGAAGGAAGCTCGACTTAATATAAATATAGAAATAAGAAGCAGTTAGTGGTTGTGAAGAAAGGAGGCAAGCGACCAAATCTTTGAAGAAGCAATAGTAAAGAGAAGGTAAAAACAAGAAGAGAGACCGTTGTTAGATACAGAAGTTGATCAAACATGGGAAGATCTCCTAGCTCAGACGAAACCGGTCTGAAGAAAGGTCCATGGTTGCCTGAAGAAGATGATAAACTCATCAATTATATTCACAAACATGGCCATAGCAGCTGGAGTGCCCTTCCCAAGCTCGCTGGTACTATCTTGAAGATGTTGATGAAACCTAGTTTTGTTTGTGATTATGAGTCTAAAGTCTTGGTCTTATGAATATTTATCTGTTTCTCTATATGCAGGTCTTAACAGGTGTGGAAAGAGTTGCAGGCTACGATGGACAAACTATTTGAGACCGGACATTAAGCGAGGAAAATTCTCAGCTGAAGAAGAAGAGACCATCCTGAACCTTCATGCGGTTCTTGGGAACAAGTAAAAAACCCTTCTGATTCTTGATATTATCTGGGGTTTTTTTTTTTGTTACGTAGCTCATTCAAAATGTTACTGGTAATGATTTTATAAGGTGGTCAATGATTGCAAGCCACTTACCTGGAAGAACTGACAACGAGATCAAGAATTTCTGGAACACTCATTTGAAGAAAAAGTTGATTCAGATGGGTTTTGACCCCATGACTCATCAGCCAAGAACCGATGATATCTTCTCAAGCTTATCTCAGCTCATGTCTCTGTCTAACCTAAGAGGACTTGTTGATCTGCAGCAACAGTTTCCAATTGAAGATCAAGCTCGAATGAATCTCCAAACTGAGATGGCTAAGCTCCAGTTGTTCCATTACCTTCTTCAATCTCCTCCTCCTCCTCCAATGAGTAGTAGCAATATTAACCCTAATGACTTAAACATTCTCAATCTCCTCATCAAAGAAAACTCCAATACCAATACTCTCGATCTCGGTTTCCTCACTTCTCATCTTCAAGACTTCAACAACAACCTCCCATCCCTCAAAACCCTAGAAGAAAACCACTTCAGTCAAAACACTTCTCCAATATGGCTCCATGAACCACCGAGCTTGAACCAAACTATGTTGCCTACTCATGATCCTTGTGCTCAGAGTGTAGATGGTTTCAGCGGCAACCAGGCCTCCTCAAGCCATGATCAAGAAGTAGCAGTCACAGACTCTGTAGATTGGCCTGATCATCATCTATTTGATGACTCCATGTTTCCAGACATTTCTTATCAATCTTAAGGTATGTATGTATATGTTTCATAAGAACTTGACTGAATTTGTTTGGTGTTGCTGTGCATGTGGTTCTATATATATCTATATACGTTGATTCATGATGTGTGATAATGTCTTAGAATGTAAATGTGTTCCTATGTATAACTCATACATGTTGTTTGTGTTCTTATAGAACATTCTATATGTTTGAATGTATCTTCATTACCCTAGTATGTAGAGAGACCAACCAACGATTTGTTCAGATAATTATTTCTAAATTTGTGTCGTGTTTATAATAACAAAACGATTGTGTGTGATCGATTGTTATGTCATGTGTATCTTCTGGAAAATCGTAAGTATTTTGGTTATAAATATTTTTTTCGTAAACATGAATGATCTTTTGATAGTCTTAGCCTTTTAGGGAGTTTACAAATTAAAGGTTGGATCGAAGTACTTAAAAACCCTTGATATTTTATATGCACAAATTTCTCTTCTTGCACAATGAAACGATATTGTTATGTCAGATTTTTTTTTCAAACATTGGATCAAAAACGTTACAACATAAAGAAAGACACAAGTGACCAAAAAAGCTTTTCAAGTACTATACTCTATAAGAGAATGTTATATTTTATATTGGGTTCAGAAAGCCCATCCAAGGCCTGTTATAATGGGCTGACAATAAAAGGATGATCCAAACATGGCGCTGATTCATTCGCAGATACATATAGGTCTTGAATGGTGACACATAAGAGTGCGGTATTCAAGATTAAAAACGTTTCAATCACATAATTTTTATGCAATTTTGCGTTTTTTTTTTAAATAAAAAAAACTGTTGCATTTTTTTAAGTCAATGTATTAACCAATGGACCGCCAATTTTTTTCTAACTATCAATTATCCAGCGGTCCATCTTAAATTCTGCACCGAATAAAACAGACATTGATTTTTTATTTATTTAATTTTTTTTTACTCAAAACTTCATTTTCATTAAAGTACTGTACCAATATAGGTAGTGAAAAAAACATCAGATATACAAATAGGGACAAAATTATGATAAATAAATGGGAAAAAATAAATAAATTCAGATAATAAATATATTTGATTTTTAGCTAGAAAGTCTACAAGCTGATTTTCTCTTCGTTGGGTCCAAGTAAAGTCAGTTACCTCAAATCTTCTTTCCCATTCCTTAATTTTTGGGTCCGAATGGTGACAGCGTATTTGGCTATATAGAAAAAGCGGCTTTTTAGTGTGGTACGGTCCAATTGCGATACAAGCGGAAAAATGTATTTGCGGGATAAGTGCAGTTTTTGTAGAATAAGCGGTACGAAATAATATTTGATTGGTGAAAAAATAATTTACGGGATACATATAGAAGTTTTAAAAATATAGTTAATATTTTTTTGATTTAACTTTATAGTGTATATATAAGACAATTATTAATCCAATCATAAAAGTATACATCAAATTTTAATAATTTAATGTAATAATTGAGTAATTTTTGGTAAAATTTAAATAAATCTAGTTTATATATAAGAAAATTATTTGAAAATTTTAAAATATAAAAGACTTTAAAATCAATATTTTAACTCTCAATCGGTTTAGTTAGCTACTCCTTCTGTCCCAAATTATAGGATGTTTTAGCATTTTTTTCTTATTCCATTTTATAAGATTTTCCCAGATTTCTATGCATATTTTATGTTTATTTAGTATGTTATGTAGGCCTGGGCACAAGGCAAGTACTTGCTATTTTTCAAGTACTTGTGACTCGCCTTGGCCCGTACAAGTAATTGAAAGTTCGGCTTGATACTCGACTCGTTTGAGCAAGTACTTGCTATAACAAGTACTCGTCCAAAATTTTGTTACTTGCAAGTAACTTGACCCGGCTTGTTACTTGCAAGGTAACTTGACTTGGCTTGTTACTTGCAAGTACTTGTTACTTAAATCTTGAAGTCTTGAACATTTAATTTAAATAAAAAACCAATCTCATACATATTATAAAACATTCAGAATTTTAAACATCATAAAATCGCAAAACATCCTAGAATCACAACACATTCAAAGTTCCAAAAGATAAGCATTTTAAAACAACTTGGTTCAAATTGAAATCCTGTCTCTGTCTTCCTTCTTGAGTTCTTGTCTTTTTGATTCTCTTTTTTTTTCCATATAAATAAAACCAACATAACAAATGTTACTATTAGTGTATTACGCTTTAAAACAAAACTTGAAAATCATGAAGTATCCATACCTTTCATTCTTCCTCCAAAGCTAAACCCACTCCTTGCACTAGATTTCCATAAGCATTTGAAGTTACAAATTCTGTTGAAACAACATAAAAGTTGTAAGTTCACATGTAAAAGAAAACATGCATATATCATTGGTCATTGGGTTTATAGTTTTAGACTAATTTATAACATTGGTCATTGGGTTTTATAATTTTAGACTTTTAGTGATTGGGTTTAAATGTTTAATGGTCTTTATATCTTGTAATACAAAACGGGACGAGTAGCAGAGCGAGTAACGGGGCGAGTAACGGGGCGAGTAACGGGGCGAGTAACGGGGCGAGTAACGGAGCGAGTATCGAAACGGGGCTTGTAACGAGCCAAGTATCAAAAAAAATTATGATACTTGATACTTGACCCTTACTTGCAAGTAATGGAATTATACTACTTGGTACTTGCCTTGACAACACCGGGTACTTGTTTTTTCAAGGCGAGTACGAGCCGAGTAGCGAGTATCAACCGAGTAACGAGTACTTGTGCCCAGGCCTAATGTTATGACCATTATAAATTCTGCAGTCTTTTTTTTCTATTGGCTGAATTCCTATAAAAAGTAAAACATTTATTATTTCTTAATCTTTGTGCTTTTATACAAAACATCTTATACAATGGGACAGAGGGAGTATAATATTTAAGTGTTAAATTTGTTTTAAATTTTAATTATTTTTAAAAAAGGAGTTTAAGTGTTAAATCTATATTACGTGAAAACATTGCCGAACTTCGAATACCAAAGCTTACGGACCAATTAAGGATGGGATGCCTAGGCGCGACTAGTTTTCGACGTTTTTAAAATTCAACACATAAACTAAGTGTTAAAAAGTAATAGTGAAATTAACATGGTTTTAGTTAAAAATTATATTAATTATTCTTTTAAAGTATAAGTGTTAAATTTGTTTTAAATTTTATTTATTTTTTAAGTGTTAAATCTATATTACGTGAAAACATTACCGAATTTCGAACACCAAAGCTTACGGACCAATTAAGGACGGGATGCCTAGGCGCGGTTAGTTTTCGACGTTTTTAAAATTCAACACTTAAACTAAGTTTTAAAAGTAATAATGAAATTAACATGGTTTTAGTTAAAAATTATATTGATTATTTTTTAAAGTTTAAGACTTTAAGTGTTAAATTTGTTTTAAATTTTAATTATATTTTAAAAACGAGTTTAAGTGTTAAATCTATATTACGTGAAAACATTGCCGAACTTCGAACACCAAAGCTTACGGACTCGCGGTTAGTTTTTGACGTTTTTAAAATTTAACACTTAAACTAAGTTTTAAAAAGTAATAGTGAAATTAACATGGTTTTAGTTAAAAATTATATTGATTATTTTTTTAAAAGTTTAAGTGTTAAATGTTTTTAGAATTTTAATTATATTTGGTTAACAAGTAATAGTGAAATTAACATAGGTTTTAGTTAAAAATTATATTGATTATATTTTTAAAAGTGTTAAATTTGTTTAAAATTTTAATTATATTTTTTTTAAAAAAGTAATAGTGAAATTAACATGGTTTTAGTTAAAATTTATATATTGATTATTTTTTAAAGTTTAAGTGTTAAATTTATTTTAAATTTTAATTATTTTTGGTTAACAAGTAATAGTGAAATTAACATGGTTTAGTTATAAAATTTATATTGATTATTTTTTAAAAGTTTAAGTGTTAAATTTGTTTTAAATTTTAATTATATTTTAAAAACGAGTTTAACTGTTAAATCTATATTACATGAAAACATTGCCGAACTTCGAACACCAAAGGAAAACATTGCCGAACTTCGAACACCAAAGTTTACGGACCAATTAAGGACGGGATGCCTAGGCGCGGTTAATTTTCGACGTTTTTAAAATTTAACATTTAAACTAAGTTTTAAAAAGTAATAGTGAAATTAACATGGTTTTAGTTAAAAATTATATTGAATATTTTTTTAAAGTTTAAGTGTTAAATTTTTTTAAAATTTTAATTATATTTGGTTAACAAGTAATAGTGAAATTAACATGGTTTTAGTTAAAAATTATATTAATTATTTTTTTAAAGTTTAAGTGTTAAATTTGTTTTAAATTTTAATTATATTTGGTTAACAAGTAATAGTGAAACTAACATGGTTTTAGTTAAAAATTATATTGATTATTTTTTTAAAGTTTAAGTGTTAAATTTGTTTTAAATTTTAATTATATTTGGTTAACAAGTAATAGTGAAATTAACATGGTTTTAGTTAAAAATTATATTGATTATTTTTTTATAGTTTAAGTGTTAAATTTGTTTTAAATTTTAATTATATTTGGTTAACAAGTAATAGTGAGATTAACATTGTTTTAGTTAAAAATTATATTGATTATTTTTTTATAGTTTAAGTGTTAAATTTGTTTTAAATTTTAATTATATTTTAAAAACAAGTAATAGTGAAATTAACATGGTTTTAGTTAAAAATTATATTGATTATTTTTTTAAAGTTTAAGTTAAATTTGTTTTAAATTTTCATTATATTTGGTTAACAAGTAATAGTGAAATTAACATGGTTTTAGTTAAAAATTATATTAATTATTTTTTTAAAGTTTAAGTGTTAAATTTGTTTTAAATTTTAATTATATTTTAAAAACAAATAATTGTGAAATTAACATGTTTTAAAATAAAAATTATATTGATTATTTTTTTAAAGTTTAAGTGTTAAATTTGTTTTAAATTTTAGTTATATTTGGTTAACAAGTAATAGTGAAATTAACATGGTTTTAGTTAAAAATTATAATGATTATTTTTTATAGTTTAAGTGTTAAATTTGTTTTAAATTTTAATTATATTTAAAAAACAAGTAATAGTGATAACATGGTTTTAGTGAAAAATTATATTGATTATTTTTTAAAGTTGAAGTGTTTAAATTTGTTTTAAATTTTAATTATATTTTAAAAACAAATAATTGTGAAATTAACATGTTTTAAAATAAAAATTATATTGATTATTTTTTTAAAGTTTAAGTGTTAAATTTGTTTTAAATTTTAATTATATTTTAAAAACAAGTAATAGTGAAATTAACATGGTTTTATTTAAAAATTATATTGATTATTTTTTTAAAGTTTAAGTTTTAAATTTGTTTTAAATTTTAATTATATTTTAAAAACGAGTTTAAGTGTTAAATCTATATTACGTGAAAACATTGCCGAACTTCGAACACCAAAGCTTACGGACCAATTAAGGACGGGATGCCTAGGCGCGGTTAGTTTTCGACGTTTTAAAATTCAACACTCAAACTAATTTTTAAAAAGTAATAGTGAAATTAACATAGTTTTAGTTAAAAATTATTAATTATTTTCTTAAAGTTTAATTTTTAAATTTTTTAAAATTTTTAATAAAAACTATTATTATTTTATAAAAATATTAATATATTATCTATATAAATTTTAGTAAAAATTATAAAGTATTTTAGAAAAGATACCTGGAAGTTGTGCAATCCTGAGGAGTCTGAACACGAGCCGTTGTTCATCGACACCAGGCTTTGCCTTTGGCTTTTCAGGCCGTCATAACAGAATCGGGTTTTGTAAGATATCCATTCTTCGTTTATATCCTGAATAAGAACATTCACGAGTTCAACATCTAGCAATCAACCCTATCAATAGCACGAAATCCAAATTTCTTCTACCAATCAACGATCAAATCAATCCATGAGCGGAAAGAATCCAAAGTTCAGTACTGAAACTAACCTGGAAGTGCAGGCATGGCACACGACGCTACAGGCTTAGGAGATTTCTACAATTTCCAGCAATCGACAAAACAGAACCGCGTAACCATCAACGAAAACCTCCATCGCAAGCTTGAAGAACGGTGAATCCTTTAGGAACTTTGACCGCGTAACCATCAACGAAATAGAGAGAGTTTTGATATTTCTCTCTCAAAGGAATTAGGTATTGATCGATCAGTGTTATAGAAGAAAAGAAGAAGAATCGAGAATTAGAGAGTTCTGATTTTTCTTTCTCAAGGAAGAGATACAAGAAACTGCGTGAGAGCTTTTATTTATTTAGAAGCAAAGTGTTAATTAGTAGGTTATTGATCAATCTTATATATACACAACAGAGATTACGATATAGCCGTTGGAGGCTGTTATGTTTCCTTTTTTTAATACAAAGAAAAAGGAAATTGTCATCTCTATTTCCTTTTCTTTCTTTCAATGGGCTTTATTTTAACACAAAGTTTCAAACATATTGTATCAAAAACGTTACAACATAAATACACAAGTGAACATAACGCCGTGTGATTCATTCGCCGATACATATAAAATTAGAAACCAAAACTTCATTCTTGTTTAAAACCAAAACTAGTTGTTTCTTCTTCTACTTTACAGTGTGTTTGAATCCAAGTTTCTGTTTCTATCTTCCACCAGATAATTCAATGGCATCTTGATTATTAATGGAATCTTCACCCCAATCAAATCTCCTCTGCAGCCTCTGAAACTCTTCTTGTCTCGTCACTTCAAGATTCTGCCATTCTTCCCATCTCTCTGCAAGCCCTTCTCCTTCAAGCATTCTTACTACTTCCGACATCGCTGGTCGTTCTTCCGGTGCTGCTTGTGTGCATAGCAGAGCTACTTGTATCATCATTTCAACTTCTTCCTTTATATAATCCTCACCAAGCTTCTTATCTACAATGTCTCCTAATCTCTTCTCTCTTTCCAGTTTCTTCACCTGAAAACCAGTTTTACAATATGAGAAGAAACAGCAAAAAAGATCACAGATTTTAACATTACTTACATGGTCTAGCAATAAGACATCATCTTCTTCCTCTAACCGCGAGAAATCAATTGCTCTTTGTCCAGTTACAAGCTCCAGAAGCATAATTCCGTACCCGAAAACGTCAGTTTTCTCTGATGATTTCCCTGTGGATATGCATTCTGGTGCAATGTGACCCATTGTTCCTCGGACCTGAGTGGTCACATTAGTCCTTCTAACATCTACCAACTTGGCTAAACCAAAATCACCAACCACTGCTTCAAAGTCTTCATCTAGTAACACATTTGCAGCTTTCACATCTCGGTGTATGATCTTCGGGTTGCAATGTTCATGAAGATATTCGAGTCCTCGTGCTGCGCCTAACGCAATCTGTTTCCTCCTGAACCAATCCAGAATTGGATCGCCGGGTTTAATCTCTGCACAGTATCGATTAAAAATCTTAAACTCCTGAAACCAAAAGTGTATATAGCTTATGTTTCTTTTTTACCTCTTAAGCAATACGCAACACTTAGATTCTGCATGAAAGGATACACCAAAAGGCGTTCGGTTTGCGTTGTACAAAAGCCGATAAGGCGAAGCAGATTCCTATGAACAGCTACACTTATCATCTCAACTTCTCTCTGGAAAGCTTCATCTCCTCCTGGACGTTCAAAATCAGTCAATCTTTTCACAGCGACTTTTGTGCCATCCGAAAGCAATCCTTTGTAAACTTTCCCAAAGCCTCCTTGTCCGAGAACATTCTTTTCGCTGAACTCATCTGTAGCCAATTGAAGCTCTCTCCATGCAAATCTTCTCAACTGTCCAAACGCAATCCTTCTGTCCACTTCACCTGAAACCAAAGTTTGAAACGGAAACTAAAGATTTTTAAAACCTTTTTATAGTTCCTATGTAACCATAAACATGGAAGATTGATTATTGTCACAGACCTGCAACATCCACAAAGACGTCGCGTTTATATCCTTTATGCTTATCCTTGCAGAAGAAAAAGAAGAAGAATCCAAGGAGAATAACTGCGACTCCGCTAACAACTCCAGCGATAATTCCAGTTTTTCTACTGCTTGAATCACCTATCAGAGCCAAAACAAACTCTCCATACTTAGAATCTGTGCAAGTAGAGTAAATGGCAACTATAACATAAATATGGAAGTGGGCAACAGCAAACAATTGTCACTTTACCTGAAGGATTAGACACAGTTACACAAGGTTGAGGGTAACTGCCACCACAACTCAAGTTGTTTGCTGTGAAACTATAGATTTGAAAGACTAAACTCAGTGGTAAAGATAAATTAAGACTATAAGTATTCGTGTTTGAAACCGAAAGAACTCTTACGTACTTGTATTTTGGAATTTTGAATAAACTCTGAGGAATCTCACCACTGAGATTATTTGAGTCGAGCAGACTGCAGAAGTAGTTCAAGCAACAGCATTTAAGACATTTAAGAGTGTTTTCGAACAAATGGAGAAAAAGACAACACACAGAACTACCACTCACATATTTATCAGTTTCGATAGACCAGTAAGAGAATCAGGGATAGTACCATTAAGGTTATTCCTACTCAAGGTCCTGCTTGGCCAAACAGAAAAACAAAGATATGATCTTCATTCTTTGTCCCAGAGATCTCAAATAAGTTCAAAGACACTTGGGGAATAGAATTTACTTACAAGAACTGGAGATTCTTAAGATTACCAAGAGTGGATGGTATGCGACCAGTTAACTGATTATCCTCCAAATCTAAGCTGGTCAAGCTAGACAAATTTCCAATGGATTCTGGTATTCCACCAGTAATTCCATTTCCCTTCAATGTACTACATACAAGCAAAAAATGAAACAAAAAATTCTCATTTAACATAACACACGTAATAGTATGTTCCACATAGTAAATGCAGAAAAGAGAAGTTGACTATCCACAAGATCACAGTTCCTAAGCAGGTACTTACAGAGTCTTGAGAGTTGTCAAGATTCCTATTCCTGAAGACAAGGTTCCCAAGGAGAAGTTCATGTAAGACAAAGTTCTGCAAATCACAACCATATAGCATAAATGTTTCTTCTCTAAAACTCATAACAAAACAGAAATTTTTGACCAAATCTTGCTAATAAGTGTGTTAATCAAACTTACACAGAAGTAACATGTTTCTTGTCATCACAAATAACTTGAGACCAAGTACAAGGATCGACTTGATTCTGGTTCCAATCACTAAGCTGTTCAGGAGATGCACGTAACGAGCTCCTTAAGGCAAATAGTGCATTCCCTGAAAACGAAATTGCAAGAGTTTTAACAAAAATCTTTTCTTGGACAAACTCAGAAACTACCAAAGAGAATTCTGAAGGAGAATGAGATTACCTTGATCATCTGGTGACACAGATGACCATAAACATGTAAACACCAATGTAGTGATGATAAGCAGAGCCATATTTCTAAGAGCTAGCAAATTTGAAAATGTTGGATTCTCTGACAACTTGTGACATCTAACCAACGTTGAGTTGGCCTAGTGGTAAAGGGGTTGCAGCTGTAACTACCGCCACCTGGTTTCGATTCACGGTGGGAGGGACTATTTACAATGCTTGGGTTCCCGGCAAAGAGGTGAAACCACCTTTTTGTTAACCAAAAAAAAAAAAAAAAAACTTGTGACATCTACAAGAAACGTTTGAAACAAAAAGTTACAAGATAACTTTAAGCTTTGTAGGTAGATAGAGTGGATCTACAAGGAATCAGAGACTTTCTAAACTCAAACGAGAATTCATAATTCTATAATTAAAAAGAAAAAAAACGAACCTTTTCAGTTACCCAGAAGATAAACTCCAAATATCTCAGAGAATTCGGCAGTTTCCATGGAAAAACAGAGATAAAAACCCAAATCTCAAGACGTAAATTTGAGAAACTCAGATTTGGGGACAACAAAAGAAAGAGAAGGGTCCCAAAAAGAAACTAGAAGCAGAGAAGAAAATCCAAAAAGAATAATTCCAGCACGAAAGATTCACTCGGCGAATAAAACCAACAATACTCTCAAACTTGGATGGTTCCACTTCCTAATGAAAACTCTTGGAAGAGAAAGTAAAACTCTGTCCTATAGAAGAGAAACCAAACTTTTGATTTTCTTTCTTCGTTATATTTGATGGAAAAGTCTTTTGAAAAACAAATAGCAATTATGACAGTCGTTGTGTCTAGTCAAAGAGAGATTTAAAAAGCCGACAATGGTCGTAAACCTGCTTTTCGTGCGTGATTAAAATAAATAATTAATCATGATGATGCTTTGAATGTGATTAACAAAGCAATTAAGAAAATAGAATTAAACAATAAAATATGGGGTGAGAGAGGCTCGAACTCTCGACCTCAGGATCACTCAGTAGCTATGAGACCTACTCGCTAGCCAACTGCGCCACCACCCCTTTGAGATTCTTTATCTATTTCTTTTATATACCCAGATTTGATCTATATGATAACGGTTACTTATCGACGAATTTTGTCTGATTCTTTTAAAATCATCATCAAGATTCAAGAACTTTCTTATTAGAAGGAAAAACTTTGATTCGATACAAGTGAAAATTACAAATCCCAAAACAATGATGACAATACAGCTACGTAACCACAGTGACTTCTCCAAATTCAGTGTTTTCGCTCTCTTCGAGTCTTGTTGTCCAGACAAAACTTACACATTGTCTCGTGTGTTTTGCATTATGTCTGGTTTATTGAACGAGTATCTGTTTGGGTGTTGAGGTTTCCTCTGCTTTATCTTTCCGTTGTTCGTTAGGCACTTGCTTGCTACTACTGCTCTCAAACAGCTTGCTGCTCTTTGCTATTGTAAGGATCAGCTCGAGTTGCTTTCGCTGTTGGTCCTGCAAAGCAAGCAACGAGCTTTTCATGGAGCTCCAAAGGCAAAGTAGGAAACTTGAATCGATAATTTCAATTCAGGTAGGGCACACTTTATGGCATTGCAGTATCTTAGAAGAAACACATTGATTTAACCAAAAAGGGAAACAAACAAATACCTGCATAGCAAGCAGCACCTTTTGGATTTCGCCAAGCTCCTTCTCTAGAATCTCTTGTTGTGCAGCTAACACTCTAGTGGCCTCAGAGTTCTTTTGAGCCAAAGCTGCAGTCTTTAGACAAAACAAACCAAACTCTTCAGATACAACATAGAGCACAAAATAACTGAACTGATGCAAAGACAAGCTACATTGACCAGTAAGAAACTGTGAACTGAAATTTCCGATTTTTTTCTGCAAGATTTTCCTAAATCTCTAAACTCTTGATTCAAACACCAGAAGTCCATAACATTTGTTACTTCCTCAGACATTCCCAAATCACCACTTGTTTCTTTCATCCAATTTTACATAGTGAATGGGACTTTTACAGTGGAATCAATTGAAGCAAAGCTCGAGAAAGAGAACAATCGGATCGTTACCTCAGAAATGGGTTCCTTTAGAGCTTTTCGGGTGACCCGAAACCGAATTCCCAGCTTCTCCAGATGCCTAGAAAGAACTCTAACAATAGAAGTCGAGCTCTTTAAATCCTTTTCAAGTTTCTCCAACCTTCGAATTAAATTAGTGCCCTCACTTTCTCTCGCTCCTTTGCAAATCCTCATCCATTGCCGTCGTCTAAGCCACGAACCAGTGGCAACTGACCCAACCAATCCAACGAAACCTAAAGACAAGACCTTTTTCCCAATTTCACCAACCACCACGTAATTCACCGCGAGAACCACCGAAATCACGGCGGAAGATAAAATACAAAGCGCCTCCGCGAAAGAAACGAAGGTGCCCAAATCGAAACCATCCGAATTGGCGTCTTCTAGTTCGTTAGAAGAAGAGCTATCCTCGTATGATCCGATAGAAGACGCATGAGGTCTATAGTCTCGATCGATCTCGAAATTCGACCGGGTAGAGATGACGTGGCGGAGGAGGATAGGCTGAGTGAATGGTATAGAATTCCGGCGAGAAGTTCGTACGGCGGAGACGGCGAAGCAGAGGTTGCTCCTGCTGATGCGAACAGGAGTCGAGCCAGAGAAGAGAGCGTAACGAGAAGGAAGCGATAAGGACATTATTGTCTTTTCGGGTCTGTGACTAGTGACTGAAAAAAGCTCAGGTCATTGCAAGTAATGGCTACGACCTTGACGTCCTCATCAAAAGAGAACAAGGCGCATGGTAGCAATTAGCAAAGCCTCACCAATAAAAGTTTAAAATGCGCCGAACATATTTGGAGTTGACTTGCTCAGTGGTTTACAAGAGTCAACACTTTTCATTTAACAGATTTCAGCTATAAACCAACAGTCCCCATTATATAAGCAACACTTGATCCAATCATCATATGATTCATATCAAAACGATATGAAACTTATAATACCAGTCTAGGTTCGAAAATGTTTACGCACAAAGTTCTTAAAGGCGAAAGAGTCATAAAGAAAGCTCAATGAAGGATGGGTATAGCCCATACACGCATCCACACTGGATAGTGAATCCGCTCTATGCTTAACCATGACGGTTTTATTGGTACGGCATGTAACGCATAGGCCTTCTGAACCTAGGAGCTTTTCTGCAAAAGATTGACAAAAAAAAAAGTGTAAGAAGTGGAGAGAGCTGTGTATGACACTAATCAATATGTCTTGATGTTAAGACCAACTTACCCATATCCATATGGGGAATACATGTAAGGAGGCATGAAAGGTCTGCGGAACCGGTAACCCATGTATGGGTTGAATCGTCTACCACGAAACTGTTTCAATCCAGGAACGTTTGTTCTCTTCTGCAAGACCTGAGATTATTTTAAGCCAGATGAGAAAACGATGAAATCATAAGGTTTTTTTCCTAGGTAAAAGTGTTTTGGTTTGATGGTGTAGTAAGATGTGTACCTTTAATTGACGACCATGTAGCTCTGATTCATTCAGTTGTAGAGCCTCTTGTACAGCTTCCACTTCAACAAATTCTACATAAGCAAATCCCTTTGGCTGCCCGAATTTGTCTGTTAGAATGGTCACCCGATGGACAGTGCCGCATGTTTGGAAATGCTGCTGAACTTCTTCAGGTGTGCAAGCGTAATCAACCTGCACAGTGAAATATACAGTTATAGCATATAACAAACTAGCATAACACATGGAGTCTTTCACTGAGCACACAAAGAGTAATCCATCAAATTTACAAGTTCAGCGAAACAAGAAACGTAGCAAAGACATTACTCTTTTACTATCCTTCATTATACACACCAACATATTCATATGTGCAAGAACAGCAAGTAAAGCAGAGTGGAATCTAGTATACTTGAGCAGCCTTTAAGTTGAAAGGATCCCTTACGCTGTGTACCGAGCATAAACTTTATGCTAAGCTTTATTTTTATGTAAGCATCAAACAGCTGCCTCTCACCAAATCTCTGCAGATAGCAGCTATGAGCCTTAACTGGAAAGTATCCAGCATCTTGATACAGCTCTTCAAAGGCTATCTCCTCGAGGATGAATTGCGAAATACTCCATTCAAACATTTCCCCTCTCCAGATCTCTTTTTTTCCCTCTTAGTGATGACATTTTTTCTTTTCTATATTGCTCTAAGACGTATTCATTTCTTTTTCTTTACTCTTTTTTTTAGCTTTTTTCTATTCTTTTTTGCATCTTTTTTTATAGCTTTTTTCATCATGTTCCACAACAAAACAGAACAGATCTTTTTCAACTCTATAAAAGGAAAATGTAAACGACCCCACAAAACCTAATTGATATAACCCAGAGCAAATAAGAACTTCAGGAACAATCCTGCGATTGTAGTGAGAAAAATCATAAGAAAAGCAAAACTCAACGACAAAATACAAAAACTACAGACATCCTCAAATTTGAACAGAAAAATTACTAAACATATGAAGTTTTCTTTAATATCTGAAGGCTCAGGTTCCATCAGTAATATGAAGACTCAATCTACTTTTTAAAACCCTCAATATCACTAACAACAAAACTCCCTCACTAGTTTTCATTTGAAGATATAGTCTTCACTCTAATCACAACCATTTACCATTCATTTCGTCTAATAAGTGTTCTCACTGAACAGACATCCAGTAGAAGCCATATCAACAAAGTTATGATACTACACCAAAAGTCAAAGTTAACTAGTGATATATTCAAGCACTACATGTAGAGAATGCAATCATGGATGAGGAAGATAACATAATAAGGTTATACATTTCACTATAATAATTCTAACATCATAGATTAATAAGGTTTTGTATCAATAGAGCTAGAAAAAAGGCACAATTCAAAGTCTAGTCCAATGAACATTAAGCTCAATAAGTGTTAAAAACTATGAAAATAAAGCAGAAGCTACGATGGCTTAAAGAAAGAATAAGACGCAGAAACATAAGCATTCTTACATTGCCAACAAAAACTGATCGAGCATCAACCTCTTCCTTGCCTGCTTGATTTGCTGCAATACTAGCAGGATCTGGAATAACAAAATTGGACCAGAAAATTTAGTCAAGAATCAAAACAACTGCATAGACATAAACTTAATTCGCAGTTCTTGGAATTCAAAGATGGATCCAAACACCATGTAACCAACAATTAGAAAAACCCAGCGAATTATGGGAAGCACGATGGCTAATGAAATCAAAGAACCGAATTACAGCAAAACGAAATCAAAGAGACGAAAACCTTGGGCTCCCATTTCCTTCTCGACCTTAGCCTGCATCTCACGTAGAGCAGCAGCTTCGTCCTCCATCTCCTTCAATCGTTTCTTCATCTCATCCAACTCCTAGTATCGATTACAACACCAGAAACACACCAATCAAACATATATACACGCGATAACAAAATCAATCGAGCATCAATCACATTAAGATGAACGAAACAGTAAGAGCGTAGCAGACCTTAACCGCATCATCATCGGCGGCAGCCATATCCAAATCGGGATTGAGAGCCTCCATATCTCCATCCATCTCGCCGACGTCGGGAATTTCTCCACCGTAAACCTCATGCTCCTCTTCCTCCATCGTCGCTCTCTCTCTCCGTCGCGACGTTTGCTTTGTTTTTTTCTGATAAAAACGCTTAGGTCACTTTTTGTCGATTTGGATAGCGACACGTAATCAAACGAATCCAGGCCATTTTATTATAAACTAATGGGCCTTAAGAGGCCCAATTGTAAGAGGCTTTTAACATTCGAAATTACCTTATTCAATGACATCATCACCCAAAAACATGCGCCTGACAGAAAGATAATTGTCGTATCTGTCAAATCTCACAGAGCCGGCAGAAATCCAACGGTTAATATATAGACACGTCATCATTAATTAAAAAGTATTGACTAATAGTTGACAACGACGACAATACGACCGTATCAGATCTCTTTGCGTTTAAAACTTCAAAAAAAGCTCACTTTTCGGTAAAAAGCTTGAAACAGAGGATTTAGCTAGAGAGGATTTAGCGAGAGAGAGAGAGAGAGGTTGAAGAAGATGACTAGTGGAGGAGGATACGGAGATCCATCGCAGAAGATTGATTATGTGTTCAAAGTGGTGTTGATCGGCGATTCAGCGGTTGGGAAATCGCAGATACTGGCTCGTTATGCGAGAGACGAGTTTAGTTTGGATTCTAAGGCCACCATCGGCGTTGAATTTCAGACTCGGACGCTTGTTATTGATCACAAGAGTGTTAAGGCTCAGATCTGGGATACCGCCGGCCAAGAACGGTAATCTCCGACCTCTCCCTGAACTTTTAGGCTTTTAGCTTCTTCAATTGCTTGAACTTAGATCTCGTTAAGATTTTATTGTTTCTCTGGATCTGGAAGATTATTACTCTGCTATGGATTTCGAATTCTGGTATCTGTTTACGAAATTGGGAGGATCTGAAGTAAAATGGTTAGTGAGATTTTGGGATTTGGATTTCAAAATTATGTATAGACTAGACTCTATTACGCTTCCAATGTTACAAAGCTTCCATTGTTTTATGGTTAGTACAAATTTGGAAACTTCTTTTATAGATTTCTCAGTGATGCTTCATCAACTTTATATTTCACTGCTTAATCTATAAGCTAACCACCACATTTCATACTTATCATATGCTTACATTGTATCTCTTTCTAAATGTGTGGTTTTGGTTCAAACAGATACAGAGCGGTAACGAGTGCATATTACCGAGGAGCGGTTGGGGCGATGTTGGTGTATGACATAACCAGACGCCAAACCTTTGACCATATACCAAGATGGCTAGAAGAATTGCGTGCTCATGCAGACAAGAACATTGTGATCATCCTTATTGGGAACAAGTCAGATCTTGTTGATCAACGAGCTATACCGACCGAAGATGCTAAAGAATTTGCGGAGAAAGAAGGTTTATTCTTCTTGGAGACGTCTGCATTTAACGCAACCAATGTTGAGAGCGCTTTCTCCACGGTTTTGACTGAGATCTTCAACATTGTGAACAAGAAAAGTTTTGCCGCGAGTGAAGATCAAGAGAACGGTAATCCCGGGTCGCTTGCTGGTAAGAAGATTGATATTGTTCCAGGTCCTGGTCAAGTGATACCAAACAAGAGTAACATGTGTTGTAACTCTTAGATAACCAATTCAATTCTTAAATGTTACTTGACAACAATATATAGATATTTTAAAGACTCTGGTCGGGATATTTCTCCTATCCAGAGCTGTGTGATTCATTTGTTGCTTAATGTCTAATGAGCAGTTTTTGTGGGGTTTGGGGTATTGAATCCAATTAAAACAAACTGATCTAAATCTGATATATAAATGTCAAATTGGATATTAATTTGATTAACATGTTTTCATCTATATATACATTTTTGGAGTACATTTAGTAAATAAATCCTGGAGTTGGAATGTATTTACGAGTTCATGCCACTGCATTTAAATTTAAAAAAATATTTAAAGATTAAGATTTGCCGTATAACAATATTGCCAAATATCCCTATATTAACTCAAATGTTAGTTTCTAAAATCTTACCTATATATGTATATATATATATATATATACACCTAAATCAAACAAAACAATAGGTTATATCTATAAATAATTTTTTAAAAAATATAGCCGCGGGTTAATTTCTAGTTCTTTATACATTTCTAAGAGTATTTGCAATCACAAAGAACTTGTATTTGTTACATTTTTGTTAATTACTATTTAGTATTTACCAGCGATAACAACTTTTCCATTTCTATTGTTACGTCAAAGTGAACAAAAAATGTAAAAATTAAAAACCGTTGCATCCGATTTCAATTTGTATCACAGTTCTGAGAAATTCTCTGATTCTCTCTCGGCGGTTTTATCACTCGATTGCTTTATTCTCTCTAATTTTAGGTAAGCTTCGAATCCTGGTATGATTTGATCCTAAATTTTCTGGATTACTGATCATCTGAAGCTGTGAGAAATCTGTGTACCATCGCCAATGGATTTTTTTACGTGATTAGAATTGATTTTCCGTGATTGTTACTTCTCTTTTGGCTTTTTATGGGTTAGATTAGTTTTGCATTGCCTCCTTTGATTAGTAATTCAAATCCTTTATGTTTCCTTATGCAGAAAGTTTTCGATTTGAAGAAATGAAATGAGTTGATTAGGTTTTAGATAATTTTGCTGGAGACAGTAGAGCACGAGGGAAGATCCAATTATGGCTGGTGCAGCAGCATTTGTTGAAGCTGATAATGCTGAGGAAATAATGGCAAGGATCGAAACCAAATCGCAGAAGATTGAAAGCTTACTCAAACAGTATAACCCTAAAGTTCCTTTTTCCAACTTTCTTAGATGACCTATATATAATAGTGTTACTTCGTTTTATTCAGCTACAAACATGTCGAAGCTCTGAAAACGGCTCTTGAAGGTTCGCCTCTTAAAACTCTCGACGAACGTTGCAAGGTCCTACTGTTTCCTCTGCCACATTAGTAGTTTGGTTCATGACCAAAAAGATTATGTGATTTATGATAAATGTTGTTGATATTGCAGTCGGCTAATTGGATAGTTGTGCGCAAAGCGATAATGGCGATAAAGGATATCGACGGAATGTTGAATGCTCTTGACGCCGAGTATTACGACATTCTCATGAAGTAAGGCTATTTTGTTCTGCTAGATTTTACTAGTTAGCTTGATGAGCAAGTGTTAGTTAATCTCTTTTGTTTGCTTGAATGTTGTGGTTCAGGTACTTGTATAGAGGTCTTTCTACTGGGGAAGAACCCACATGCGAACAATGTTTGATGATTCACGAGAAACTAACAGAGAGAGCTGGTCTCGGTTGCATTCTGCGTTGTCTTAGTGATACTACCAACACCGTTTAAAACCATCAAGCTGATGTTTACTTGTTACTTTGTTTCTTGTTTTGTATGAATGTTTCTCCCAAATCTCAAAGCTAATTCAATAGATTATAGAAAGTGGAATAAACTGGAGAACCTAAGATCCTTTCACAAAGATATTCATAATCGAAGCAACTGTTTATCTAAATTACCTGGTATTAAATTATATCTCATAACCAGGAAACTTAGAATCTACCGGCGACACAAGATCGAACCAGAGACATACTGGTCCAGCTAGCCCCCGGAAAAGCGAATAATCATGTTCTGTTTCTTGCCTTGTCATATTCACGAGATCTCTTGCATCATGGCACAAGTAACTTGCAAACGCTTTTGCTCTCTCTCCATATACAACATCTCTGGTTAACCGATAAAGCGATAAGAAAGCATAGGCGTTACCAGCAACTCCATCAGCTAAACCTACCTTCTTCACCAAGCCACTCTTCCACACTACTTCTCCTGCTTCAACGGCTGCTTCGCGGAAATCCCTTTCCTTGGGAAACACCTGAGATGCTTTAGCCAAAGTAATGGCCATGCCGGTTGCTCCATGAGCCCATTGGACCAGCTTATCTCTCGGATTCCCTTCGCTGCACGGGTAGTTTCCGCTGTTCGGAAACCTATTACTCATCATGTACCTCAATGTCCCTTGAACATCCTTCACATCCTCTTCCGATAGTGGAAAATGCAGCAATACATACAAGATTCCAGCTAATCCATTAGCCGCACCCCAAAATCGCGTTCCGTGAAACCTAAAAGCCACAAAAAATAAGATAAATTTCTACTAAAAGTATAAACAGGATTCTCTTTTAACACACTAGCTATATTGTGAAACCTGTATAACAGAGGACAAGCTTCATGATCTGCAGCTCCAACTCTTCCACCAGCTAAGATGGCTGCAACAATGGGTGATAGGAGATGGTCAGGAACTGTGCCTTGGCCGAGATATCGGTTCAGGAACAAAGCAGCCCAAAGGAAACCCGCTCTTCCATAGAGAAGGTCATATGACATCCCAAATCCTCCTTCCTCTGGTCCAGCTGGTAACTCTCTCTCTTCTGCAAGCTGCTTGTAAGAAAAAACAAAAAAAACAAATTTTCAAGTCCACTATAAACGGTTCCCTATATTATTATCATCTTTCTTGGACTGAAACAAATCTGAACTCAGATTTAGATATTAAGTTTGTCACTCAATTTGTTGATCTAATTGTCACGTTGGTTCGAAATTGTGAATCTATAGGCTATAGCTTTGATCTGAAACTGGTGTAAGCAAAAGAAATGTGAAAGAGTAAGAAGTCAAAAAGATAGGAACCTCAAGAAAAAGACCGAGGAAGAAGTCACGCTTTGATTGGTCCCCTCTGTAATTGGCTACGATTGCACCAAGCGTATAAACTCCTCCTCTTCCACATAAAAACGTCACGTGCCTATTCATGACCATAACAAATCCAATATTTTGTAAGAAATTAAAACGACAAGTTCATTCTAATGGGTGTGTGTAGATATTATTCCATAATTTGCAAATGTACATAAATTTCATGGTAGTGAGTTATACTCAATAATTGGTTTAAAAGTGACATTTTTGTAATGCTACTCAATCTTTCTACGTGTGTTTTCTATCAGACGAATCATTCAAATTTTATTTTCGGAATATTCTTCAAAGTGGTTAGATTACATTTTTGGTTTTTTTTTTTATCCAAGATGATATTTGATGTTTACTTGGCTAAGGAACTTAGTGGCGAAGATATTTTCACCTGGTTGTGGCACGCGCAACGTTGGCACACGTGTCGATTATCTCAGCGCAAGTTAGCAGATCTTGATGGTTCCTCGTGACCTCGTACGACTTCAAGCAGGTGAACGCTGTGCCGAGTAGTCCTGTGTACACAGTCGGATCCAGCACCGGACTCGAACCAGGGGCAAGAACGTCGACAACGCCTTTCCACGTGGCCTCCACAACCTACATACATCGACCAAGAATCATGTATAAGCCAGCCAACGTACGGACTCTGGCTTACGTTAGCCGTCTGGGACGTCGCTTAGTTATCGTACGCACCTGGTTCTTGAGTAACGTCGCTGCTCTGAGGAAAGATTCCGTAGGGAGAGAAATCGTCGGAGCCGACGGTTCGGAAAGCAAGTGATGAAGCTCGCCGTTCTCTACTGTCTCTCCGGCGCCGTTACCATCGCTGCTGGGTATCCGCTGCTCAGCCACAGACTCCACCGCAGACGACGGCATAACTCTCTCTCTCTCTCACTCTTGATCTTGAATTCTTGATATCTTGAAGAAAGAGAATCAAATACGGAAGAAGTTATATTTAATATATAAGAAGTTTTGAAGTTTTGCAACAGCCGCTATTTATATAGTTTATGTTTTTCTATTTAATTATTTTAGCTCTATAATTTAATATCATAGCCCAAATTAAATTACTGTAATGGTTTTTTAAAATATATATATAAATTTTAATTGATTAACTATATATTTATAGATATTTTGATTACATAATTATAATAGATAATTGTTTTGTGAATGTTTAAAAAGTTGTTCAATCCACCTTTTAGTTTAGTTTTGGTATAAAAACCGAAAATAGTAGTGTAGTAATTTATTTGGATTAATTTCAGTGGTTAATTATTTTTGTTAGGTACTTCAGTGTGATTATAGTAGTTCCACACGTGTGTTTTCGTAATTTTGTGCATTTGGCTATAGGTCCTACCAGTCTTTAAATTAATGACTTAAGCATCTTGGAAAATAAATGTGATGCTGCTATTAAAGTATGGAAAAGCTGAGAGTGGGGTTTAGTCGTTTAGGGTATGGGATTCTGGTTGCAGGACATGACACTGATACACGTGAACCGGTCGACAGAGCCTAAACGTGTCATGATCTTGTCGGCTCTATTATTTTACGAATCAATCTACCGTTGGATATGGACGGATCTCATACTACTAATCGAATCTGTAATGTTTTAGTTGATAAATTAGTTATATATTTTAATAGGTAAGTGGGAACGCGTATAAATGTGATTCTTGTCAATTACGAATTAGACATTTTGTTAGATATATAGTCACTCATCGGACATGAATCAGAATCAGTGGATTAGCTGCTGACCTGTAAACACGTTTGGGAAACGTGAATCATGTGTGATGATATTCCTTCACGCAAATATTTAAAAGTGTTAGATTAAACACCTAAAACCCATATGTTTAATTCGGACATTAAACCTAACAACCGATATTCTTTTCTATTAATCAAACAACTCGGACGAGAAACCATAACATATTGAGTTGGTCGCATATCAAATCAGACCGGATTTGCCTATCCAGTAATCCAGTCCATGACAACATTCTTAATCTGAATGCATATTTATATTATTTTGTAATATTTAATGGTAATGGACTAATGGTGTTAAGCCTTTTCACACATGTAATCTCTATAGATCATACGGGCCCATTATTTAATTAATCAAATTATATTTGTAGGTGTAACCAGGCCCAGTTCCTGAACATCAATACCATATACTTATTAGGCTTTGTAAATGAAGCCCAGTTCCTAGAGGCCTAACTTTGTTGAAATTAATTTTCTTCAATTAAATCAATAATGGAATTACTTTATAAAAAAAACACAAGAAAAACATTCAGTTTTCATAATTTCCTGCGGAAATGCGCAGCATGATCTCAAAAACTTCGTGCCTGCGCAAGAATTATGCATTTTCATCAAACAAAAGATATAAAAATATATTTTATCGGAAATAAAAACTAATAATCATATTTATCAGTGTACTAATGGATTAAATTTGACCTACATCTTCATAACGCAAACAGATACGTAATAATTTTAGATTTGATGGTTGAAATTATTTAATATATATATGCAAAAAATTTACAGAAAAATACTAATATTAATCGGACATCCGGACTAATTCTTCTCAAAGTCTCTCTCTCAAGTTGTCAACTCTCAACAAATAACGAAGTTAAATATTTACGTTTTTTTTTTAAAGCATAGAAGCGTGGAAAAAGGCTTCTTCTTCTTCTTCAATGAACCGAACCGAGATCGAACCAAGAAAACGAAACTGAAAGACGAAGAAGCAACAACAAACAAGAGAGAGACCTTCCTCTCACCGGCGCGTTACTCTCACGCGCACATACATACAGAGACAAGTCGAGCGATCTCTCGGCGGCGTTAATCGATACCATCTTTCGTTGATTGATTCTCTGCATCGAGAGAGAGATGTGGGTTTTCTATCTGATCTCGTTGCCACTAACCCTAGGATTAGTTGTTTTCACGCTCCGTTACTTCGCCGGACCGGAGATTCCTCGGTACGTTCTTATCACCGTTGGATACACCTGGTTCTGCTCTGTCTCCGTTATCATCCTCGCTCCTGCCGACATTTGGACGGTAAGCAGTGCGATTCTGATCGAATTGGCCTTTACGGGATTACAATTTTTGCATATGAATTAATGGTAGACCTTTAGAAGTCGTCTTGCTTGATTTGGAATTTTGAATCGTAGGTTATATAATTGAAGGGTTTTGTTCTGATGCCTGCAAGTGTCATAGGATCATACGTTGAATTGAGATTTAGCTGAAGAATGTGGCGTCTGAATACTGCTTATAGGCATTTGTAAGACCTATATTTGAAATTGGTATTTAGTGGTGAAAGAGTTTGAAAGACTCACTGAAGGTTTTTAAGCATGAAGCCTAGTTGATTTGGGAGTTAGGGATAGTAAGCTTAGCTCTCTCACGGTTAGGAGCTATTGAGGAATATTATTGGGAAAGTTTTCATGGTTTACCGCAAAATATGGTTTGCTTCATTTGTCTTCTTATGTTCTCCAGACATTGTCTCTGCAACCTGATCATCCTGAGAATGGCGCAATTTCCTTCTTATGGAGTTGGTCATACTGGAGTACGTTTCTACTCACCTGGTATGAACTGCTCAAACTTTTCAGTGCCTTTTCTTTGACACGTCTTCCCCGATATTTGCAGAATAATGTGTCCACCTTTTGATCAAATCCAATTTTAGGTTGTAAAACCAGATTATTTTTGAAAAGATTACGTAGTTAACATGACAGGATGTGTCCCGTGTATGTCAAATAAGTTTATATATATAGTTGTTATCTTTTAAGTGTAAATTGATTTTCGTAGGTGGGTATTTAAAACGCACCCTTAACAATCCATCTCCATAGTTTTGTAGCTAATAAATGTACATTACCTCATATATTAAACTATGTTACCTCTAAACAGGGCTGTGGTGCCCCTTATTCAGGGTTTCGAAGATGCTGGAGACTTCACCGTGTCAGAGCGATTGAAAACTAGCGTCCATGTGAACTTAGTTTTTTATCTAGTACTGGGATTCATTGGTCTTCTCGGTCTTATCCTTCTCATCATGATGCACAGGAACTGGTAAGTTGTCCCTTCATGATCGGATATGCTTATATAGTGGCTTTGCATCTCATACCTTGTCATTAGCTCTACTGTTTAAATATGCATGATACAATTGCTGAATGTTGCAACTCAATTGCTCATCATCTAGCAATATATGACTGACTGGGTTTAGAAAATCTGGTGCCCAATCTTTCTCAATTTTTTCTCGGGTGGAAGTTACATTTGTTCCTGGACTATTTGACTGAGACATTCTTGTACGTTAACAGGAAAGGAAGCATTTTGGGTTATGCTATGGCATGTTCAAACACTTTTGGGCTGGTCACTGGTGCATTTCTTCTTGGCTTTGGCTTGAGCGAAATACCTAAGACCCTTTGGAAGAATGCAGATTGGATCACTCGCCAAAAAGTTCTCTCGCACAAAATTGCCAAAATTGCTGTGAAACTTGATAATGCCCATCAAGAACTTTCAAATGCGATTGTGGTAAGTATTAAGAACTTGATTAAGAACTTCAATTATACCTTAGATCATGACCTCAGTGGTGAAATTTAAGATCTAGGGAGATATTCCAATTATCAGGCTTGTATCCAAATTAACTTCACTTCACGTAATTAAGTACCTTAATTTTTTAGCATATCTAATAACTTCACATTGTGCTCCCTCCAAAAATCGTTTCATGTATTATTTTCTTGTCAGACTGTTTATCACTTCATAACCATTGCCTTGCTAGGTTGCTCAAGCGACTTCAACTCAAATGTCCAAGCGTGATCCTATGAGACCATACATGAATGTTATAGATGCTATGCTGGCTAAAATGGTAACTTCGACCTCCTACTATCCTTATATTGTGAACATACATTGAAACTTATCCAGTTTTAATGATGATTCTCTATACAGTTCAGGGAAGACCCATCATTTAAGCCACAAGGTGGTCAATTGGGCGAAAATGATATGGACTATGACACAGATGAGAAATCGATGGCAACGTTAAGACGGCACCTTCGAAATGCTAAGGATGAATATTATAGATATAAAAGGTATAGAGAGCTTTCTATTGGCGCTATCTTAACTTTTTTTAATACTTCGTTAGGAAACTCGCTCCATTTAATAGACTAAGTTTGCTGTATTATTTAAAAATCTCTAGTAATGTGTCACTATGGCTGTTTGCAGTGAGTATCTAACTTATGTCACGGAGGCCCTTGTTCTTGAAGACACAATGAAGAATTATGAACGCCGTGATGCAACTGGATGGTCAGATTTTCGGTCATTTCATCGCTCATACATTATATGATTATCTCTTCTGTTATTATCTTAAACAAATTTATTATACCTTTCACCTTAAGCATCTTTGTTGCACCGTATTTCAGGAAATACATTTCGAGCTTCAGAGCCACTCGAACTGGGAAAATGGGGAATCTTCTCGATACATTGGGTAAACTCTTTATAGACTTTTGTACCCATTCTCTCTCCGAACCTGCTGAACGTGATTACTGAAGTGGAAAAATTCATGACTATACCCACTTTGAAAAACAAAGAACGAATGTAAATATCCCTGAATACTTTTGTACATTGTTACCGTTGACAGAATTTATGTGGAGGTGTATACTGAAGAAACAAATTCAGATGGTGTTGGCGATAATTATGGGGATCATGTCTGCTGCAATTCTTTTAGCAGAGGCAACTCTCCTTCTTAGTAAACTGGACTTGTCCCTCTTCTCAATACTTATAAGCTCTGTCAAATCCGATGAACTGCTAGTGCAGGTACGTGTACTTTATATTTTTGGCTCAATTCTCACTTCCTTGTTATTCATATAGTAGCGAATTGTTTCGGCTTACCAGTAACTTCCTCTTGAATCCTGATCATTTTGCTTTCAGGCATTTGCTTTTGTACCTTTGGTTTATATGTGCGTCTGTACATATTATTCACTTTTCAAAATTGGGATGCTGATGATTTATTCCTTGACTCCTCGACAAACAAGTTCTGTGAATCTACTAATGATTTGCTCGTAAGTGAATATCTATCCATCCTTTTTTCTTTAATAAAAGATATACATGCTTATAGATGGTTCATATGGTATCTCTTCAGGATGATTGCTCGATATGCGCCACCAATATCTTACAATTTTATTAATCTCATTCAACTTCATTCCGAGACTATATTTGAGAAGGTATTTTTTTTATATCTCCCTTTGCGCATTTCGTCTGAGAAGTCTTTAAGAGATATGACATAACTGGGCTTCTTTGCGATGTTTTTCATTTGGTTCTGCAGAAAATGGGTAGAATTGATGATGCTGTCCCGGTATTTGGACAACGGTTCAATGAAATCTATCCTCTCATAATGGTTATCTACACATTGCTAGTTGCAAGCAATTTCTTTGATCGCATATTTAATTACTTCGGTAGCTGGAAAAGATTTAGATTTCAAACAGAGACCGAGGATACGGACGGATTTGATCCTTCGGGGTTAATGATTCTTAAAAAAGGTAAAAAGACTATAAGGATCTTTTTTTGCATTAAGATTTGATCGATAACGCATGTTTTTAAATTCATTTTACTTTTTTAATAATCATTAGAACGAACCTGGCTCGAAGAAGGACAAAAAGTCGGCGAGCATGTTCTTCCACTAGCGAGGAACTTCAACGATGTTGACATTGAACCAGGAAGCAATTTTTCTGTAAGTAGTAAACCCATAACATATAAAAACAGATCTCATAGAACTTGTTCCAAAGCCTGACTATGATATTTGCAGGAAAATTCATCTGTTGAAATGAAGATGTCGTCGAGCTATGACATAGACACAGTAAAAGGAAGTTCATCAAAAGACGATATGTCCCGTAAATACGGATCAGCTAGAGAAGCAATCACTAACAAATACGCAGCCATTAGAGAACAACAGAACAAACACTCGCCATCTTCTATGACAAAGCCAGAGAACATGGCTTCAGCTAAAGTGTCCTTACTCGAAACAGACGATTCGGGTCCAAGTAATGGTCAAGGATCAGGAGAGCCATCTTCTCGTCTGGCTTCCACATGGAGAAACATGAAACTAGGAATCCAGAGTTTTAAAGAGAATGTAGCTACAAAGAAGTTTCTTCCACTAAGACAAAGCCCAGAAACAACAACACTAACAGGCACAAGAGTAGTGACTTCATCAGCGCCACAGTCGCTAGATGAGATATTCCAGAGACTGAAAAACCGGTCTGTAGAACACGGGCACTACCTCGATGATGATGATGAAGTTTGACTATGAAGATGATGTCCATAGGTGATGAAAATTGAAAAGAACTCTGCATTTTAACAAAACCTGAGTGAGAGAAAGCGAAGCAAACATCAGATTTGTTCTGTTCACCATAGTATAGAACAATTTTACAAGAAACAGCTAATTTGGGAGTTGGAAGGGTCCAATTTTTTGTGTTGTAGGTTTTATATGATTACTGTTAGTGACATGTTATATACTTTTGGATACCCTATATTATATGATATACATAAAGTTATCGGTTCATTTTAAGACCCGTGATGGATTTCATGCTAATACAGATATATAGACGACTTATATGACAAGCCACTCATAGAACACGTAAGTTGAGTCATGATAATATATAGTTTGTGATATGATCAAAAATCACTGATTGGTTGGTCAGATCCCAGGAAACTGCATAGCTTTTTGCTTCTTTGGTCAATATTCAATTTGTAACAAGTTCTTTAACAAGAAAGAAATAAATAATAATAAGTAAAACTAATTTTTAGATTTTTCCTTTTTTGGCCAATACTAATCTCTATTTTCATTAATCAGAAATGACTTTCATTATTTTCCACCATTTTACTTTCTTAATCTGTAACTGTACACATCAAAAATAAACGTTTCAGAAAAAAACTAAAGTCGGTCATTTAATAAACTCGTTGCCGTGAAGTAACAAACCCTCCGACGTCGGCGCCACCGCCTTTTCCTTTCAGATGAAGCAACTTAGTCCAAAACCCAGTCTTCTTCTTCACCGACGTAGATTTCAATTTCTCCGTCTTCTTCTTCGTCGAATCCCTAACAATATAATCCTTGGGAACATGAGCCATAGATCTGCTTTTCTTCAATCCTCCACCTAAAGCTTCAATCAGATTACCACTCAACGCTTCCCTCACCGCGAAAGACATGGACATCGAACCAGCTCTCCGATGATCCTTCACCGCCGGAGACAACGGAGAAGACGAAACGGTGGTGGAGGAAGAAGAAGATCGGTGAATGATGTAATACGACGTAGTATTAGGTAAGCGAGAGAGTTTATCTCTTAAACAACAAGGACAAACTCCTCTGTTGCTTTGGTGGTTGTGTTTTCTGCATTCCATTTTTCTTCTTTTTTTTCACTTTGATTACTCTCAAAGAGGTTTATGTGTGTGTGGGATATATATATTACACACGCAAGCGCACGTGTGAAATATTGCCACGTGTGCTTCAACGTCGGTATAACCAAAGAAAGGTCATTAAGGTTTCGCTATGTTGACAGGGCTTTCGTAGAAGACGCACCTCTGACGTGTAAAGGATCATTTATATAATGAGTCAAATTATTGTTTTCTTTTTTCTTTTTACGTTAATAAAATTATTAAAGTGATTGGTTTTTGCTTTTGATCAATTAAAGAACATAATCTAGAAAATGATTGTTTTATTTTTTTTTGTCAAACTTAAGAAAATGATTGTTATCTTTATACTGAAAATATCTGAGGGGAAAAGATATCTAAACAACTGATATTCGCCATCTAATTATAGTTTTTTTCTTTTAAATTTCTTGATTGATAAAAATCTATATTATTTTGTACTATAATATCATCTTAAATGTATGAAAAAGATCAACTAGACTTGGAATTTATTTTAGTATCCATATAATTTTGGATTTACTTACTTTTTAGTTTTATTTTTATTTCTTGACTAATAAATTTTATGTACAGTTAGTTAACGAAGATTATGTAGAATGGGTGATGTAAGTGAGAGTTTAGTCACAGGCCGTGACACTAATAAAACTCAAATTTGGTTCAAACAATTTCACGATGAAGACGCGAAATAGGGTCAACAAAAGAAACGCAAAATTGAAAGAGGTTTGATAGCGATAGACGGTTGTGATTTAAACAAACACTCAACATGTTATGGAACCCACTTTGTTAGGTATCATCTGACGGTGACCGTTGGCCGGTGGACTCGGGACTCGCTTCTAACGCGCACCAAATAAATAAATAAAAACCACTCGTGCGCATTCATTTTTTTATCTCATCATTTTAATATATTACGTGACTTTTGATTTCTGTATATTATTTTCAGTTTTGTTTCTTGAAGAATGGTGCGCCGTATGCTTTCAATTTTGTGTGCACGTGAGAGTGTAGTCAAAAAGGTCGACCAAAATTTATGGGAAAATGAAGTTATTGGAGAAGAAAATCTAGAAGTTTGTACGGTTCATGATCGTGGGAATGAGTGATGGATCGGATTACAAAGTAGATCCTCTTGTTATTTATCTAATCCGGAAAACACTATTTATTCGATGAACCTTCCTTAACATTTATTGATTTACCAATTTTTTATTAACATATTTTTATTAAAAAACATGTTCTATGGACCTCGTGGTTTTGACGAAGCGTCGAAGCCAAAAAAAGTCAATTATATTTACAAAAAAATCAGGTAAAGCCGCTTCACTTTTCACGTTAATGTTTCTACGTTCATATATAAATATAGTATTAGATATAATAAGAAAAAAAAAATAATACTATCTTATGATTGTGTTGATAGAAGATGGAATTTTATAAGATCTTATGACATACGGAGCAAGTACAAATATCATTCGTGTTGTAACAGTGATGGACATGGAAGGAATAGCTCAAAACCAAGTTAGGCCTTCTGGATAACAGGAGGAGGCCCAAAAGCCCAAGTAAATAAAAACAATGAAGCTAAAAATACTTATGGGGTGAGAGAGGCTCGAACTCTCGACCTCAGGATCACTCAGTAGCTATGAGACCTACGCGCTAGCCAACTGCGCCACCACCCCAGTGTTGTTGACAGAGGAAATATTATTTATTTATAACCAATACTTTCCATAGAAATTGAAACCATCCTTTAAGGTACCAGAAGTACAGAGTTGGCGTACACAGATAAAAGGTACCAAAATTATTTAGTTATATATACACAAGTTTCTAGTATTGTTCAAACGAGATACTTTATGAATTCCCTTAGATATTATGCATTAAATATCACTTAATTTCGACTTTTATGGGTTAGTTATCCACTTCGTCAGAAATGGACCAACTTGTTACACATTAAATCACACTGTCACATGGAGAAAAGCAAGCGACTACTCGAAGATAATTTATGGGTTAAGTTTCAAGTATCTAGCCGGGTAAATATGTGGTCTAGTTTTCCTTCCTTATACCTAGCTCTAACATTAAAATGAAAGCGACTAAAATCACATTTAATATTTGCAAGCAATGTATCATGGGACCTGAACTATCCAGCTCTAGGTTTAAAAGCACACTCATAAATTACTTGTTTACTCAATGATGATCCACTACAATAAAATTTTGTATAATAATATGTTTAATATTTAAGTTATGTATATCAAACCAACTCAGGATAGTTTAGTTGTTGAGAAATTCATTACAAAATCAAGAGTTTATAATTCAAATCCTATCATTGCAATTTAACTACGGTTGGCTTTAAATGTTTTAATCACAGAGATATCCCGTATTTCAATTGTCATAAAGCAGCTGCATATTCATTCGAAATTTTACTTTTAGATGCAATCTGAGCCGAGCCGGTTTGAAATGATTGAGCCGGTGGATGAACGACCAATTTGGATTAGCGGAGCGCGTGAAGTCACAGAGTCTTTAAAACTCCGAGGCATATGGAAAGGTTAGTGGTGCTTACGTGGGAGTCAAATTTGGCTGATGGGTGAATCTTGGGTCCCTCTTGGTGACCATGACAAAAGCCAAGCTTGTTTCTTTGTGAGAGCCCTACAACGTTCCGTTATGGGAGATTTTAGTTTTTATAATTTGCACAAATAAATTTACTATTGTATCATGATTTTGTCTTAGATGCTTAAGTTTTGCAACTTTAAAAGAATGTAGTCATTGATCATTTAACTTCGTTTTCAAGTTTGATTTTGGCAATCGTCTTCTTGACAACAAATATTTGTGAAATTGCATTTCCATACATGATCGTTTTACTATCTATATAAATTTAGCTTACAAGTTCTTAAACCCAAGTCCATTATTGCAAAAATCAACAAAAATAAAGGAAAGACCAAATGGGACGTATAACGTGATGATAAAACTGACTGGAATTTCCAATTTCACGGAAATGATCGTCAAACTATATTAAATTTCCGCTGTACTCGGTTACTCCAGCTTTCTGATTAATATTAAAATTTTATCATGTACTATATTTTAAAATAAAAATGTGGAAACAGCATATATCCTATGGGTATAAGAGCATGAATATCGGTATATCTTAAGCCATATCTTAGCCAAATTTTAACATTAAAAACTATTATAATTAATCAAATCAACTAAGATTGTATCTTAACTAAGATATATTTCTTATGTTAAGAAGCACACACGTGTCGCCAATGCCCAGTGTTTTCTTTCTTCTCTCTTCGCAATTTCACATCTCTCTCTCTTTCTCTTTTGTCGAGAAACGCCGACGATTTCAGCTCTCATGGTCTTGTTCTGTCGAATTGAGAGTAGCACTTGGCATGAATTTCGTGTTTGAGCAGTCGTTATCTTCACTCTTCGATGTCGTCTCACTCTCCCTCAAATTCTCGAAACTTCCACCGGAGAAATCTCTGTCAATCGGCTTCCTCCGTCAAACTGAGAGGTTAATTGAGTGGGGATTGCATTTTTGATCCGGTCTGTATCATCATCTGCAGGATAAATGGTACGAAACTCCCTGATTTCACTTGTAGATCGAAAATTAGGGTTTTAAATATGTTTCAAAAATTAGGGTTTTTCACAATTGGGAATTGACTGTATCAAAATTAGTGTTCTCTGATGTTTGCATGTCGTTTTCATACCAAATTGGGGTTGGATTTTGTTAGCATCAAGTTTTTTTAAAAATTAGGGTTCATATGATGTTGTTAAAAGATTGGGAATTCGTAATTGATCTGTTTGTTTCCGTTTAACATCGCAGATAATGTTGTTTTGAACCATGAAATTGATCTGTTTGATACGTTTTTGAAATGTGTTTTGCTTGAAATAGATAAATGTCGCAGATAGTATTTTTTGATGAGGCTTATTGATCTGTTTCTCTGTTTTTGGCGAGGTCAATTGGAGAACAAGCAGACATATGAGGTTCAATAGAGATGAGGTTCATTACATGGAGTACGGAGTAACAGCTCATGTAAGGTAATTATTGTTTCATTAGGTGGAGATATTGAAACAATTCTCCTTTCTCTTTCTTATATCATTGAACTTCTGATTTTACATAATTTAGATTAGGTGCTTATATTGAATCATTGAATGAGTAAATCTTGTTTGTTTTAGATTGTGTATAGTTTTGATTGGTTTGGACAGTTTAATGAGTTTCAAATATGTTTTTCAGGTTTGTTTGGACAAAATGAATGACTTTGGGACTTGGCAGATGAATGAGTATCATCGTAAGAGAGAAATGGTACAAATGAGTTTTCAGGTTGGGTTTAGGACTTGTATGACTTTGATGTATGATTGCTTGTAGTTAAAGATATTGTTTTGTATAAATTTGAATTTTTTCCCTAAGATACTATCTTTCTTCTTAACCGTTGGACCTCCTTTTTCTTAAGATATTCTCTTTCTCTTCTTAACTCACAAAAATCATTTTATTAATGCTAAGATATAAAGTTAAGAACCAACCGATATTCATGCTCTAAGTGCACATGCATGGTTGGGAACTTGGGCAGCATCAAGTTGGCATTACACAAAATTCTCGACCAAAATCAGAATCTCTCCTTCTGTATATATATATATATATATTTTAATCTTATATATGTATTAAAATCATGTACCAAAAGCATAACCTTTATTTGTTAAATAGGAAATTAAAAGACGAGTTATATCTGCTTCAGCAGCAAATTGTCATTAAGAAGAACTATAATACTGATTTGCGGGACTAGTATATATAACTTAAAACTCCCATAAATGAAACAAACACTAGAGCAAAACTCAGTTTTAATATTAAATCTTTTGATCTTTTACCATTCTATGATATTTGATTATATAATTAACTATACTTACTTAAAAAAAAAACTATAGTTACTACGTAAACAGAAGCATCGCATTGAGATAGAAATGTACAATATCTTATACGTGAGACGAACAATAAAGTACGCTTAGGCAAAGATAATGGCGTATCAAAGTTTAAAGCTATAAAGGGCTATATAATATTATTAATAATCACAATTTGCAGATGAATTTCCAATTAATAACCAGTATAGTGGTGATATTTGTTTTTTATGAACTTTAGTCTCTAGGCCGTATCCATAGATATATCATATATGCTTACAAGTATAAGTGTCCAATTACAATGCAAGAAAATCCCTTTTCTGCTACAAAGGTCGAATACAAATATTATGGAGTTTCGACTTAATTTGGTGATGGAAACGAATGGTTCTAGTATAACCATGGTTTGTCATATGGGTCAGGAGTACGGTCATATGACAAAACCATGATTATACTACTACAACCATTCTTTTTGTTTATACTATATAGATAACATTTTTTTATAGAAAAACATAAACTGAGAACCACAAAAGTGGGAGAAATAAATAGCAAAGATGCCCTAAAAACTACAACATAATCGCTGTTTAGACAGAGTGGAGCATGTCACCCCAAGTGTTAGCTAATGATCATTATTCCCTCGGCTTATAACCTAATTTATTAATTATCAGACAACCAATCATATTCATAGGTAATGATCATAATTAGCTATAAAATGCTTATAGTGGGTATTATTTTGTGTTTAAAGACGAATGATAGTGGAAGTCGACCTGAACAACTTTTTTGTAATTGTTTTCGAGGAATGAAACTAGTATTATTTTTTAAAACAGAACAGTTTTTTTCTATGGCAAAGTTTTAAACTTTTTTTTTTTTTATGTTGACCAAAAAACAACTTTTTGACGGCGGTAAATGATTATACACGTGCAGATATTAACCACTAGCGTGAAAATATGGAAAGAACATGAAAAGAAAAGAGTCTGCAGGTGCAACGTACGTGTAAAATAAACGGTGACGCGACGTCGTTTAAAGTGACGTGTTCGATGTAAAGTGGGTCCTACTCACATGGCTCTCCACCAATGTCTTTGTCTGAAAGCGACACCGCAAAAGTCTTCTGGGCTCTACTTTGGGCCCTACCACAGCTTTTTGGTTTTTTGGACTTTCTCTAATTCCAAAAGGTTCAATTAGAAAATAGATCTCCTGCAAATCTAACACGTGTACGGCTGATACGTCTAGGATCCATATGATCAGGATACGGATCGCCGCATGTAGATAAAACCTCTCTCTCACAAAACAAATGTTTTTTTCTGGAACTTCGTTGAACAGAATCCCATGTGCAACATCTCTCCACTTCGTCTTGTCTGACATATTTTCTTATTTCTATAGTAAATTTATAATATTTTTCTTCGAAATTCATGGTTGTTAATATTCCGAATATTTATAATATGAAAAACTTGTTGTGCCACAGAAGAAAAAATTATGAAAAATCAAAAACAACATCAATTGATAACTAAACTGAAGATACACTCCACACACGAATCTAATACTAAAACTAAAGCAATGACTCTAGGGAATATACCAACTAATCAAGATATAATACGCGTATATCGAACGATGGAATTTGAATTTGAATTTGATAAACAAATAGTAGTAATCGTGCTTCTTCCTTGCAGCAAAAAGGCAAATAAAAACAAGCTTTAGGGTATATGAAAAGCAAGTAACAATAGGAGAAAAAGGAACGGCTAGAAACAAACACGGATATTTAGGGAGATCCAATTTTGTGGCTCGGCTTTTCATGTTTTATCTCCATGTCCTTACTGAAAAAATTTCAAAAGACAACGAAAAGATAAATTATACATAATTTGAATGGTTTTTTTGTTTCGTTTTTTTTTTATCATTCTATGATTTGGATGTTAATAATCCATTTACAAACAAGGCGATATGAAATTTTATCTTAATTACAGACTTTACAGTGTTGTAGCTCAAAACTTATCACCACCTAAAAGAAAAATAATCGATTATCATAAAAGTTTTCAAAAAATTGGTAACACAGAGTCACATATGGTAAAACTAAACATATAGCTTAGACCTATCTAAACGAACCCATTAAAGATCCAGTTTTAAACAAACCAACAAGATTATTTGACCGATAAAAAAATATTGTTGATTATATTTGAGGTTTTTTTGTTTAGTTAAAAGTCATTACTTGGTTGATGGATCTTATCAAAACCGACATCTCAATTTTGGACCACTCTCAATCTTGAAATAATCAGTTCTTATTAGCATCGTATCATATCGACTTTGAAACAAATCAATGCCATAATTACATTATATAACATTTTCAAATTCAGATAGATTTCGCTAAGTATCGGGCAACTATTAAATCTGCAGGACTGTAGAATAAAAGAGGATAGTCGTAACTCTGTGTTCTCAGAATCTTGAAACCCTTCGGAATTTAAAGTTTTTTTATTATTATTACATTCACCTAAGTAAAATTATAAACGACGAAAAAATGATTTCTTCGTCACATAATTTTTTTTTATTACCGATCATTTCAGACTTTTTTTGTCCCCTCTCTTGAAAAAGATTACGGCCACACGTGCATGGAACCACACGTGATCTCTCGATTTTTACCCTCTCGCGTCATTTTCCCTTTTCTCAACTAAAACCCCAACATTTTGGGGAATTCATTTTCCTACCCCAGAAATATTTTCAGAAACCACCTTCAATTTTTATATTTGTTCAATTCTGCCCCCACATTTTACGAATTCCACTGATCGGAGCAATACCATTGCTCATTGTCCGCAAACAACTTGCAAGCTTCCTCTCCACTAAACAGATCTTCATGCTCTTCCATCTTCACGAATTGGCTAAAACAATCCATCGTCGTGGCCGCCACTGCGCCCGCTGCTTCAACGGTTGTGGGACTATACTCTTCGTTCAAAACCGCACTTGAGTCGTCGCTGCTATCGGCAGGATCTTCTCTGAAGTTTTCGGAGCGTGGAAAAATGCTAAACATTTCGTATGCGAGCTCCGATGTCGGAGCTTCAGTAGGAATATGCGTTGGCGGCGGCGGAGGACGGTGGTTTAGCTCTAAGACTTCATTATTAGCCATCACCGCCTGATTTGCTTCCATGGCTTTTTCAACGCCGTTCTCTTCTATACCTTTAACCCCTTCCACGTTAAGTTTTGTTTTCAGCTCTTTAATCTGCATAAATGTCATGTTTATATATATCAATAATCTTTATAATTTACCAAAAAAATGGATTATCTCTGAATTTGTTTAAAACTTAAGAGTATATTATCAATGTTCAAAGTTTTCTTCTGTTGTGATTGTGTTTGTTTTTTCATTTGTAATTAACAAAGTCTATTATATCTTTAAATGCACAAGAAAATTAACGTAATTAAAGGCAATTCAAACACAAACAATCAAACTTTTAGTCGAACGGTCAGAATTCTAATTGTAATTTTAAAATAAATAAACTGAAACGATGTTTTTTAAATGTTTTATACGTTCGTTTCTTTGATTGACCGAATTATTGATGTCACAAAGACTATACCTGTCCAAGGAGGGAATCGTTATCGCGTTGAAGCGAGTCGCGGCTGCGTTTGAGTGCATCAAAGTTTGACTTAAGAACGCCATAATCACGTTCAAGCTGTTTTGTCTTCCACCGAGCACGGCGGTTCTGAAACCAGATCGCCACTTGACGCGGCTGCAACCCAAGCTCTTGAGCCAGCTTCACTTTCCTCTCTGGCTCTAACTTGTTATCAATCTCAAAATTCTTCTCTAACGCTTTCACTTGCTCTACACCCAACCGCCGTTTTTTCTCCGCCGCCGTAGAAGACGCGTGTCCAACACCGCTGATGTCCTCTAAACTTCCGTCGTCTTCTAATGCGTCGAACATCTGCGAGTAGTCTCCGGCGCCGGAGTAGAGAAAGCCGGTGGTTGTTGGTCTTGGACTTATTTGTTTGTCTGATAAAATCATTAATCAAGGTAGTACATTAGAAATAGTAGTACTATATATTTAACCAATCTCATAAACGGTTAAATTTCAATCAAATAATGGAATATTTATGATGTCATGAGTAATCACAAAACCTTGTCAGGATAACGTCTCGATAGTATGAATTGTCAGAAAGAAAGAAAAAAACACATCTTTACTTAATATGTTAAATTAATAAAACACAATCACATAATAAAACATTACATCATTAGTGTCTTTCTAATGAACATCAACAAACATAATTGCAGTTTTGAGAATTGTATAAGAGTTTATATTACAAAAGTCTTTTACCTGTTGTAGAATGGCGAATTGGTAAGAAACCGGCTAAAGAATCGGAGCTTCCACGTGATCTCTTCATTTTGTTTGGTCGGAACTATGGAGATCGAAAATTACTTGAGAAGAAATAAAGTTTATATGTAATGGTTAGAACAAGGCCTAGATGGTTATCGATTAAGATCTATCTACGACCAATACGTGAAGAAACGATCCTCTCTCGTCTCTCATCTTGTTTTTCTCCAAAGAAGGATCTTTGCTCTGTGTCTACACTATCCATAAAAGATGGAAACAGAGAATTGACTAATTCATCTAATACCCACCAACACCAAGAAAATATGAACTTTTAATTCATATCGGTTTTTCTCGGGAAGTATTAGCGATAGAGATTTCAAAAGTCTTATATTTTTCCCCCGAGAAATCGAAATTTGTAAGAGAGAGATAGATAGGGAGAGGGAGAGAGATGGTTTCTCACTCCATCTCCGGGTTTTAAATAAGACGACAGGTTAACCCTAGAGGAAGTGTTGGAGATATCTCTTGAGTTATTTCAAGAATTTCGGCAGATTTTTTTAAATACTTCCTCTGTCCCATTTTATAAAATGTTTTGTGTAAAAGCACAAAGATTAAGAAATAGTTAATGTTTACCTTTTTATAGGAATTCAGTCAATAGAAAAAAAGACTACAGAATTTAAATGGTCATAACATACTAAATAAACATAACTTATGCATAGAAAACTGGGAAAATCTTATAAAATGGAACAAAAAAAAAATGCTAAAACATCCTATAATTTGGAACAGAGAGAGTATATATATAATTAAATGCAAATGGGTTAGTTTAAACACCGGTTTACTCATGAGAGTTTGGTTTAGGATTTAAATCATCGCATTGTTTTCAGCTCGGCTACTTTGGAGCCGGCATCGATTTAAAGATTCATTAGTTTCTTCTACTTTTTCCATATAGATGTTTTTTTTTTTTTGATAAATCATATATATAGTTTTGTATAAAATTATCAACTTTTGATGTAACTTAATTGAGAAATCATATTATAATATAATATATACTCTTAATTAGTTAGCGAAATTATTCAATAGTTAAAGTTAAACCCTGATTCTATACCAATATAGGATTAACAGTAAGAAAACTTCTGAACTAATATGCATTAACTACTTTGTTTTCACTTCTTGTATGTTATTTTTTTGGTTTTTCTTATTGGATTCTTTGATGATATGGTTAAAAACAGTAAATTAGAGATTAAAGTTGGGTCCAAATGGACCCTCTAAATACTACACTATAGAGTTGATATTTTCAATTAAAATGTCATGATCAATCAGTATTAATACACTGGACCAACTATTCGTTTTTAATACAATAAATATAGACATGGGTCATGGGTGATATATACGCAAAGAAATACTATACAAAAAAAAGTTGCAATAGTAGTCGGTCCAGTAGTTGGCCATGCAAATTGATTTGCTTTAACCCAAAAGATTTTTTAAAATTAGTTTCAATGTGGGACAGCATTTTATTAACTTATTACATTATGAATAAGAAACGAAAGTCCCTTCCCTGATACATATTTTTCTTCTTCCAAACGCAATTTACTGATATATAGTGGCATTCATATGCGTAAAGTTATAATTAATGAGACCTTTTTAGAACTTTCAAATGGAAAAAAATATATGAAAATATATTAAAAATTAATTATGTTACCATTTATATTCACAGTTTTATATTATAACATTAAAATAGTAATTTCCAAATAAAATGACATGTATAAAAAAATAAAAAAACCATCGTATTTAATTTCAATAGGATATAAAAGGATAGTATTCCTAAAACATAAATTCAATCATAAACAATACTTAATGGAAAACGAAAGAAGTAGTAATTTACGATAATATTTGTTCGCTTCGTTAGGTGCTGACATAGTGACATATATACATATGATATATAGTTAACAGTTGTACCCAAACATGTATATATATCTTAGTAATTTAATATCTATATATATATATATATATTTCCGCAATTTAATATTATATATAGGAAAAGAGTATGTGGTGTACAAAGGATATTCACACGCTGCAAAATATATTTAAAATCGGGTAATGGGAAAGGAGACAAAGCTTTGATGAGATAGCTGTCTGTCTCTGTAACATCTTTGCCCATTTACTCCAAAATGTATTATTTTAGTCCGGCAGTAGTATTTTTTAATAAATATATATTGACAATATATATAAGATATAACTAAAAAAGTTTAATTATTTTGTAATTCTACAAGTAAATTGACCTTCTTTTCACATTTTAAATATTTATGTTAACCCTTTTACAAACTGTTTTATAATAACAAAACTTAAAATTATACAAATATATATATATTTTATAAAAAATATTTAACTTTTTCAAGTGTTTCTGAATCAAACAATACAATTCTCAGAGAAAACATCTAACAGTTATTTTAAGAAATAACAAAAAATAGTTTATTATATATAATTGACAAAAGAAAAAAGCATAAAAGCAAGGTGGGATTATAAAAGAAAAAAGGTAACTGGAGTTGGGACTTTTAGTTAAATGTGTATATATTAGTAAAGATTAGTCATTTGTATAGTGACAACTGGTATGATGATTTCGTATGTATCCATCTAAAATCTTAGAATAGAAAAACCTAAACTAAAATAGGTTTGGTGTTTCTTTTAAATTGAGAATTATATATTTGGAGTTTGGTTGATGAGCTGGTTATCCTATGAAAGCAACTAATTCCACTAGATTCTTGATGTTCTTTTTTGTCTTCTAGAAACATTGATCACGACACGAATGAATGATTAATTACATAATTTCAGAAAAACCAAAAATCTGAAATTTACCACCCATCATATAAAATATTTATTTAAATATATAACTAAACAGGTAAAAAGATCCATACCAAAAAAAAAAAACAGGTAAAAAGATTACATTACCAAATACCTTTATCCATTGCTTTTTAAAAATTTACCAAATATCCTTATCACATGTCTATAGTCAACAAGTAGACAACAACATGTGTCGAATTAATCCAGAAGATCACACATCAACATTACTACCACAAAACTATTATGCTACATCCTACATGTTTTCTTATTGGACTGTTATTTTCAAAATGACATTTAGTCATCCGCATAATATAAATTTGTTACTAAAGAAAATTTGTAAATTGGGCTATCGGGCTCAATGAAGGCATGCTTCTTCAGATGTTTCGGTCACCGATATCAGCGTTTAATCGTAGAAAGTAGAAAGAGGCTCGTTCGTACGAGATTTCAATCATCTCGAGGAACCGTGATCCGGTTATTCCAAATTGAATCGCATCCGAGTCCGGTTATACTGCTCTAATTACGAGATAATGTTTCAAAGGCCCATTTTTTGTATGAGAAGGCCCATCGTGTGCGAACCTTATTGTGTTTTTTTTTTTTTTTTTGTGCTTAAAATTAGCTCTTGCATAATAATGTATTAAATATTTGGATATTTCTGGAAATAATAATATACACAAAGTCTTAGATTCTAAATACTACAAAAAAAACTCTGTTAACCAACAAAAAAAGTTCAACAATATAATGTTGCATTCGAATGATAATTATTTGTATACATGTTAACATAAACTTTCCTTGTGAACTCTTCTAACGACTTCATGCACCGCATTTGCGATCTCATTACCAGAAGGCGTCAATTGACAATCTGCCTCTACCTAATCCAGAAACCAATTATTTAAGCATATAGTTGATTTTTTTTTAAATGAGCCTTATTAAATATAAGTTTATGTTAACTAACAAATTATATTATCATAATGATCTATTTTCCCCCTAAAACAAGAGAGGAAGAAAATAAATTACCTTTACGCTAAATGTGAAGAGAGACATGTCTTTGGAAGTTGTGAGGTTGAGATGAAGAATACTTAAACCTAAAGAGTAAAACTCATTGATAATCTTGAAGAGCAATCTTGGCCGTGTCTTTGTTAACACTTTGATGTTGGCATGTTTTTCTACCATTGTAACCTCCACGTCAGCAACTGCCGGTAGTCGCTTGTGGTGGTAGTGACTTGAGGGGGAGGAGGAGGCGGTGGTGGAGTATTGGGGGAACATGAAGAAGTCGGAAAATATGTTGGGTTTGGTAGCTTTTAATTGGGTTTCGAGTGATTGAAGACGATGTTCTAGCTTCTTGAGATAGTTAATGGTCCCTTCTATGATTGATGCTTGGTCATTCTATTAAAATAACGGAAATATCAACATTTGCTTAGCCTTGCTTATAACTTCTTTGACGTAAATAATAAAGATAGAAAGAAACTCACAGGTTGAGAATAAGAGAGAGGCATCATAAATTTGAGGATAGACAGAAAATAATTCATCTGTTTTCTCCGGTTGCGCTCGACAGTAATGTGATTCATCCTTTGGTACTCTTTATCTTCCATCGTTTTTTCACTTCTCCTTCTCCTCTTCCGCGACAGTACGTCACCGCAACCACATCTTTCTCGCAGAGGAGATAACTTTTCCGTTAAGTGAGATTGTTGCTCTGTTATGGAGAGTGTCGCTGATGAATAAGAAGAGGACGAAAGGGAATTTTGCTGTGACGCCACGTCTTCAGAGTTCCAACCGATGATGTTTTGTAAGTAATCCAAGATTTCGTAGCTTAAGGATGTTTCCACATGCGAAAACATATGTCCTCTATCTTTCTTTCAACAACACATAAAAATGGAGAGGTTAATGGCTATGTTTTTTTTGAAATTAGTTAATATGTTATCTATACACAAAGTAATGTTTATGCGTATATTTATATTGGGGTCTTGTTGGTTTTATTTATTTTATTAATTTTTGGAGGAATTTAAATAATCAAATTTTCATGACGTTTATGTAAGAAATGAATCCCTAGCTAGAGAAGAGAGATCAACGTACAAAAATTGAATAATGTGAGATTATTGTGTTTAATACACAGCTGGCGTTTTCTGATTGGGAGTTTTTGAGATATTTTTGGCAGACTGATCATTAACTAATAACCTCAATTCAATGCTGATTTTGTGGTTCTCAGTTCACACGTATACAATTAAGAAACGAATGCAACTAAATTCTTAATATTAAGATCAACTATTTATTTTATTTTTACCCGATTTTACGCTTTATATCGTCATGAAATCTCTTACTTTTCTTCTCAAATCTCTCATGTTTGACTAAGAAGGGTTAAAATAAAAGGAAAAAAAAACGTATTTTTCCAAATTTCATTGTCAGGCTCAGGAGAAGGAAAAAAAAAAAAAAATACCATCGGGTTTTTTGCTCCAAACCGCAGCTACAGCTAGAAACTCTTCTAAATGATGGAAAACAATCTATAGGGAGTTTTTTTTTAATTGACTGCAATCAAATATTAAATAAATAAAATTGGAGTATGAAATGAATCTAATTACTCTAATGGAATACTTCAGCAACAAATTAATCTACATATAACATCATCCAATAAGTACATTCAGAGATACACAACAAAGAAGAATGTTAACTTTCTTGATCTCAAAACAAATCTTAATATTTTACTATTCAAGATCAAGTAATATAATTAATGAGACATAAACAATTTATATTTATATGTGATTGCCAATCACATTGTCGTTTTATATGATTGGTACTTTTCATCTAACAAAGAAACGAATATTGCTAGTTGTGAGTTGAAAATTCGTGATTTGTGGTTCACTATCGGATCGTCGTTATCAATCTGACATTAACTGTACTCTATTTTATATGGTTGTGTCTCTAATAAGGCAAGCTGCTTACTACGTACATTTGTCGACTTCCATTCCCAATTATTGTGTATTTTCTTGACGGATAATTATAACAAGAATTACTACCAAATGTTCCACAATATGAATTGTGATGCGTTTACAGTGGTAATTTTACAATATACAGAGTGAGTATACCCTTCGAACATTTAGTTTTTAATTAGTTAAAGAGTTTTTTTTGTTAATTATTTGTATTAGATATTGCTTTTTATTCAAAACTATATATCACAACATTCTAATTGGAGAAACATTTTCTAAAATTTTGGAAATCCTTAGTAAACTATAATGTAAAAAGTTGAAGTTAATTTATTCATATATGTTTCTCGTCCAAAAGAACTCATATGTTCTTCAGTATTTTTGTGAAGACAAAGTTATTGATGACAAAAATAATTAAATAGTAGAAGAAATCTAGAAGAAAAAAAAACCTCTGTCTTTAAGGGTTTTTTCGTAGAGACAGATCTTCCTTTTTCCTCCTTAACGTTTCCCTTTTTAGTCTCTACTATCGAGACATTTATTAAGGAAATCTAAAAAAAAAAAAATTGGAAATCGAATCGAATCGTAGATGCGCAGATCTTCACTCGTCTTAATTAACAACGATGCGTATGCTTGTTCCCGTAGGCACCAAGGCATCTATATATATAACATTGAGGTCACAATGTTTCACCCTCAATTCCATAATTCTTCTTCTTCAAGTAGTCTTGAGAGAAAAAAACCTAGTTTCTTGACGAATCAAGGCAAAATCACGATGAAACAGGCTTCTTTTTCTTCTTCTTCGTCTCGTAATTTAACAAGTTTAACAAACAGACTTAAAACCATCTTCAAGAAAGCTTTGGAGCTTTCGATTCTCTGTGCTATTGAGGTTTGTGTCATCTATTACGGACCAAACGGTGAACTAAAAACATGGCCAAAGGAGAGAGAGACAGTACAAGATATGGCTTTGAGGTATAAAGAGGCCAGAAAACGCAAGAAAAGCCTCAATCTTCACGAGTTCCTCGACAAGGAGAAGGACAAGGACAAGGACAAGGGGAAGAAGAATTTGAAGAAGAAGCAGAAGAAGAATGTCAAGTATCATGATTGGTATCCGAACTTTGATCATTACTCTCCCCACCAACTCTCTCAATTGAATCAGTCCTTAGAACAGACTCTCTCTAATTTGCAAGAAAGGCTTCGTTTTGTTGAGGCGCAGAAACAACAGAACACAAACTTGGTTCACCAGAGTTTAACACCATCGTATCTGAACCAGAACCAACACTTGAATCCTAGCAAGTTCTCGCTGTATATGTACAACCATGGAGATGCTACTCTCTCACAACTCCCACTGTCTGCTTCACACTCCAATCAACTCACCGATTACACGAATCACTTGATGCAGCAGGAGCTTTATGGTTTTGGTCAGAACTTGTGTTTGGACAACATCACCAACACAACCTTTCAACATCCTTGCGTGTCAAACACACAAGACTACTCACCGTTACTTTCAGCACAAGCATCTGCGGTGAATAACTACGGATTGAATAATCACTTGATGCAGCAACAGGAGCTTCATGGTATTGATCAGAACGTGTGTATGTTGAGTGAAATCATCAACAACAACAACAACGGTCTACAACATCCTAATCTCTCAAACACGGTTCCACATGAATTCTCTTCTGATTTCCAGCAGAACCCTTATTGTAATACGGTCGGTAACACTAGCTTCTCTCAAGATATGTTTTCAAGCTATGATGCAAGCAGTTTGCATCAGACATCTTCTCTGCCACCTCTCCACAACATTCCTAACAGTTATTGTTTTTCTGACAACTCAAGACTTCTCTGATAACAAATCTGTCCAAAAGAAAAAAAAATTGAAGCTTCCTTAAGATTCAGTCAATAGTGAAGTAGCAAGCGGATCGAGAGAGATTGAAGCTGTTTTTGCTTCTGAATCCATCCTGCTACTTTTTTTTTTTTGTTTTGGTTTTTTACTTTTTTTTTTTTTTTTTAAACTATGTTTTGGTTTTTTACTAATATTATAACTGCAAAAACAGATCCATTTGTGGAGATTTTGTTTTGACTTTTAAGTTGGTACTTTTTTCAGTTTAGTAGTATTCACATATATATGCACATCCACATAAATCTGTCACAATAACTTCCATGAAACAAATTATAATCTAAAAACACTGATACTGACAAGACTGTTTCAATTGCTATAAGTTGATACAAGCTGCAAAGTGAAATCCTTTACTTTTGTATCTTCTAACAAACTTGCAACTTAGTATCCGTCTTGTCTGAATCAGCTGATACCAGGAGATGGAGAGTAGCTCTGAGTTCGTACATAAAAGGCTTGTACCACAAACAAAGAAAAACCTTAAATCAAGGAAACTGAAACTGCGTATAGTCTCGTTTACCAGAAGGAGGGTTATTAAAAACCCAAATCAGAGACACGATAATCGACAACAAACCTGACCACAAACATAATCAATCCTTTAGTAAACGGATAAAGATGAGAAAGCATCCAAAAGCTGAAGAACACTCCTCCAACAAGCTTACTCGAATGCGGAAACAGACTGTACAGAGTCCTTGCAAGCCCCAGCGCAATCGCAATTACATTCACCAATCACCATCATGATCGTTAATGGAGGAACGGTAAATTGTCTTCTCTGAGACATTAAAATTGTTCCCTCTTTCTTCGAAAACAAAAATCCACATTTGTTCTTTTCCTTTTTAGTCTCTCGGTTTCTTCTTGAGCAAACTCTGTTAATGTCTTACACAGAGGACTCGCCGTTCGAGACCGTCAAGCTCGATGAATATCCGTACCAACGCCGTCTGAACTGTAACCATGTTTGATAACACGATCAAATATCTCGCCACCGTTCTGATTCCGTCTCTCTGTTTTTTTTTTGCGTTTGATTTAATTTAGTTATAATTATAAAATAGATTGTCTTAAAACTAAATTTTCAAAGTTTTTATCAAAAATAGTTTTTCAATAAACCGTTTTGTTTTAACTATACAAAATATTTTAATTTTTTAAACAAACTAAACACTCTCTCTCAGTCAGAATCCTGCTGCCGGAAGTCCGATTCTGCCGGGAAAAATTAACTCAGAGACGAGAGTGGAAGACTGTGTACACATAACAGGGAATTTGGTATGATTTTGTTTATTTTGGTTAGATTTGGTTCGCCATACGGTTGATCGGTCAAAACTCAATTTTCATGGCCCGGCCCATTTCTAATTTTAAAGTCCATTTATTTTGAATGAGGCCTGTTAGTATACCCAATAAGCCGAAGTTGAAGATTGAAGAAGAAGAGCCCATCATTGGACATGCAAGAAAGTTAATTTACTTCAGCTTTTGAGATTATGGTTAATTACTGCTCAAGAACAAGAAACATAACAAGGTGTGGTGTCAGATTTTATCATTTTATGCTTTGTTCTTGCTGTTAAGATTATTATTTTTTGGTGAAGATTATAAGGATTATTACTTTATTACCCTGATTGAATAATTCCAAGTTTTTTTTTTTTTTTTTTTTTTGACACCGAATAATTCCAAGTTTTAGTTGACAAAAGGAAGAAGAATAATTCCAAGGTTTATGCATTTACATTACCTTATAACTTTTGGTCCTCTCAAATTTTGATAATCAAGTTACAAACAAAATGTAAGAAATTGCGGATCATAAAAAAATGTATAGTAGATTTTGTGATTTATTGATCTTTTTTTTCTTTGGCCAAAAACAAAAGAACATTGGAAAGAGACAGAGGGAATCAAGGACAGCTAAGACAACCAGCTTGCCATTTTCTCTAAACAAAAGTATAAAGTCACGAATGAATAATAATGTTATAATACCAATAAGTTATCTGGTTCTGTCATTCTGTGTATGTAAAATTATTATTTTAATCCAAAGTTGTTAGTGTTCTTGTAGTGATGGATTCGCCGCGTGGACTCTTATTATTCTCCCATGATGAGTCTCGACTCTCGTTGACCTCAGCCCCACGTACGAGTATTTTTTATATAGTATGGAGAAAAAACTATTATTTTTTATAAAAAAAAAGTATGTAAATTATTATGGTATACAATAAGAAGATACTTATTAATACTCCATGTATCAATTAAAAAATAATTATGAGTATAGGGAAAAAATACACGAGTTATAAGTTGAGTGCCTTCATGTTTGGTAAATTTCTTAAATCGACAAAAACCAAAAGAAATTCCGGGAATAATATTTGTTGAAAATTTCGACAAATAAATTAGTTACAATTATCAATAGCCGGAATCTTTTCATGGGCACGAAATTTACAAGTTAAGGTGGCGGCCGCATCAAATTGATTGGTTGATCAACATTAACCATAATTGTGTTTTCGTATTCACAACAACAGATTGTGTATTTTCATTTGAATCCATAGATTAAAAATATGCTTATATGTTATAGTTATATACTAGCAATATATAATAGTATTTTGTTGATGAATTAGGTAATATACACATTAATATTAATTTGTAAAGTATATTGTGTTATAAATAATAAATGTTCTAGGAAATTTAGTAATACAAATATGCAATAATTCATTCTTAGTTGGTTATATAATACTTCTTATGCTTGCTTGTATATATATACACATTCTATTTGTAAAGATGGCCAACAGAAATTATTAACTTTATTCCCAAATTATTGACAATAATAGAAAGCAAATATAAAGATTAGAAGATTAAAAAACTTTGCACTATAAGAAACACATGAACACATGGTCACCACTACAGCATACAAAAGTTGAGATCATCAAAAGCTATGCTTATTACATTTTCATCTCATTAAAAGCACAGCTAAAATATCTACGAGACGCATTAATCGGTTTAGTTTGCCGAAAAAAATAACCCACTGATGATGAATCTCGAAATAATCCCAACGATTGTATGCAAGTGCACCGATTGATGTCCTTATGCTAGAACACACAAAACGATTCAAGATCATTTTCTTGACGATCTAAAAAAGAAGATACTTAGTTCTTGACCGATAATCCCACGTGGGTCAACGAGATGAAAAGATTCCGAATCAAACGAACTAAAAACTCGTTTGAAACTCGCTCTTAAGTACATCATATGATCACTTTTCTCTCGGTTTATCTCTTCTCCGTTAACAACTCCGGCTCCTTCAGCCACCGGAGTAAGCACCTTCAACGCGGCGAGCTCAGCTTTCGAAGGCTGTCGTTTGATGGCGAATCCAACTTTCCGACCGTTGCAATACATGTTCCATAAAGGTGTTGTAAGAAGTGATCCTTCGTGTGAATCATATCCTTCGTTATTGTTTGATTCGAGAGCGATCCTTAGCACGCCCCCTCCCATTTCGCGGGCTAATACCTCAGTAGGGACAGTAAGCTCTAAGAGGACAATGATTGGGTTTAGGGTTTTGGAGTTTGTTGCTTGGATGCAAAAGTTTACTTTGCCACGGCGGAAACCGAATATGGTTCCAGTAAAACTGGAGTTTGTGGCAGTTGAGGAGGCGGAAGAGGTTCTTGGTTTGAATTGACGGTGAGATAATTTGTCTTCATGAATATCATTTGGATCAATGATTGTGCAGTAACAAGATGGGATGAGAAGTTGGACGATGGTGCGAAGGAGACGCCATGAACGAACTTGTTTATGGCAGTCTACGGCTGCGGTTGCGCTTGTGGTGGTTGAGGCAAGCCGGCGACGGTGAGGGTTTGTGGGGAAGGACATGGTTTTTTTGGGAGTTGTACGAAAGGGATGAGAATTTTATGTGTTAGGGTTTATGTGGCATTGATGTATATATAGAAAAATGGGCATGAAAAGAAAATGATACGAACTTGTGGTGTTGTTTTCTATTTGCTTTTAAAAATTATATAATTTAAAAGCAACCTCAATTGATTTTAAAATAATATAATTAAATTATCTTAAATGATATATATGAATAACATTTAATAGTAGTTATCACATAGAAAAAATCAGTGCATTATAAAACTAAAAACTGTTTGTGTAGTAATAATAAATGTATTACACGTTAAAAAGGATTTGTACGTGGATCACCTAGTAAAATTTTTTAATGTGTTATACAAAACTAACAATTGCTTGTATATATATGGTTTGAACTGTTTGTACTTTGTACATGATATTTTAGTTTTAACAGTTAAAATTTGGTTTACACGTAAATCTTTTAATTGGAAAATATATGGATTTTATGTAAAGGGCAAAAAAAAAGTGATTGTTGGTTAGTATTTCAGAAATGTTAGTTTTTAGTTTTTACTTAACCTATGCTCAAATTTCCTTATTTAGTGGATTCATTTAAATCTTTTAATGGCCAGAGAAGAATGACACGGTGGTTTAGGAAATTTCCGTACAATCATAGTGGACGTGTGACTCCAATCATTGAATCATAATTCGTCATTTAACCTTATATATTAAGAAATTATCATTAATATGTTTAATGATTATGCTCGTGCATACTTAACAATAATATTGATAATAATTTTAGCAGGCGCTAACCACTAAGTTTCTAATATATGGATCCAACGTTTTGTTATAGATATCTTGATGATAAACAACTCTCAAACTGCTATTAACGCATAAGAATTAGACAATATTGATTAATTCATGATGTAGTTTCTTACGTTTTTTTCTTCATGATAAATATTTTTGAATCAATAAGCCAACCCTAAATGGACAAACAAAACATGTAAATACACGACAAAGTCAAATCAGCCGTCTATTCGAGCATCGACAAGGATTGATCATAGGGCATGAGCTTGTTACCCATTTTGTGGCCCATCATTGGCCCAATATATTCCTCATGGTTCCCACAAAATTTTGGACAATATACCAAATTCTATTGTAGGTCGTATAAAATGTGATCATAAGACAGTTTTAATACCCAATCGATTTCTAGATTAACAAAGAAAACGAATCAATATGATCACAGAACTGAAGAAGTTATTAATGTTTTTTTTCTTTATCACGAAAAAAACTATAGGACGGTAGTGTATAATATTCCCGAATCTAAGACCGTAGCAGTATATCAAATAAATAGTACACAACAGATATTTTATTGGAGTTACGTCAAATTAATTTTTATAAATTAAAACATAAAATCAAAATCAGGTAAGATATTTGTCACCTGACAGTTGACACGTTTATGTTCTTTCTAACTTTTGGAAATTTTAATATCAATTTTTACTGTTCCACCTTTTGTTTCAATAATTTATTTCCGCGTTGGAAGCTTTTGCCAAAGAAAAACGATAGAAGGTGGAGAATACGTTGTCGTTTTGTGCTTTATTTTTATTATTTTGATAGCTTGGTTCTTTCCACTTAAAAGCATTATACACTTTTTATAATTTGGAATTTACAAAAAGAAATGACAACACAATATATCATTGTCCCGTTTCTCTCAATGTACAACAACAGCCTATTTTGGAATTCTTTTCTTCTCTTTTGGTAATTTCTCGTTTGTTCTTTTTATTTAAAATGACGCCATCAAATTACTAAGAAACAAACGACGCAATTAACTCATAGACACGCCTAATTTTTAAAAATATTAGAATCAAGCACTTTGTCATCAAATCTCCTAAAGAGATATTAAAAAATATCTTTAATTATCTTCATTTCTTTGAACAGAAAAAATATCTTCATTTCTTTGCTCCATTTTAAATTGCACATGCCTTGAACACTAGAAGCAGGGTCTGTCGGACTAAATAATATCAAAGGGACTAAGTATGCAAAATAATATCTTTCTCTCTAAAAGATCTTAATTAGGAAACTAAACATTGCAATTTTTCTTAGCCAGTCTCAGTAAAGTAAATTGCAAGTCATGTTATTAATTTAGGTGCGTTTTTTTAAAAAAATTGCTAAATTTTCGAACATGACAATGAAGACTTCTGTGAAAGAAAAGCCCAAACAAATCTAGGGTAGGCCCGTTAAGAAGTCGTGTATCAGTCCACAAATTTATAATTTCAATTTCTGCTTATGTGGCCCATGTAGGATGCATTAGCCAATAATAACTCGAGCAGTAATGTCATTGACAGGGTTAACAAATTAACGTGTGGACGGTGTAAAATCAGGCTTTAAAGCTATTAAATAAAAGATTGAGAGATGAGTTATTTGATTGATTTGATCACTGAATCAATAAATGTTTGATATTTTTTACATTTTTATTTATTTAATAATACGTGTTACAATCACAAATTAAAGTATCTGATAATGTGGATAATGACAAAATTAATGGGATGAGAAAACGTCATTTTCTAAAGGTTTTTTTTTTTGGACAAACAAAGGTGTTTTAGTTCAGTTTTCACTTAAAATAATTTGAGAGATCATTAATCTATAGAAATTTTTACCCACATTTTCTTAATGAGCTCTTTATCAAGAACATATCAATATATTTATGAAACTTTAAAAATATTACATTAATTTTAGTTTATAAATAGATAGAAAATAATAATTAATTTAAACTGTTATTGTAATAAAATCCACATGTATTTAATTTTCAAAATGAATATCTAATACAAAATCCGGCCTGGAAAATCCATCTAATACACATGTTAATAAATAGATAACTAATTAACTATTAAGATAAGAACATATATATATTTGATCTTACCCTATATTTAAGTTAACCAGAAACACATTGTGAAACCTTGAAAGATTATAAAAGCAAAGCCACATTGCTAAAGATTCAAACATTTGAATAGAACAACTATATTCCATCAAATGGGAAAACTCACAACCTTGAATGGCATATTGAAAGACGAAGCGTCACAAATGAAACTCAATGTGGTTCATTTGTGTAGCTCCGTGAATGCCAAAACCATTGACTTAGCTCTCTTGAAAGCCACATCTCATACCTCACACAATCCACCGTCGGACAAATACGTCACGTTCCTCCAATCAACTGTTGACACGTGTTACGGTCCCGAGACTGTCGCTGCCATCTTACATAGACTGCGTTTAACGACGGATGTGTGCGTGGCTGCTAAATGTCTCATTCTTCTCCATAAGATGATTAAAGCAAAGTGGGTATAACGGAGAAGATAGTCTTCGGGACAGTAATAGTCATCGTACGTTGATTTATAATCAAGGAGGGAGTAATCTTAAATTGAATGATCTCAATGTAAATTCATCTCGTTTTACTAGAGAGTTGTCTCCATGGGTTCAATGGTAAGATTTTATACTTTTCTAGGCATTGGTTATATATACTTTTGGTTCGACTAGGGTATAGATGAGTACAATCAAATATATGTTTGTTTGCGGTTTTACGTTAAATAACAATTTAATCGAAAGTCTTATGATTTGTCAAATATTGGTCTTTTGAATAGGTACAAACAATATCTAGATTGTTATTTATCTATTGCGGAAGTTTTAGGCGTTACTCCAAACATAAAAGACAAAACAGAAGATAAGCGTTTGGAGACTCAACGAGTCTCGCATTACACAACTGATTGCATTTTCAAACAAATTGATTTCCTAGTAAATCTATTCGAACATATAAGTGACAGGCCAAAAACTCCAACGTCGAAGCTGAACAAAATCATTATTGAGATGATAGAACTAATGGTACAAGACTACTTCCCTGTCATAAAATTGATCAGGATAAGGTTTGAAGAATTGAACGAAAGAGTAGCTAAACCTTACGAGTTGGTTCCGGTTTTGGAGAGGCTTGAAAACTGCAAGGAGGGTTTGAACGAGTTTTCTTGGCGAAGCAAGTATTTGATTGAAGATTTTTGGTGTTTGGTATCGAAATTAAAAGATATGTAACGCTTGATGAGAGAAGAAATTAAATGTTGGAAACCAGTCCGGTCCGGTTCCTTAGCTAAAAATCTAAAATCTTATATTATCATAGGTTTGTCCGTAAACCTGGTTTTAGTCTCTATGGGTGTTCATGGGTCGATTTCATGTAGTTATTTATAGATAAATTATGAATTTTATATGTAAATATGTTATGAATGAATACATATGTAGCCATGTACGGCCGGTAAGTGAGAGACGTGTGTAAAACCACAATGTCCAAAACCATCGTAAAAATCATACAAGTTTAAAGACCAAATGAAAAATTCCATAGAACAATTTCTATTTTCTAGAGATTGAAAACCATCAAAGAAGGTGTAATTTGAGTCATATCTAAGTATTTAACCAATATTCACTTTAAAACCAATAAATTTTATTATTTTTACTAAAATAAAATAAAAGCAGTTCAATATTTAGCCATTTTACTAATAATATTACAAGGCATGCTATAAAAAGAAAATCACAAAGGCCATGTTGCAGTAATTGCAGTTTACAGAGACCATCTGTAATTTTATAAACCGGCTCTAAGATATTGTATCACATTTCGATACAAACATATACCAGTTTTCCAAAACAAAATTATGCTGCAAAATTGACCCAACGAAATCTTGAATCATTTTATTGTGTTGGACCATTTGTTAACACGAGCACTTGCTTTCTGCGCCTGTAAATTTCATAAACGTAAAAGAAAACGATATCAGTAAATTCTCTAATTTGCGAAACAAATCAAAAACACAAAGAAATATCAATATCTACCTCTTTTTCCCAATCACATCTCATTGTAATAAAAGCTAAGATCATTGTTTGAACAGCTGTTCCTCCAAAAATCATACCAGCCCAAATTCCCTATTATAAAACCACAAAACATTATTCCATTGAATAAACCAAAATCTATGAATAGTTAAAGAAAATCGTGATTAATTACCATGACGCCGAGTTTAAAACCCCAGCCCATGAGAAACCCAAGTGGAACACCAATGCAATAGTAACATCCCAAGTTTATATATGCCACATACGATTGCCAACCCGATCCAACAGCCACACCTATTCAATATAACGAGCCCCAAAAATAAAGTCAACAAAAAACGTTGACTCGGTTTATAAAAATTAATAAAATTGTTACGTACCGGAAAGAACCGGTTGAACGCTGTTAAGAAGAACGGTGAAAGCTAACAGAAGTGAAAGTTTATTAACGGCGTCTAAGACGGCTACACTCGAAGAGAAGATCCATGCGATTTGGTTATGGAGAAGCATTATTAGCACCCAAAAAAACAATCCGATTATCAACGATTGTGTTACTGAGACAATCGTCGCAAATCTTGCTCCTTTGCCATTACCAGCTCCTAATTCGTTCGCCACACGAACACTACAATATAATAGTTCATGTAAATTAAGTATCAAGATGTTAATAGTTTTCTTTTAAGTTGTATATCTATGGCCACACAAAAATAAGAATAAAAACTATTGAACATGAAAAAGTTATAGATTAATACTTTAATAGTACTATAATAGCAAAAAGAGTGATCTCTAAAATATTTTTCCTCGTATACGTGTTTATTTTGACAACACGACAAATATATTTAGATAAGAAGAACTCAAAGCAAACACGGAAGAAGACAGCAAAAGCTGTAAGGATCTAGCCATATGCCAAATGTTAGGTTTCAATTTCCTAAATATTCCACACACAAAATTATTGTTCCTTGAAAATGTATCCTAATAATAGACCCCCCATTAAGTATTGTATTGTTTCCTTGCAAATTCCATGTTTAAAACTAAATGGGGGTCTAATATTAATTAGGATACATATTCAAGGAACAATAATTTTGTCTGTGGAATATTTAGGCTAAACAGTACAATCGTATTTTTGTCGACGTACGTTAATTAGTGAACATACCATTAAGATACTATACGCATTTACTATTTATTTATTTTTGACATCGACATGCATTCACTATTTTTTTTTTTTTTTTTGACATCGCATTCACTATTTATAGTTGATAGTTGATAATAAATACTGATTGGTAATTACATTTACACGTACTTTGTTTTTATTCCGATTTATTTGAAAAATTGAAACCACGTTATTCACGAACCCAACATGACATCTAGTCCGCATTCATTGTAAGTTTAAACCTTTAAATTTCATGGGTCCGTTGTAACGACCTAACATAGTTGATAGTTGATATTTAATATGATTGTACAAAAATTAGACTTAACTGAACCAGGACCAATTAGATCATTATTATAAACCGAATCAGAAATTAGCAATAGAGGAGAATGGACTTTACCCGGTTCCGGCGAAGAAAGCGAGAGGTATCATCATCTCCCAACCATTTATCGCCATGCTGCCAAAAGTTTTGGTAACAAAATTAATCATACATTTTTTCTTTTGTCAACAACTAATCATACTTTTAAAAAGGATTATATATTCATTTTGTTTTTCTATGACAAATATATTAATTTATCAATAGAAGATAAAAACAAAAAACAACTATAACCTTTCCACAACAACCCAAAGCAGACGTGAGAAACAATGCGATAAGATTTATATATGTATGATTGATACTTTTTCTTCTATTTTAGTATTCTAAGAAAATATCAACATAAACAAAATAAAGGTCAATAAACGACTTAATTACCATATGGACAAGGAGTCAACGGCGATGCGAGCATTCTGAAGATTCCCAGTCATTATAATCAAAATCCGATAATACCAATTCTCCAAACTGAAAAAAAAAAAACAAGTTTTCAACGTTAAAAAGGTGTCGGACATAATTAGACATCATGTCACAAAGAGTAGATATATTTTTGTTGGTACCAAAGCATGACGCCGGAAGAAGCAGAGAGTTTAAGGAATTCCCAAAGTCCGGTTAAGGCTTCAGAGGAGAGGCCGGTCCAAGTAAGTGGACAACCGCCACAAGTAGAGTAAACCAATAGAATAAGAACATTGACCCACCACGAGATACTAATCGTAGCCACAGTCCCGACGACTCCTAGTTTAAGTCCGTCCACGAACAACCAACACACTAAAATGTGAACTACCAATGCAACGGCTGCGGCATACGCAGTCACCTAATAACCACCCAAAAAAAAAAATTACTAGCTCGAACATTATAAAGGAACTCTGATTTATTTTTTTGCCTTAATAAACGTTAAACATATAAAAATTTGCTCATGACACGAATATATATAGAAAAACTGAAAATATGCTTCTGACATGCACAAATCTAGAAAAACCGAAAGTATTTTGTATATAAAACTGTTATTTTTTTAGTAGAATAAATTCTGTTTGAAAAACAATCAGATCGATCGAATACATACTTGGTTTTTGAGCTGGCACTGGAGGAAACGTTGAAGGGGAAAAGACAAAGTGAAGGCGAAATGAAGAGGGATGACCCAAACGGCGACAACACCGGAAAGCTCAGCAATATCGTCCGGTTGACCGAGAAATTTGAGAACCGGAGTTGTGAAAATATAAGTTGGTAATAGCAAGACACAACAAAAGAAAAGAACAATCCAAGAACGCTGCATATAAACACCCAACATATAATATTTCTTCGCTCCAAACGCTTGTCCACACAACGTTTCCAACGCACTCGCCATTCCAAGCTACACCATTTACATATCCTCATATTAATTTTTTTAGAAAACATATTATATAAAAAAAAAAATTAATCAAAACTTGTTTTTTGCGATACTATACCAAGAGGCCAAAGTTGAAGCCAACGGTGACGTTATTAACGATGGAGATGGCTGCGAGTTCGAGATCGCCGAGATGACCAGCGAAAGCTTGAGTGATGACAAGCATCGAATATGTCGTTAGTCGACTGAATATGGCCGGTCCAACGATTTGCCATAGCTTTTTTGTCTCAACCAAAATTCTATTCTTCAATCCTTCACCGTCTTCTTCCCCCGTGTGAGAACTTTTCAACAGTGCAACTCTCGACTCCGATCCTTCTTCTCCGCCACTTCCTCTCATCGCTAATTCCTTTTTTTTAGTTATGTGGACGAAATGAAATATAAGGAGAAAAGAAGAAGTGAGAAGAATGGTGAAGACGAGATAGATGAGTCGTGAGTGAATTGGCTTTTTTTTTTAATCTATTTATAAACTCTTGGCTACTATAATTTAATTATGGAATAACAAATTCCAAATATGATTCATTTCTAAACGTATATATGTTTTTTTTGGCCTAGTGTTGCTATTTCCATCATGAAATTACAGACAAATTTATAATGAAAAAGGAAAACAAGAAAAAGGGGAAGAAAAGTTTCTGCCTTGATGATGTTTTGTTTTCCAAATACAACGACAACAAGTAGATAATTTTCTAATTATAATGAAAATTACGCCAAACTTGTTTCAGAGCAAACATATTTATCTTTTTTATCTTCCACGAGTGCCAAGGGTTTTTAAACTATGAAAATAATATAATAAAAAGTTTGGTACGAGTTTATTATATGAAAAAATCTTCAAATACGTCATTTGGTGCCTATGACTCTACATTTGATAAAATATTTTTTCTATAATTTGGCTCCGAATGGAGAAAGCGTATCGCGCGGAGCGGATCAAGCGTATCAAGCAGAACAAAAGCGGATCAAGCAGATCTAGCGGTACAACTGCGGATCAAGCGGTTCGAAAGCTTTAAAAGATGTGTTGAATGGTGAAAGTGGATATGGCATCACGGATGAAATATTTATGTTGTTAAAAATGTTAATTTTAAATAAACTATACATACTAAAATAATTATATCAAAATAAATTTTTAACATTGGTTTAACAAATTCTTGAATATATATTTTTAAAAAAAAATTAGAAATCCACTAATATATTTAACCAAAAAAATTAATTTCTATTTTGGACATGTAATTGTATTAATTCAACCATAAAACTATAGATACATGATTTAGTAGTCATAAACTATAAACCATAACATTTTCAAGTAAGGATAAAATTTGAAATCATGATTTTCCGATAATTGTAAAATTTTATATAGTTTTAGGTATTTTGATGGGTGATTATTAATAGGGAGACTCACAAAAATGCCCCTTTTTCAATACCCCTTTTCAAAAATGCCCCCTTTGGCTGTCCATTTTTAAAAATACCCCTTTTTATGTACAAAATGACTAAATTACCCTTCTTTTAATAAAATATATCACAAATATATAAGGAAATATAAGGAGAAAAGAAGAAGTGAGAAGAATGGTGAAGACGAGATAGATGAGTCGTGAGTGAATTGGCTTTTTTTTTTAATCTATTTATAAACTCTTGGCTACTATAATTTAATTATGGAATAACAAATTCCAAATATGATTCATTTCTAAACGTATATATGTTTTTTTTGGCCTAGTGTTGCTATTTCCATCATGAAATTACAGACAAATTTATAATGAAAAAGGAAAACAAGAAAAAGGGGAAGAAAAGTTTCTGCCTTGATGATGTTTTGTTTTCCAAATACAACGACAACAAGTAGATAATTTTCTAATTATAATGAAAATTACGCCAAACTTGTTTCAGAGCAAACATATTTATCTTTTTTATCTTCCACGAGTGCCAAGGGTTTTTAAACTATGAAAATAATATAATAAAAAGTTTGGTACGAGTTTATTATATGAAAAAATCTTCAAATACGTCATTTGGTGCCTATGACTCTACATTTGATAAAATATTTTTTCTATAATTTGGCTCCGAATGGAGAAAGCGTATCGCGCGGAGCGGATCAAGCGTATCAAGCAGAACAAAAGCGGATCAAGCAGATCTAGCGGTACAACTGCGGATCAAGCGGTTCGAAAGCTTTAAAAGATGTGTTGAATGGTGAAAGTGGATATGGCATCACGGATGAAATATTTATGTTGTTAAAAATGTTAATTTTAAATAAACTATACATACTAAAATAATTATATCAAAATAAATTTTTAACATTGGTTTAACAAATTCTTGAATATATATTTTTAAAAAAAAATTAGAAATCCACTAATATATTTAACCAAAAAAATTAATTTCTATTTTGGACATGTAATTGTATTAATTCAACCATAAAACTATAGATACATGATTTAGTAGTCATAAACTATAAACCATAACATTTTCAAGTAAGGATAAAATTTGAAATCATGATTTTCCGATAATTGTAAAATTTTATATAGTTTTAGGTATTTTGATGGGTGATTATTAATAGGGAGACTCACAAAAATGCCCATTTTTCAATACCCCTTTTCAAAAATGCCCCCTTTGGCTGTCCATTTTTAAAAATACCCCTTTTTATGTACAAAATGACTAAATTACCCTTCTTTTAATAAAATATATCACAAATATATAAGGAAATATAACAAAATTAGGTCCACAAAATACAAAATATTTTTTGGCAGGAAAAGTGATCCCGCAATTTTTCCCTCCAAAACACTTGTAAAAACCTTTAAAATACCTTGTAAAATTTTCCCGTAAAATTTTTTCCCGCCAGAAAATTTTCCCGCCAAAATTTTTTTTTGCGGGAAAAGTGATTCTGCAATTTTTTTGGCGTTAAATTTTTGGCGGGAAAAATTTACAAGGTATTTTAAAGGTTTTTTACAGGGTATTTATAAGGTTTTACAATGTATTTTAAAAGGTTTTACAACGTATTTATAAGGTATTTATAAGATATTATAAGATTTTACAAGCAATTTTATAAGGTTTTACAAGTTATAAGGTTTTACAAGTTTTTTATAAGGTTTTACAAGTTATAAATACCTTATAAAACCTTATAAGTATCTTATAAAACCTTTTAAAATACATTGTAAAACCTTACAAAACACTTGTAAATACTCTGTAAAACCTTTAAAAAACCTTGTAAATTTTTCCCGCCAAAAATTTTCCCGCCAAAAAAATTGCGGAATCACTTTTCCCGCAAAAAAAATTTTTTGGCGGGAAATTTTTTTGGCGGGAAAAATTTTACAAGGTATTTTAAAGGTTTTTTACAAGTGTTTTGGCGGGAAAATTGCGGGATCACTTTTCCCGCCAAAAAATATTTTGTATTTTGTGGACCTAATTTTGTTTCAAATAAGGGTAAAATGGTCATTAAAAATTAAAAGAGGGCAAACTTAAAAATGGACTCTCAAATGGGGCATTTTTGAAAAGGGGTATTGAAAAAGAGGCATTTTTAACAATTTCTCTTATTAATATATCTAACATTTGAAACTAAAACAAATTTTTAAAACGAGAAAGAAGTTTATGATGCAAAATTTACAATAAAATAATAAAAACTGGTCAATTACATGCATACAAAACCAAGATCTATTATTTTTGATTTTTTAAAAAAGAAACGCATTATTTGTTTAAGAAACGCAACTGGTACGCCTCAATTTGGATGTATAATTACTGTAGGTTGCAGATCACTACTTTTACTCATGAATTTGGTCTGCTTGCGGATCATTGTTACTTTTTATTATTTTAATTGGTAAAAGAAAGTGGATCACAATTTATCTTGAATGGACACATCTTTGCGGTTCAAATAGAAACGTGGAGGAACTGCACTTGGACTGCCACTCCATTCAAGCCCAAAATTATAAGAAAACCCGTACTAGCCTTAATAATTAGATTTCGGTTTGCCATCTAGTGAATTAGAATAAGTTAATTAACACTGAAAAGAGGAAAGCCATTCATTTCGAGTTGTATTGATAAAGAATAACATCGACACGTGAGAGGCACGTGTTATAGATTGGTTTTGTTTTTTTTGGTAAATGTCGTTTTATTTCGACATGCGTCAGAGTGCCCCCATGTGATCTCATTGCTTACATATTTATGTGTCTGATCGAGAAATGCCTAGGAAAAAAAACTATTTCCAATAACATTTCCTAACAAGCTTTAGAAATTGAAACCAGACCCAACCAAACTTTACGTTTTTTCAGAACAATTGTTTTTTTACAAAAAAAAAAAACCTTACAAGTTGTATATTTGCACGTTTTCCTTATAGCTAAATTATTTGAATTTATAACTGTGTCGCTGATGAATTAAAACTTTATCATTTCAAATCCACAGCTGTACCGAGAACCAAGTAATCATAAATTTCTTGTTTGGTTTTTGACTTATTTTCTGTTTTTTCCCCCCATAGGCCCATACTGTATCTCCTTTTGATGTTTTAATTTCCACGAAAATCAATATTTTAAAACAACAATTTAACACTATTACAATACTCCCAACAAGTCAGTCATTTGGGCCATTGGTGATTGAAAAGACAACCAATGTTTTTGTCCTCTTGATTTGTAGGGTTTACTTACCAGAGCGTGCCGAGTATATCTAGAGAGGTGCATATGCTTTTTTCATATAACAAATATTCGTTAGAGCTATAAAAACCATATTATTTTCCTACTTTTTATGTTTTTCTAACTTATCTGGAATTATCTTGAATGTCAGGAAAATATTCAGTGCTTATTTTCGTGATGTGAATTTCTGGATTTTAGTTAGAGAATTTTTCAGTCCGCTTTTTAAACTATATGATCTATGATCTATCATCTCATATTCTCATTACGATAATTCACAGTATCGGTAAAAATAACATTTTTAATAGCTATTATCATTTTATTTACTCCGTTCAATTTACAAATATTTCGTTTTAAATTTAATTATTGTTATACAAAGTTGAACATTTTATATTTTTGCGATGTACAATTCTAAATAAAGTTCTTATCCTATCTCAATTACTTTATATGAGGAATATAATCTAAAATTTGATAATTTGAAAACTCTTTAAACAAGTACTTATAAATAAATCATGTTTCAGCACAAGGAAATCAAAATTTGATATAATAATCATGCATGTTGAAAGACCAAATTCGAATACTGTTACTGTGGGTTTATTCATACTTGGTAGACATTTAATTTAAGCTATTAGCCTATTAGATTTTCAATTTATTTGGCCCGAAAAGGAGTTTCGATTTATTTTTGTATACATCTAATATCGTGAATTCGTGATGTTGGACCAGCAATAATAGCCCAAATACGGGAAGGCTGTTGAAAGGGCTTAGCAGGCCTGGTGACAAAACATAAAAAGGTTTGTGGAGGAGTTATTACATGGAAATTGAGTTATTTTTCGACTCATAATCATCCAATAAAGATGACTCCATTTCATAAAAAGAAAAAGCCACGAACATGATTAAGTAGTTCTGAAATCACAAGAATCAGATCTAGAGAAGACCTGTTTTATATAAAATTATGAATTTTCTTTTTTTAGTTTTTACCTTTCAATCCTATAAACTATATAAAGCATCAAAAGAATGATGAACCATGTGAGAATTTTGTAAAGAAAGAATAACTAAGTAGTTTTATTAAAGCTATCACTGGATTTACACAACATATTCCACCTCAACAAACAACCCATGAAAAGTTACACGTGTCAACATCCCATTTACCAATCCCAATTCAAACAACAATCGAATAATTTAAAAATCAATCAAATTATCGAAATTAACACCGTAACTATAGAATGAAATGTAAACAGAATGTTTTCAAGATGTAAACAATGAGATCCTAAGCCAAAACGACCGCGTAAATAACCGCCGCAAAAACAGTACCGACGACGAAAGCTTTGTTGGAGAAAGCGGCGTTAGGTGGAGGAGCGGTAGCGTCGGACGGTGTCGGGGCTAGATCACCGGGACTAACTCCGGGACCTTCCGGTGCAGGTGGAGAAGCGGTGGGGACATCAGACGACGGAGGAGTAGCGGTAGGGGCAGGGGTGGCTGCAGGTGGTGGAGTGGTGGCCGGAGCGGGAGTTGCGGCAGGTGGTGGTGTGGCAACGGGAGGAGGAGTGGCGGCAGGAGGCGGAGGAGTGACGGTGGTGGTTGGAGAAGGAGCTGGAGCTTGAGCGAGGCATGAGGTAGTGAAGAGAGCAACGATGAAGAAAGCTTCAATGATCTTCGAATTCATTTTGTATTCTCTCTCTAAAGATTGTTTACTTTAGAAAGATAGAGAATGAAGCAGAGTGGTTTAGGTGAGGAATGACGATGGAGGTATATAAAGGGAGAGAACAAACAATAGTTATAAATTAAGTATTTAGTTGGATAGTATCTTGATGATGAGATAATAATTATACGATTATTATTAGTTTAATGATTAGTATCGAATATTGAAATGTAGGAATAACATATAATTACTCTCTCCTTTTTATTTATTTATTTGATGTTTAAATAAAAATTACTTTACATTAAATGATATTTCAACTTTAATACAGATTTAAAAATGTATAATAGATGGATAATATCGAACTTGATCACCAATTCCATCTGTTGATTCCATAAGAACTGAAAAATCGATGGTTTTAACTCGGTTAAAAAATAAACACTAAATCGAATCATGATTGTTAATAATTGGAGAGAGAAAACGTATGTAGTAGTATTGAATATTGTATCATGTTTGTCTTTCTGTCTACTCGATCCACCCACCGATAATAGTATACTTTTTCTTAATAATGAATGATCTCTTTGCCTATTATATTATATGATGATGAACCTTAATTACAAAAATACAGATCTATCAAGAAAGGACAATGTCGTTATTATCGTATATCCCATGTGCGTAGCAGACCCATCGAGATCATTTTTGAATACTTGTTATGGTTTTATTGTTCTCGTTACCGTTGGATCATTGCTGTTATCTCTTGTTTTTATTGCTAGTAACAAAGAGTTGGAGATAGCTGTCAGAGAATTTTAGATAGTTGAATAATGAATACAAATAAAACGGGTATCTATATATACATAACGGAAGAAGACATTTGATAGCCTGTAAAGGTCATTTTACAGTGAACTAGATCTTGACCCGCACATACGTGCGGGGTTTCATATTTTTAAAAAAATTCTAACAAATTTTAATTCAATATAGATTATTTCGTTGTTTCTATGATATATATTTTAGTGTATTAGATCTGGATTCACACCTACGTGCAGAGATATTTTTATAGAAATTGTTATATAGATTTTAAAAATATAAAATATTTTGTTGTGTTAGTGAACTTTATAATAGTATAAATATTATAAAATTAGAGTAATGAACGAAATTCAGTTGCGTTAGTGCATAGTTATATTTTAAGATCCTGACCTACACGTACGTGCGAAATTATATTTAAGATAAAACTAAGATATAATTTAGTTGCAAAAGTTAAATGATGTTACTTTTTTTATTTTTTAAACTAATCAAAACATTTCTAATAGTTTGATTACATGTGTTAAATAGGATATAGATTCGGTTTGAGTTTGGTTATTTCATGTATATTAGCTAGGCGTAACTATTTTAGAACGGGAAACCTATCCCGTCTTGTATATGTCATAAATTCTTAGTCCCATAACCCGTATCGTATACGTGAAATAAAAAATATGACGGTCCAGTATCCGGAATAAATAGAATATGTGTAACTGAAAACGTACGTACAGTATGTAAACAAATTTATTTTATATAGTGCTCATAACCCGAACTCATACCAGTTGGGTATTTAGTTTGATTTTTAATTTATGTTCCCCTCCTATCCCGTCTCGTAATTCCTATTCTCATTTCATTCCATTAAAATCATGTTCCAAATTCTTGTTTGCTTACTTTTAAATACCATACAATACATATTGTGAGTTTTGCAGATTAATATATATGCTGTTAAAGTTACAAATATATTTTAACAAATTTATTAATGTTTCTTTCCATAGCTAAATTTTGCATATTCTTCTTTTTATTGTTTAATCATAATTAATTTGATTTTTGGACTAAAAATAAAAATTTGAAATATATACAATCTAGATAATTTGCTGTTTAGACTAAAAATAGCATAAAAATAATCTAAAAATTTGTAATATATACAATCTATTGTTTAGATATTTATCAAACTTGCTCTAAACGAAGGCTATAATGATAATTACTTCAAATTTATTATTATTTGAGTTTATTTCATAGTAAATATAAATAGTTGTTAATATCTAATATCGTATTTTAGAAATTGTGAAATAAAATTTTGTTTTATATTTTAAAATTTGTGAAAATATTATAGCAAAACTGAATCTTAAATATTTGTATTTAATTTTCTTATGAAATTTTAAATTCAATCTTAAAGTCCTCCATTGATAAATCTTTTAAACGATAGTGTTTTTAATTTTGAATTAAAATGATATTATTTTTCTTTTTATTTTTGATATAGAATAGTCTATTACGATTGGTTTAGATAAAATCTTAGTTTTTCAATTCTCATTGGTTAACAATTTTTTAAAAATTAATTTCAAATTTTCGTTTATAATTAATAGGAGAGAAAAAGTTAGTTTAATTTTTTGGAAATTAATAATTATTTAAAAGAATTAAACTATTTTAATTTAAATATATTAATTTTGTGATTACTATTGTACCCTTAATGAAGTTATTTAAAAACACTAAAAACTAATGGCAATCTTTGTAATATCTTACACTTTATAAGGTTATTTAAGTTAGAATGATTCCCAATTAATAGTATAGATCCAGAAGGTTCGCCGTATTTATCATTAAATTAAATATAATTGGTATCCATAAAATGAAGTTGAATTATATATATATATAGTTGGCAATTTTATGAGGCCCATATGATGCGAAACCAACCGACGATTATACACTATACCTACAATTCAGTGCACTGAATCGATTGATTAATCTCTAACTAAAAAGTCTTTATAATATTGAAGATATTTGCAAAGCTTTTCCATACATACTTTTGTGTTTGATCTATTCGTAGCTCTTGAAAATTTGCAAAAATATTTATTATATCAGATAGACAATGTTATGGGCCGATATCTGCTAAACTGATTTCAAGGATTCTTCTATATGGGCCGATGGAGTTTTGGGCCTTTCTATCACAATGTTACGAAAAAGCTATGATAAAAATAACAAATCAGACCGTGTTGTGTTCGGGCACAAGGATAATTCGAAACCTGACGGAAGGTAGCTAGAGCTTATCCGATGTTTAGGACACTCATATCCTTGTTTCCAAACGGGACCACGGTTAAAGGTAACGGCGATGGCGCCGGAGAATCACCGGAAACAGAAGAACCCTCGAATTTTATGCCTTCATGGATTCAGAACCAGTGGTCTGATTCTCCAAGCGGGTATTGGTAAATGGCCGGACACAATTCTTCGAGATCTCGACCTCGATTTCCTTGACGCTCCGTTTCCGGCCACCGGGAAATCGGACGTTGAGCGTTTCTTTGACCCGCCGTATTACGAGTGGTACCAGGCTAACAAGGTTCGTAGCAACAAAATTCTGAATTTCGTTAAATTCAATGTTGATCATTGAGACTATCAGATAATCAGAGTAAAGGTTGTTTTTTTTTGGCTTAGAAAACAGAGAAATTTAGTCTAATTTTATATACAACACTTGATTTGGGTGTGTGTGTGTTTGCAGGGGTTTAAGGAATATAGGAATTTTGAAGAGTGTTTGGCTTATATAGAGGACTACATGATAAAGAATGGACCTTTTGATGGGCTTCTTGGTTTCTCACAGGTTGGTTTTGATGCTTGGGCGAGATTTTAGTGTTGATCTTTATCATTTATATCAGCAAGATTGTGGACTGTTGATTCTTGATCCATTCTTGCAGGGAGCTTTTCTAACTGCGGCTATTCCGGGAATGCAAGAACAGGTACATTAACTGATCATAATCCTGGTTCTGAGCTTATGAGCTTCTAAAGAAGTGAAACCTATTGTTAGAGTAGTTTTCTATCGTTTTGTTTTGAGCTAGTGTGTGATGTTGAAACCGTTTGTAGGCAACAGTGAGGTTGAATCTGAATTGAAGAATGAAACCTATTGTTTGAATGGTTGAGTAAGTGTTTGATGTTGTAAGCTGTTTCTAGGGAACTGCTCTAACTAAGGTGCCAAAAGTCAAGTTTTTGGTTATAATATCTGGAGCAAAATTTCCGGGGTTGATGTTTGGGGAGCCTAAAGCTGCTGTTAGTGCATTCTCATCTCCAGTTTGTTGCCCGTCACTCCACTTCATAGGTTAAACCGTTACTACGTCCCTGCGCTTATTCTTGACTCGATATCTCGGTTATATAGTAATCTAAGACACTGATCAATGCCAAGTTTCTGTCTAATTGTTTGAAACTTACATTAATAGTGTGCCTATAATGTAGCCAAGATTGGCATGAGAGTGTTTAGAATAGAACCTAATTTGCAGCTCTACATGTTAACATGCATTAGAGCTTTTCTCCTACAACATCTCGACTGGCTTTTGATGTTTCTATTCAAGGGTGATATATAACATTAGAGTTAACTTGTCTGTAGTTCTGTATCGGTTTTGCAGGTGAAAGGGATTTCCTGAAGACAGAAGGTGAAGTTCTTGTAGAATCATTTGTAGAGCCAGTGGTGATCCATCATTCAGGTGGACACATTATACCGAAACTCGGTTAGTAAGCATAAGAAGCTGATCATTCTTAGCTTCTCGGTACACATTTAAGCTCAGTTTTTTTGTAGAAGAGGAAGGAGAAATCTGCAATTAAAATAAGTAATGTAAGATCTGTGTCTCTTCTTATTTTGCTCTTATGAGCTTATCTTTGTCTTCCTCAGATACTAAAGCTGAGGAGAGAGTGTTGAGTTTCTTCCAGAGGATTAGGCAGATGCTTTCTGATGAATCAGCTCCTGTAAGAAGCTTGATGTGATTGAGAGAGCTACTCCAATATGGTTTACTTTAGATTATAGATGATTTTGCAATTTTTTATTTTTTTTGCTAAGAAATGCAATTTTTTATTTTTTTTTGTCAATCAGATGATCTTGCAATTTTTAAAGTTGTGAGATGTGATTATTCTTCTGGACTTGGTTGTCTGGTTTAGTCTTAAATCCAGGGACAATTCAATAAACGTAAATTATTAAATTTACCAACCAAACTGGATGTGCCCGTTCTTGTAATTAAAATTTATAGAGAACAACCAAAGATGGTCAAATGTTTTGGTACAATTGTCTACCCTTAAATACATAAGCAGCCAATATTTGTTTTTATCTATTACAAAATATACTATTTATTAAAAAATAATGGCCTGTCCTATAAAAGTTCTATAAATTTGTTCGGAAAATAAAAAACTCTGTTCAATTTTATTTTATTTTGTTATATGGAAAAAAATGTTGGGATATTTTTTCTAACAATAAGAAAACAAAAAATGATGGAAGGAAAAAAAAAAGAATGGAGGGGCACTAAAGAAGGTGAGTTAAATCATTGTCCTTGAGATGTATAGTACTCCCTCCGTATTTTAATAATTGTCGTTTTAGAAATTTTATTTTTTTGAATTGGATGTCGTTTTCAAATTTCTATGCAAAATTTATTACTTTTTAATGTTTATGGTCAAATGGATTCTCATGATAATCTATGAGTTCCACTTGTAAGACCATCCGCAGTAGTGTAAGTGTGAGGGAGGGGTGTAAGATTTTTTTTATTATTATAATTTAAAGTGAGAGAGAAAAGAGAGAGAGAAAGAAAGAGAGAGAGAGATAGAGTGGCTTACACCCGAGTGTAAACTTACACCCGGGTGTAAAGAAAGAGACAACTTTTACATTATTTATGTATTTTAAAATAATGTTTACACCCGCAAGGATACACCACCGCGGATGCCCTAACAAAGTTTTACTTCTTTTTCAATCTTCCCCTTATACCCTATTAACTTAGCCTTGTCGGTTGCTTTTTAGTCTTCTTTTTTAAAAAAAAAAAAAAACTTTAAACTCTTTTTTATTCTTGTATGAAATAATTGATTGAACATATCGAATTACAGATCCTATGATCATAAATATATATGATAAACAGTAGACGTCGACATGGGTATTGTGAAACTTCAGACTAAATATATCCATCATAAGTATTCTCACGCTTCCAAAGCTTTAAGCCTTTAACTGTTTCGTTTTTATGCACTTTTAACAAATCATCATCATAATCTATTTTCAAAATCTTGGTTATAGCTTTGATGAATTAGTTGTTTGGTTTAAATTTTGTGTTGTTTCCCCTATTCTCATTACATACGAAACCAAGATTTTAGTACAGTACAAAAATATTTTATCGTGACAATATCTAGTTGTGAATTGTGATGACCATATGTCCATATCCTCATTAAAATATAGATATATGCAATGATTAAATTTCAAAGAGCCTATCATTGACTTAGGAAATCTATTAACTCATAAATTATGTCCGGCATAAACACTGTTGATTATTTTTCTTAAAATACTACTTCTGTCTCTTTTAGTTTGATAGTTTTCGTGTTACCGATTTATGATTTCTAATTTATCATCTTTTGAGATTAAGAATTTTGAAATTCAGTTTAATAAAATGTAAACATTATGATGAATATTGAATAATGGACGGAGACAAATCCTCTGTGTGTCTCCACGTAGGAAAGCGGTTTCCCGCCAGCTGACAGGTACACGTCAGCACGTCATCTCAAACGTCTTTCAGTAATCCATTTGCTTCATTTCCTCCTCATATTATTAGTCGGTGTTTTTATATTTTCACACTTTTCTATTCTTGTAACAGCAAAATTTACACTTTTTGTTCGTGTCAAATGAGTTACTATTTTTTTTTGTTTGGTTTAACTATCAAATGAGTTTTTATTATTCACTCTTAAATCTTAATCTATGCTTTGAAATTTGAGCCCTACAAAACATTCGCATTTATTACTGATGCGACACATATGTTACTTTAATCTTACAATACTATTATTCTGAAGGAACGGTCAGCTGTATTATTATAGTAAAAGTTTAATTTAAATCATCACAAATTGATGTTATTCCAAAATTTTCCAACATTTTACTGTCTATGAGATTGGATCAAATATTTGAATATAAATGAGAGCGAATGTTGGTTTCCGTCTCGTGTTCTCGTATACCAATGCTACTATTCCATTAAAGAAAATACAAATAAGAAATGCAAATGTTAAGGAAAATGTCGAAAAAACAACGATCCACAAAATTTTCTGATTTCTGTACAAATAACTTACGGTAAATTCGTCATGCAATTTCGTGTTGACAAGACCAATGACCCTCGACTGAACTAATGAAGAGACTAGTCGTTAACAAAATAAGTTGTATGAATATTAATTAGTGCTGGTCGTTTAAAGAAAATAGTGGAAGGAAAAAGTCGTCGTAGATCTAACGTCAGCATAAGTTAATCGGACGGTTAGAGGCTGAGAAAATGATCATCTCATGCGTTTCTACTTCACCTTTGCAACTTATCTACAAGTATTTAATGTATTTAAACTCTGTTTTATTTGATGACACAAAATAAAACAAAAGTTTTTTAATATTTATTTATACTGAATTATTTAGTAATAATTCTGAAAAGTTGACAACAAAATTCAGACCTTGAAATTATTAAGGGCATTACTGATTTTGATGTGATTAGACTGCCCATCACTTTATCGCAGAAATATTAATGCATATATTTATACTATTGGCATATGGACAAAAATAATTATCGCGTTTATTTTGATTCTATCCCTTTTTTTTAGTTTCCCAAAAAGTTATCTCTAATATCATCCCGTCTCTTTATTTATTTTTTAAATCCTACACTAAACTTTTGTATTGCATGTCCAAAAATAACAAAAGCTTATTTTCATTTTGAAAAACTTGTAAAAAACTAAAAACCTTAGCTAGTGTTTTTAGGAAGAGAAAACCTTAGAAGTAATCCTGAAAAAGATAAACATGTTTGATTATATCATTTTAATTCAAGGTTCTATACTAATTTTTGAGTGTGCCCTTCTAATACAAATCAATAATATTTCCTTACATTTTTATATGTAATTAACAATCTTTACAACTTTATAACCCACAAATATATCAGTAAATGGAACCATTAAAAAAAACCTCAAATCAAATTTTTTTAACGTACTGAAAACAACTTTCCTTTTTAGATCATTAACATGGTTAAAATAATAGTTGACAGAAACAAATCATGGTTAGAGTGGTCCGACCAAATTGAATAAAATACCCAATTAATAAGTAAGTAAAATAGGCAAATAGCTCTTGAACTATATTAAAATTAGAAAGAAAGAAAGAATTGTAAAAGATAAAGAAAGCGTTACAAAGTGTGGTTGAGGACAGATTATATTAGATTCCGATTTCCAATAAACAAGAATGTATATAGCAAAAAAAAGATAAAATAAAAATAAAAACACTTCTCAAATCCCAAATCCAAAAGAGAGAGATAAAGAGAGAAAGATAATCTCTTTAATGTCCACATTATCTCTCTCTTCTTCTTCTCCTCCTTCTTGAGAACATCCTCTCCCCAAAAACGACGTAGTTTCACATTTCTCCACTTCTTTAATGGAGTTTGAAGACAACAACAACAACGACGAAGAGCAAGAAGAGGATATGAATCTTCACGAGGAAGAAGAAGACGACGACGCCGTTTACGACTCTCCTCCTCTCTCTCGTGTTGTCCCCAAAGCCTCGACAGAAAGTCATGAAACCACCGGAACAACCTCCACAGGCGGTGGCGGAGGATTCATGGTGGTTCACGGCGGTGGAGGAAGCAGGTTTAGGTTCCGTGAGTGTCTCAAGAACCAAGCGGTGAACATAGGAGGACACGCGGTGGATGGTTGTGGTGAGTTTATGCCAGCTGGAGTCGAAGGTACCATCGACGCGCTAAAATGCGCCGCTTGTGGCTGTCACCGTAACTTCCACCGCAAGGAATTACCTTACTTCCACCACGCGCCGCCACAACATCAGCCTCCTCCTCCTCCGCCAGGTTTTTACCGTCTTCCAGCTCCGGTAAGCTACCGACCACCACCGTCACAAGCTCCTCCACTTCAGCTCGCTCTTCCTCCTCCACAAAGAGAGAGATCAGAAGATCCAATGGAGACTTCTTCTGCTGAAGCAGGAGGAGGAGGGATTAGGAAGAGGTATAGGACTAAGTTCACGGCTGAGCAAAAGGAGAGGATGTTAGCTTTAGCTGAGAGGATTGGATGGAGAATTCAGAGACAAGACGATGAAGTGATTCAGAGATTTTGTCAGGAGACTGGTGTTCCGAGACAAGTTCTTAAGGTTTGGTTACATAACAACAAACACACTCTTGGTAAGTCGCCGTCACCACTTCATCATCACCAGCCTCCTCCTCCTCCACCACCACAGTCTTCGTTTCATCATGAACAAGACCAACCATGAATCTTGAATTTCTTTGATCACTAGGGTTTTAATTTAGCTTAATTAATTACTTGAGAAATTTGAGAGAGAAGGTTTTTATTGTTTAATTTATGTACCCATTTTCGTCTTTCATGATGATGTTGATGATGTTGGTGATGATCTTTCTGCTTAATTATGTTTTGCGTTATTAGCTTCTAAGTCTCTTAGCAAAATCCTTGATTGGTCTGACTATAAATTAAATTACTGACGTCCTTAGTAGCATCATATGTGTCAGTGTTTGAATTTATCATCATGTTTTGTATTGTATGAGTTTATATGAACTTGATCGTGCATATGTATGTGTATTTTGTGTATGCATTATATATGCCTTTTTAATTAGCATATGATTTCATTTTTTTTGTGTGTGAATCGTTTAATGCTCGCTAGCTGAGCTTGTTGACATTGTTATTGTTTCTTATAAGTTCCTAGTGTTTTAGAGTGTTATTATATTTGCTTGACCATTATTTCCACACATACACACATATTAATTTATAGCTAGATCTGATAGTGTTCTTTGTTTCTTAAGTTTTAGGTTTTCGAGTGTTAATATATTCTCTTGATCATACATATATAAATTGGTTATTATTGT